AGGCCGCTCCCATCATGCGACCTTGGATGAGCATGTATCGAATCCGGGGAGTGCACAGGATATTTCCGAAGCCAGTATAGATAGATATAAAACTATCTGCCTATCTATCTGCCTTATCTGCCCACCCTGCCTATACGCTTTGACACACTCTACACATACGGAAGACTATCTCCAACCGAGTCTTTCCGACTCTCTTTTTCTTTTCTTCCCCCTCCCTCGGTCTCTCTCCTAATGATGCATGCACAATTATCGACACGCGCATAGTGAAGACCTCCAGGTCGCTGACTCGATCATTTCGGCACGGGGGCCCACCCCCATGTGGTCCGAGAGCGTTTGATATTAATGCGAGTCAACTAATACTAATGACGACTAACTAGTAACTACCTAGGAGGTGGACTATTAGTCTACCTTATTGTGGAGCGGACTAGTAACTAACTACCGTTGACTACGGAGTACGGAGCAGACGGAGCAATCCACGCAGTACAGGGCTCGCAAGCGGGATTTGAAGGTGGCTTTCGTGGCTTTCGTGGCAGCTCATCATTATTAGTATGCGCTCAGGCCTAGTTCCAGGCGAATTTACTACATAGTAGTGTAGTAGAGCAGTAACTATGTAGTATGTAGTATGTAGTATAGAAAGTGGTAGGGAATAACCGATGATGCCACACTTTATTATCAGGGGCTGCCCGGTTTTATTTCCCTACCTATCAAACCATATTGATCCTTATTCTCTTTTATGTCGAGCCACTAGCATCTATACCCATCTTATTAATATTAAATGGTTTAGCACTTTGTTTTAGCAAGTCTAATCCTCTATAAATATTAATTAATCTTCCTACGAAGACAACAATTCAGTCTAATCGTGATCATCAGGCCAGGCTATCCCCCAGATCTACGCCCGGCTAATCCGTATACTATACATGTTCCTCTTCTTCTCGGTCTGGTCAAACGGAAAGTCCTCCAAATCCGTGGACTTTGTGAGTCCTGCCGGGGAGGAACGCCTCGAGGAAGAGATTTGGATCGTTGGTCTTGCTGAGCCTGGCGCCCATTTGTTTTTGGCGGTTGCTTTGGGGGACATCATCTTTATGTGATCACTACTGTATCAATCATAGATTCATTAATGAACTATAATCACACAATAACAAATCACTTAGACGTCACACTTCTCCCTCTCCCATCATATATATCCCTTGCCGGCCCATCGTCGCGCTGGCGCTGGAGGAAGGTCACCACCACCGTTGTTTGCCTCGTCTCTCTCGACATTATCTGCGAGCACTCCCTGAGGTGGTGACGGACGGTCACCAGACGACGACAACGAATGAGATTGAATTAAAATTGTAGCTTGGGCTCCCATTAGACTCTACCCAGACGGTCAAATCGTAATTATCTAGAATTCTTCTTCATCAGTATCAAAATCACTACTCAAGTCACTGCTGCCTTCATGTTCCTTATCTTACATCAACCAATGCATTAATAATGGCGTCGCTGGACCGGCCATCAGTCTCTTCAGGAGTTTCACCATCGGCAAGCTGATAAAGCAATCCATTGCGTTCCACCCGGCAGTTGAATCCAGGCTGAACAGCTACTCATCAGTTCGGTTACTAGGCCAGGAATCGCCTTTACCTGGTTTCTTGCAACCATCCTTATATGAAACAAGTCCTCAAGTCGGTACTCATATATGAGTACCACTCTTTCCTGATCCAGACGGCAGACGCGACCGATCTCGGTCTTTGTCTTGTCTTGTTGCCGTTGCTGTGGGTGCTTGGACGAAAGACGAAGACAGGACGGAAGGGGAGACGAAGGATGCGCAGGGAGCGACGGAGACGACGGAGACGACGGATTCAAAGGAATCCAAAGAAACGACGGAAGTGGGGGAGGATCGCTATACAACCAAGGTCAGAAATAAGGATGGCATAACTTATCTCATGGGGGATGGCTTTCTTACGCTGCGGATAAGACTATCTCGCACCCGCAGCCAGTTCTGGGTCTCGGCCCCTGACTCTGTCTGATGGTAAGGGTCTAGGAAGGGGATGGCTGCCAGATGCTAGCCCACACTATTCATTTCCTTGTGACTGAGTCCATAGCATGGAACATGTCTTATCGGGCTTAGATTCGGGCCCTTGCCCACATAACAAAAACGACCAGAAGGATCAGGCCTGCCGCACAGAGAGTGACCTTGAGAGTCAATGTTTCTACAACAATTGTTGCCATTTGTTTGAGTATAATTAGAGTATTGAGAAGAGTATTGAGATGAGCAGGTAGATAGCTTTATATAGCCGCCTCCTCATCTTCACTACCTCTTCACTACCTACTTTGCTCACTTGTGTCTTATTCATTCACTGCCACAATCACCATCACATGACTCCACTGAGAAATATAAATATATATCTATTCAAATGGTATTCACAATCTGGAAGTAACAGCATACTATACTCCAAAGACTACCTGAAAGTAAAGACCGTCAAATCCGTCAAGGTAGAACTACATATCCGTTCGCCCTCGTCGATCTGGACCTCCTCACCTGGGTGCTGTCGGAACACGCGCGGGGTTGACACCGTGGCCGTGCTGAGGTATTTGGACCGTTGATTGGGGTTGTGGTTGTAGGTGCGGGTTGTGATTATGGGGGCCAGATGGACTCGACGGGGGCGAGTAGCTTCTGTAGCTTCTGTCGCTTTCCCTGGTGTAGGTTTCTCTGGTGCAAGTGCTGGTTTATTGTTGTTCTTGTCATACTGAATCGAGTCTTTGTGTTTGTGTCGGTATCTTTTGAGGTAAACAGCCACCACAATGATCACGATGATCGCTAGTATATCAGTATCGTGTCTCTCTCTGCTATGGTGGTACATACCAATACCCACGACTACCCCGGCTATCCCCCCGGGGCTCAATTTACTCTGTGTATCCGGCAGTGACACTACCGAGTCGTAGAGGATTGCCGAGGAGGTCATCTGGACCGGTTGGGCGGTGATTGTAGCCGAGAAGATGTATTTGGGGGGCATTCTCAAGTAGCAGTGTAGAGTGAAGTAGTAGTGAAGTAGACTAGAGTAAGAACAGAGAGGGTCCAGAGATATATAAACTAAAGCCTGAGACAAGAATAGAACAACGTTCGTCTTTATCTTGGCTCGCGAGTCATACAATACAACTATTCGTTAGAGTCAGCGTAGGTCATCTAGATACTAGCCCTGTTACAGGGAAGAAGAGAAGCTTACCATGCAGGTATCCCCCCCATCCTGACACTCCATGGTCTTGACGACTTTGAAGCCCATCGTGCCGTAAATCTGAACATTCGGTTCATCCCGCGAACTCTCCAAATAACATTTCTTCCCCTCCGCGTCGGCTTTCTCAAGCACACACTGCATCAGTCTTTTCCCGATCCCCTGTCCCTGGAACCCAGGCCGGATGGCAACGATATTGCAAAAGTAGAACCCGCCCTCTTCGCCCTGCCAGATCTCTCGTTGGGCTTCCGTCTGGCGGGCCTTCCAGATCCAGTACCGGTTCACGCGTAGCCCGCCTCTCCCCCCGTGGAGCAGGTTATTCACCATCTGCCGTGCGGAGAGGAGTAACCCCTGACTCCATGTGTACCATGTTTCTTTTTCCGGGCTGGGGGGTAGCCAGCATGAAACGCCAACCACCCTGCTTGTCTTTGAGTCTTTGTCGGAGGAGGCGGAGTCTACGGCTGAGGCGAAGTCGGAGTCGGAATCGGTTTTGGCAACAAAGAAAAGCGCATTGTGGATGCCCCATAGACACCGGGCATGCAGCGATCCATAGTTTCGCTCTTTATTGAACTAGAAGCTTGGGGGTTATTTTAATCCATCTCCAATGTACTAAGCCAGATTTCGATATTCTATCTAGTACATACCCTGCTCTTGTCGAAGACCCATTTGAAGTAGGGATCGTCGGCGAACGCCGTCTGGATCACTTCAATCGTCTCGGGGATGTCTTCTTCCGTCAATGGGGATATGGTGATCATTTCGGCGCTCGTTGGAAAGAACAGAAATAATAGAAATAATAGAGAGAATAAAGAGAGAAGAGGAAGACGAGAGAGAGACGAGATGAGGATGACTACCGAGATGATCAGACTAAACCATCCTAGGCAGTTCTATGCGTCATGATATCTTATCTATGGAGCACAATTACGATAATATTCTAACTTTGCAGTGGATTAAACAAGATAGAGATAGAAGATAGACAAGACATAGACATAGACAGGTAGAAGAGAAATAGTAGTTACTCCGTACATCCGATATGAACACCTCAACCAACACCATGCTAGCCTCAAGTCCAGGCTCTATTTTATCGTGACGTCGTATAAATAAGCATATCCCAGTGGATGCATATCTCATCATTCATCCGGACAGCGACTACTGGACAAACCCGTCCAGTCGCACCCAATCGCGCGGCACGTCCATGCTGCGGTTCACCCGCCGGCCAGGCGTCAGCGGCACGTCCACGCGGCCCAACCCCCGGGTATCATGCTCGTCCTCCTCGTGCTCTTCGTAAAAGGACAGCCGGTTAAAGTAGTCCTCCAGCACCGACTCCCGATCATGGTCTCCGATGACGCTGTTGTACTCCGGCGGCGGCGTGATCAGTGGCGGCGGTGCCTCCACCTCGTCAAACGACGGCGGGGCAAACGACGGTGCGCGCAGCAGGTGCATCGGCCGCGCAGACCGCTCGTTCGGCTCGTGCGCCAGGTGCGCCTGTGGCGGTCGGGCCAGCCCGCCCGAGCTGTTGGTGAAGCTGCGTGTCACAGCGCCGGGTCCGCCGCCGGTCGAAGGGCCAGGGGTAGCGCCAGAGCTCGAACCAGTGCCGTTCGATTCAACCCCAGAATGAATCTGGACCTGGGAGGCAGTCTTCTTCAGTGATGGGGCTCCGGGACATCCACATTCGAACTCCTGCGCTGGCACCACCGGCTCTGAATCGGGCGATGTATATGCCGGCAAGAAGATGTTGGCCTGCGTTGCCTTGCATGAGAGAATGTGGAAGGGCGAATCGATCGAGATCTCGAAATGCCTTCGTTTCGTCGGATCTCGTTCGTCTACTTTGGACAGCCGGAGCACAATCTGAGAAGGATGAGTATGATAACTTGAAATGATAGGGAAAAATGTTTTACCTTGATCCAATGGTTGATCTGAATATTCTCATAGGTTGTGTCGAAATGCAACCGCTGGGAGTCGTCGCGGTGCTTCATCTCGTAGCAGCTAGGCAGCTGGACGCTGAACTCCATCTCGGTAGGCCCGACACCATAGTCCGATGACAGATTGCCCAGCAAATTGGTGCGGGAGCGGTCGACGACCTCTTCACCGCGAGCGGCGGCAGCGCGCTGGTCCCAGTCGATACCACCGCCGGCGGTGACACGCATGGAGCTGCCCGGGTAGGTGCTGACACTGGCCGAGTCGGCGCGTTTCTCAAACAGAAGAACCTTCTTGGCGGGCTGGAAGCGATGGACGCTCTTGTCACTAGTCCAGTGCTGGATGTTTTCCGTGACAAAGACCTTGATGCGGTGGCACTCGACCTTGGCGAGCGGCGTCAGCTTGAAGGCGATGGGGATCTGGGTGCCGAGCGGGAAGGATTTGCCGGAGATGACGATGTCGTAGTGCAGCTGATCCTCCCAGTTGCGCGAGATGGCGATGGGTTCCACCTGCTCCAGGGAGCCCTCGGCCGGGGTTCGGATGACGGGCACTTCCAGCGTGCCCAGCAGATTTGGCCGAAAGGCGCCCGCGCGCTCCACGATGGCCTCCAGATCGTACCGAACGGAGCCTAGGTCAGTCTTGATGGTCTCCGGCAGGGACCCGTCGACGGGGAACTCGAAGCTGTAGAGATAATCCCCGACGGGGAACAAACGGTAGTTTCGCTGCGGCGGGGCGGCCCCGCTGGACGTGTTGTCGTTCTTGCCGAAACTGCGGGAATGGTTTGACTGGAGCGAGAGGCGTTTGAGATCCCGCGAGGACATTTGGCTACCGTTGTTGTTGTGGTTGTTGTTGTTGTTGGTGGTGGGTGACGACCTTCCGCTTCGTGCGTGGAGCTCGTGGGTAATGGTGGCCGTGGTCCCGTCTTTGCCCACGGCGGTTGGGGTCATCGGTTTTGCATGCCGATAAAAGTGCGCACCGTAGTCATTCTGCATGAGCGCGGTATCTCCATGGTTGAAGTAAATCACGCCCTGAGTGACCAGGTCTTTTTTGTCGTGGAATTGAACCTTTTTCGGGGGGATTCCTTATCAAGTCAGTAATTCATTCACCTCCTAGTGATAAAAGAAGAAAAAGAAAGAAAGAAAGAAACGTACCGTCCGGCCAATCCGTCTGGGCGTGTCCGCGGAAAGTGATGGAGATCTTCTTGACTTTAACAGACTTGGTGACCTTGAGATGTAGCTGGCCACGGAGAATGGTGGATTTCTTGGTGGACGGGTCATTCTGGTCGTAACCGGCGAGGAACAGGACGGGTTCTGTAAGAGCGACGCTGACGACAATGCCACTGCCAGTGGCGACGACCTTTTCATTGCGCAGGGTAGGGAAGGCACAGGCCTGCTCAGCTAGCGAGCCATGCGACGAACGGTCATGGCTGGAGGCGGCGGCGGGCAGGCCGCCCGAAGCAAGCGAAGCTGTATCGGAAAGCGAGCCGCCACCACCCTCGACATCCAAAGCGGCGGATATCATATGGGCATCTCTCGGGGAGAGAATGATCTCCGACACGGGTCGGCGATGGGTTGAGCGAGCAGCAGCAGCAGCAGCAGCCGTCGTCGTCTTGGCAGGGGATCCCAACGCGGCAAACGAGGCAGCAGGATCACCCAGACGCAAGAGACTCTTGGCGTTTCCCCGAGAGCTCGCCAGCTTGGTGAAGAGGGAAGAGCGTCGGCGTGACTGCTGTTTGGGGAAGTGTTCGGCGGTGGTCAGAGTCGAGCTCTGCGAACGACGGCGAAAATGCGTCCAGAAGAAACTGGAGGAGGGATCCCCAGGGAGATCCTGCTGCATTGATAGGTGAGCGGCCATCTCACTCAACAGAAAACATGACGGGATAGATAAGCGGGAGGGAGAGATCAAAAGGTTGAGAAGTCTAGAAAAAGATCTAACGGTAGCTCGGGAGGTATCTCCAGCTCTCTTAAAACGAGCAGGGCAGAGCCAAATTTTGGGAGGGCAACCAGCTGTTGCTCTCCGGTCTAGGTGTGGCAAGTCCCAGTGATGATCTCAACGATTTCCAGGGCGCGTAAAGCGACGTGACGTGTGGGGAGGGGAGAGGAGGGGGGGCAAAGGGAAAGAAGAGACGCATACTTTGTACCTAAATCTGAACTGCCTCCCAGTGGTTCCTTTCTTTTTTTTTTCTTTTCTTTTTTTTTTTTACTCCGTCATGCAGAAGTCGACGATCGATCGGGTCTCGCCCAGGCAAGGAGGAGAGAGAGAGAGAGAGAGAGGAGGAGTAACCACGGGTCAGGGATCACCGCATTCGGAGAGGACAAGGACCAAGTCGGCCTGAAAAAGGGAACAGAGTTAGTGGCAGGGCTTCCAGACCTGTGGAATGGAGACAAATAGTGAGCTGACCTCGAGAAGTTTAAGAGCGCGAGCGAGAGGGTGACAGGCAAAAGTCAAAGCTGTCGACGTCCAACTGGAGCCAGCAGGGGCGCAAAGTGCCTTAAAAAGGAACCGCAGAAGTTACTTACTCCATGATGACGCGGGAGGTCGGCACTGCTAGTATAGTAGGAGGTACGGAGTACGGAGGATTACGGATAGATCTACCCAGAGAGAATTAGCTGTTTCATCTAAACCTCCTCTTTCTTCTTCTCTTGATGATCTTTAATATCCTGCTTTCCCCCATAAATCCCTAGGTATTTCAACAAACAAACTGTCCTTCGAGTACTCCGTAAAGTTGAAACTTGTAACACCGTCAGACCATGTGACGCTCGGCATTGTCTAGCCCAAGTCGGGCACTGGACAGTCATGCGGGATTACGTGGGCGAGGCTAGTTCGGATCTGGATCCGACAATATCGTCAATCACATAGTAACTAATAGTAATACCTTAGCACTAGAACTGAATCAGTCATTTATGATGAATCAATTCTACTTGCATTAACCAGTACAATACTAGATTAATATAAATCCGTTCTAGTACCTCGTTCTAGTACCTACTTCCTACTCGTCCCTAGTTAACTACCTGGTACAGAGTACGGAGTACTCCGTACTGGTCTCCTGGTCTTGCTGACTAACCGTGGCTGACCCCGATGACCAATCGTAATGTGGCTAGACCCGCTGCGGGGCAGCCACAGCGCGATGACCTCATCGATCGATCCGGCCACACTTACTACATTGGGACTTGTAGTAGTATTAGGAAGTTGCAGACTACACTTACTAAGAAGACTATTAGTTAATATCGTTAGTGCACTGCTTTAGGTCCTAAGAGGTAGCATTACCAGGTAGACTGTACCTTGTACTATTTTGATCGAGTACTCCGTACTACATAAACAGGCATTTCAACTGAAGTTATAATAAATCGGAACCAATTAAGTATTAGTAGTAGTAGTAGTAGTAGTAGTAGCCAGTTTATTCTGTACTAATGCTCAGTGTGCTAAGTCTATGTACCTTAGCTTATGCATGCCAACATCTCATTACCTGGAAGATGTACCGGCGCTTTCTCCACCATGTACTCCATAGTTCAAATGCAGTACTATCAGTATTAGGACTAGGCGGGAGATACCTTGCTAGGTAGAGAGGTACTACTCACTCTAGACCACCAATACAACCATATACTACTACCAGTTGTCTCGGGTGGGCTCATGAGTTCTATTTTTAAAATACGGTAGGAACAGAGTACTCTTTCACTTTAACTCTCGACAAATTGTACTCCGTACCTGAAACCAGGTCTAGTTATGAGAGTATACTCAGTAGGTACTACCCTGGTGATGGTACTAATCAAGGCACCGACGGTGTTACATTCTTCTTGCTAGCTAAAAATATAGCAACGTGTAAAGCAAAGTATAACGAAGTTAAAGTACAGTCCTGGATTCATAGAAGCTTATTGCTCAACTCTCTTCGCAACAGCTCGAGGCAGTCGAATCAGTTTGAATGGGTGCGGATCTGATACTGGCTTCTAGCCACAGAACAATCTGGTGATATCACGAAGCTATCAAGTTCCGTTTCTTGAGAGAAGGAGAATACGGCCAGAGTTGATGTAGGAGGGAAGATGAACTATTCTGATTCCTTTAAGATCTGTACCACAATGGCTGTCGCAGCATAATGACTCTATTATTGAACCCTATTAAAGAATCAAGGGAACGCTAGACCACTCGGCCATTAAAATTGTCGAAGACAATTCATACCTAGAGAGGGTTTTATAAGTCCATTCATCCTGCGACAACAGCTATCTCCTGAAGACCAGCCAGAGTCAGCCAGCCTGACACATGATATCTTCTGTGTGGCTTCTGATACACAGAGCACAGCACTAGCAGCGTCGAGATCCTTGGCATTCTGACAGCAAGAAAGACTGTCTCACCAGATGGACTCCCAAACGGACTCCCACGTACTCTGGTCTGTCTGGTTTTCGACAAGCACAGTGTAGCGGCGTCGGGCCGGTTGGAGCCAGTCTGTAAGCAACGTGAGTTTCCTGAACTTCTTCATGTTCCACACGTATCTGTTAGGGTCCTCCGGGCTTTCGGTGTCATAAATGGCAGGGCGAGAGCTTGATGATACTGTGCGGGTTGAAGAACGGATCCGAAAGGTCAATGCCACCCGGCGATAGGAGACAACGCCTTTATTGACTATAAAGAATCAAGATCAATCCCATAATCGAGGGAGGGGGGCTAGACCACTCACAATCAATTGTCCAGACAATAAGTAGGGTTTCATGGGATCATTTATCCTGCAAGGTGTGCGAAAAACGAGAGTCTGAGATGTTCACATCATGGGTTTTCAGCGGCGCTGGAAAGAATAGTCGGGGCGTAGTTGATAGTGGTCGCTAACAAGGACAACTGCCACGGGCGAATCAAACCGCAAAACTGGCTATATTTTGGGTTCAAAGGTCTCGCTGCCTCATCGACTGCAATAGCGGTATGGGAGACAGTTCTTTGAATAATCAGAGTAGGTCTGTCGAAGTGAACAGATCAGAGGAGGATATGAAGGTCTAAGTGGTGGCAGGAGAGAACAGAGAGGGTGGAAGGGGAGAGGGAAAGAGGAGAGAGAAGAGAAAATAAATAGACGGCTGGAGGGGGGTAGAGACGGTGAAGACTATAAGTGAAGTGTGTCCCTAGAATCTTCTTTTCCTATCTGTGAATATCTATGTTCCAGGCAACAGAAAGATGTGACGGTGATAGTGAATAAAAATCTGTAGATATATGACTTTTCTTAGCTTTTAGATTAATGGGCTTGGAAGAGACAACTTGAGTACTCAATGGACCATATATACTATGTAAAGAGGTGGTAAATAGCTAGATTCACCAGGCTTTAGTAGAAAGGGGGTGAATAGAGGTATAGTAACAAGAGGGCAGGGGAGAGCAAAGAAGCTCATGATATAGTAGAGATAATTATAAAGTATACATATACTGACCAGGTTTCAAGTAAATCAATATCTTAATCTGCGGGCAAGAGGACTAAGTAAACCAATTATCATCCAGCTCATTCACATTCATCATCCCGTCTCCTTCCAGTAAACCGTGTTCCCCAAGTCCGTCGTCCCCAAAACCGTCTGCCTCTAGGAAGAGATCCTCGAAACTTGACTCGCCCGGGGCAATTCCATCCTCGCTGGAACCCTGGCCCTCACCCTGAGACACCGGCAAGTCGAGGTTCATCGGCCCTCCGTCCAGGGTATGCATCATAAGATGGTCCTCGCCCCCCTGCTGACGATTATTGTCATTAATATCACCGGCATCATTGGTACTTTCCTCCATGCCAGTCACATCTTGCGTCCCTGCACCCATATTGAAGCTGGATCCAGCCAGGAAATTCTGGTTGCCCACCTCGTCGTTACCAAAGTCCAGATGCAGGTCGAACTCGTTGGGCTCCCCCGTCGTGTCGGCGAGCATCGAGTCAAAGCTGATCTCTTCATTGCCGGCTGCCGCCGCCGCAAAAGATGCGCCCTCGGTAGATGGCATCCCCTCTGCTTTCTCGAGGTTTCCAGAAGAGAGCCCTGGAGCATCTGAAAGATTCTCCTCAGTGGGTTTGTCGGTTGTCTCTGGCTCCTCGGCCGCTTTAATTTCCAGCCCCTCGGTTTCCGTCGAGAGTCCCAGATGAGCAGACTGTGGCTGTACGTCTGTCTCGGGCGGAGGTCTCTCCTCTGTCTTCTCCTCCATCACCACATCTTCGCTAGTGGGTTTGGGGGTAGCTTTCCTAGCCTGTATTGTTTCATAATCCCTTTCTAAGAAAGTTTTGGCAATAAACTGAAACCGTTAACAAAAAAGAAAAAAGAAAAAAGAAAAAAGAAGCCAAGAAACCCATTGCAGATATTTACGTACGATCTGCTCCGACAGCTGGTCGAGCGCGTCATGAAACTGGTCACGGGCAGCAGGGAGCGTTCGCTTCAGCTGTGCCCGGGATTGCAATGAGCCATTCGATCGGAAAAACCTTCCCGTCTCAATGAGCTGCCCGTCATCAGCAATTCAGCCCTCCCCTTCACCTCCAGTCCCAGTCAGTCTGGAGTCTAGAGACCTACCGTCTGGTTCACCATCGCTAGCAGGACTCCCAGCGATTCGGGATGGGAATAATCCGATGCCGCCATGTTTGCTGTTCACCTGCGAGACGATCAGCCAATACATCTTGGGAATCAGAGGCTTCTGCTGGGTTAGATACCTTCGACAGTCGGTTGTATTTATAGTAGTCAGCCGCCTAAGGTAGGAAGGAACAGGTTATTGTATGCTGTCGCTCCTTTGATTGTGTTCCTACCGCGCTAACCCCATCCCGCCTAGCGCATCCCCCACCTCAGCGGCTCTTGCCTGGCCATTTCCCAAACTCCTCCAAGACTCTCTCTGCTCCATCTGGACGAAGTGGCCATCTCGCTCTGCTTCCTTTTCTTCTCCTTTTCCATCCGTTTCGTTTTCCTCCCCGCTGTCTTCTATCGCAGACCGGTCGATTTCTGGCCTGACCTCCGGCTGTCTTTGCCGCTCCGTCGCTTTTTTCTCTGCTCTGTTCGTTGCGCCTGTTTCTTTGTCGCTCCAGCGTTGCTCGACCCCATCGTCTCCCGTTGCTTATAACTATCGCACTCGCTGTGCGTTGAGAGAACCCGGCATCTCTGCTCTCCTCGAGTCGTCTCCAATCACCTAGCTGTGTCTAGTTGCACCTCCTGCCTCCGATCGGCTTCCTCCGCCGTCGATTGTGCGTGTTTTCGTCCGATTGCTGTATGATCTAGCGACCTGTGTCTTGTGTTTCAAAACAACCGACGACGACGACCCCGCGCTCTTCTCGCCGTCCTTCAGCTCACTATTTGCTGTGGTTATCCGTCACGCCTGCATCGTCACATAGCCGATCTCCTCGTCTTTTTTCTCTCTTCCTTTTTCTTTTCTTTTTCTCTTTTTTTTTTCTTTTTTTTACCTCCTGGTTCCTCTCTACTCGTCCGATTGAGCGCTTATATTTTCTCTGTGTCGAAACAATTTAGCATTGCTCTCTCTGACATAAATATTCTCCTATCTCGTCCGCCATATATTTTCGCCTTATTCGATTTCTTTTCGACCGATCATCATGGCTGAAAACGTGCCGACTTCGACTTCTGCTTCGCTGCCCCCACAGCCCTCAGCTGGGGCCCCCAACCAACAGCAATACGATGCTGCTCAGGGCAATGGCCAGACCAACCCGTCTCATATGCCCCCGCCCCCTCGCCCACCGGTGATTATCCCGCAGAATACCAACCCGATCCCGACTGCTATCACTTCACCAATGTCCGGTAACATGATGTCGCCCACTAGCGCCGGCGGGTTCGTGCGCCGTGCCGCTCCTGAGCCTAACAAGAGGGCCCTCTACGTGGGCGGGCTGGATCCCCGTGTGACCGAGGACATCCTCAAGCAGATTTTTGAGACCAGCGGCCATGTCATCAGCGTCAAGGTTATTCCTGATAAGAATGTAAGTTGGTACTGTCGCCGTTGGAACATATCGAGCTAATGAACAGTCGCAGTTCAACAGCAAAGGGTACAACTACGGCTTTGTCGAGTTCGACGACCCCGGCGCGGCGGAGAGAGCCATGCAGACCCTCAATGGACGTCGCATCCACCAATCGGTATGTGAACATAATCTCATAATCAAGTCAAGTAGCCTCTAATTCTTGTGACAGGAGATTCGTGTCAACTGGGCGTACCAGTCCAACACCACGAGCAAGGAGGACACCTCAGGCCACTTCCATATCTTCGTCGGCGATCTTAGCAACGAAGTCAATGACGAGGTTCTCCTTCAGGCCTTCTCGGCCTTTGGCTCCGTCTCCGAAGCCCGTGTCATGTGGGACATGAAGACCGGCCGCTCTCGCGGCTACGGTTTTGTCGCCTTCCGTGACCGCGGCGACGCTGAGAAGGCTCTGAGCTCCATGGATGGCGAATGGCTCGGCTCCCGTGCCATTCGCTGCAACTGGGCCAACCAGAAGGGCCAGCCGTCCATCTCGCAGCAGCAGGCGATGGCGGCGATGGGAATGACCCCGACCACTCCCTTTGGTCATCACCACTTCCCCACCCACGGCGTGCAGAGTTACGACATGGTCGTGCAGCAGACCCCGCAGTGGCAGACCACCTGCTACGTGGGGAACCTCACCCCTTACACCACGCAGAACGATCTGGTCCCGCTTTTCCAGAATTTCGGCTATGTTCTCGAAACCCGGCTGCAGGCCGACCGTGGCTTCGCCTTTGTCAAGATGGATACGCACGAAAATGCTGCCATGGCCATTTGCCAGCTCAACGGGTACAACGTCAACGGCCGTCCCTTGAAGTGCAGCGTAAGTTTTGATCTCTCCCTCTCTCCCTCCCTCTCTCTCTCTCTCTCTCTCTCTCTCTCTCTCTCTCTCTCATTTCTGATTAAATCCTTTCGCTAATTCACTATTCGACGCAGTGGGGAAAGGACCGCCCTCCTACCGGCCAGTTCGAGAACTATTCCGCCCAACAGGGCGGCTCTGGCTTCAACTCTAGCCCCGCGGGCACCTTCTTCCCTCAGTATGGTGGCCCCGGGGCTCCCATGACCCCCCAGGGTAAGTCCGACTCCTCTACCTCTCATTTTCCCTCTTCCTTGTCATCACTGGCTCACACGGCATGCTGAAGGTCCGTCTCCTGCGGGCCGAGGCTGGGATCAGCAAGGTAATAATTTTGGTGGACCCGGAATGCCCGCACAGGGCTATGGTCAGGTTCCTGGAAATGCAGGCGGCTTCGGTCGTGGACAAAACACTCCCAATTCTGGTTGGAACCAACAAAACAATGCCAACTTTGGCAACGGTTTCGGAGGCTACCAAGCCTAGACCTTAGACCAGTGAGTGTAACTGCACTGTTTATGCAGTGTTGATAGGAGATGCTTTACATCTCCTTTTGAATTGTGTTCTTCTCTTCTTTTTATCTCTGTTTTCTTTTCTTTTATTTGTTTCTATGCCTTGATTTGCCCCCCTTCCCGCCTCTTCTCCCCCATCGCCGTCTCTTCTCCCCTACCTTTTTTCCCCTATAACCCTATGACTGCTTTCAAAACTGTGTCCTGCCCAGTGGATTTTCTAAGCGACTGTTCCGGATTCTGAAATGCTCTCTGTGAAATGAAATATGTGTGTGTTCTTGTGCACTCAATACCCCAAACTCCACTTTATTTTCCCTTTTCTTTTCTCTCTCTCTCTCTTTTCTATTTTTTTCCCTTTCCCTTTTATTATATTCTCTTAAACAAATGTGCACATGTTTGATTTAAAGAGCTTCTTGGACTTTCGATTCAAGCAAGCTGCTGAATAAACTAAAAGTATTTCTTTTCTTTCTTTCCCTGTCGATTCCAGTTGGAATGCTGTCATGATGAAATTGCCTGCCTCGCTTGGATCTGTATCGTATCTTCTTCTAGTATGTATGTGGCGACCTGGAGGATATTTTCCTTCCGATTGCTTTTTTTACTCTGATCGACTCGTTGTCGTTGCTCGTTTCTCTCCATGCCTTATTGCCCTCCGATGATACGATGGCCGACGACGCGATGACTCTCTTTGCTTCAGAATCGGTTGTACGCATCCTGTTTCACATCTAGTCCTCGGTTCTCTCTATAGATGACCAATTTATACCCAACTTTCAGCAAGTAGCCACTTGTCTGGTTCTGAACAATGCGTCTTGCAGTAAATCAAGCCGAATCAAGATAATAACAAGATAATAAGCACTCCATTTATTGAAATTGGACAAATTTCAACTACATAGTTGGAATCTCTGCTATTAGTTATGGTTAATTACCTTAACTAAAGCCTGCGGGGACTCGGGGGCCCAGTGGGGCCGCCGCCTTTAAATCCAACGACATCTTGCAGCATCCCTCGCCGGGAGGCCTTGACCCTGACGCAAGCCTTGACGCAAGCACTGATGCCGATGCATTGAATCACGACCGCCCACGGCGCCATGGAGGCCGTACATGACGACCACTCCGGAGGCGCGAGCGTGCGCCCCGAGCCCGGCCCTGAGACTGAACCCGACCCTGAACCCGACTCTGAGCCTGAACCTGCTGCTGCCTCTCGACGCGCTCGGTCCAGCAGCAGCAGCAGCAGCAGCAGCGGACACAAGCGCAGCCTCTCAGGATCCCTTCTGTCGAAATTATCCTTCCTACGTATGACGCAGATGGCACCGTTTGTGCCAGACACCAACCGTCACGGTTCTTCGAGGGATGATAACAATGATGATGGTAATGATGATAATAATAATAGCCCTGCTCTTTCGAGCGGAGGCGGAGGAGGAAGTCGCGCGATGGCCACCGCACTCCAGGTACAACAGCAGCAACGACGGACGAGGCGACGGCGGGGGTCACTGCGCAAAACTGCCTTGTTGGGCACGCGGTTGGAGGCTCGAGAGAAAAAACTCGGCGTGGGACCTAGCCGGGCGATGGAGATGATGAGCGGCGACGTCACGGTGCGAGGGTTCCCGGGCGGCCAGCAGCAACAAGAGAACTTTGGAAGCAAATTCATTACGACGACTACTACTCGCAGTAGTGGTAGCAATAGTAGTAGTGGCGGGCCGAGCTGGACGCTGGTCAGTTCACGATCCTCTGCTACTGCTGCTGCTGCTGTTGCTGCTGCTACTACATACAAGGCGACGGAGCTGGATGGGAATACATCTGATGATGAGGGGGTGAGCTTTCCTCGAAAGACCACGAGCAATAATAATTCAACGAATAAGAATCCTAGCACCGATCTCAATCTACACATCGCTACGACCCCCTCGTCGAGCTTAGACTCATACTTCCCCGACTTGCCCGCTGTGAGGCCGTACCGGCCGCCGCCCCTGCGGACGCAATCACCGCTCGTGACGCCGATTGAGATGGCTACGCCCACCAGCGGCAGCGGGACTGGAATCAAAGCCTCAAGCAGCATTATCAGTGGTAGCAGTGGCGGCGGCAGCAGCAGCAAAGAGCTACGGATGAGCTGGGACTACGCGGAAACAGAGTGGTGGGGGTGGATCATCCTCGCCGTGACCTGGCTGGTTTTCGTGGTCGGGATGGGCAGCTGTTTCGGGGTATGGAGCTGGGCATGGGACGTGGGCGAGACGCCGTACGCTCCCCCCGAGCTCGAGGATGATCCCACTCTCCCCATTGTAGGCTATTACCCTGCGCTGATCATCTTGACGGCCGTCATGTCATGGGTGTGGGTGGTTGTTGCTTGGGTGGGGATGAAATACTTCAAGCATGCAAATATCTCGGGAGAAGACACTTGAATTTCTTTTTTGTCCTTTTTGTATTCATACCATAATAACGCATGATACCTCATTTTATTAACTTATAGAATTCGATTAACGCCTATATGCTATGCAGACTATGGTTCCATTCAACCCCCCCCCCCCCCCGGGAAACTAAACAAAAAAAATCCGAGTCTCTCTTGTCTTTTTCTCACGCCGACTCAAGCAACAACAGCAGTCTTCTCAGCGAGAGATGGGCAGGGGGGAGTGGACTGTGGTTGGACGGTCTTCCCCGGTGCGGTACTGACCAGCCCCTTGGACACGGCGAAGCACGAGGAGCGGTCGTGGTTCGTGTTCTCATCGTAGAACTCGTCCAGGATCGGGTGGAGGAGGACTGTCTGTTTGTGGATAGTCACGATTGAATTGGTGGGGACAGAGACCCAGTTATCTAGAAGAAAAAGCATTAGTCTCCAATATATATATAAGTAGATGTATTTATAGGAGGATGCTTACGTCTTTCAAAAGTGATGGGCTCGCTGGCAACGAGAACAATGTCGGCGCTCTTGTCGTGGCGCTCCATCTTGAAATGGCCCGGTGTGGACCCTTCCTTCCAACGGGTCCCGGAGGAGAAGTACAGACTGGCAGGCTCATCGGTCTTGCTGCTGATGTACCGCGTGCAGATGACGGTGTGGCCATCTGTGAGGGCAAAGTTGAGCAGGCTGCGCGTCTCAATGCCGGGGAGGTCTGCGCCGTGTTTGCTTGACATGTCGCGGATCAGCTCGTTGATCTTGGCGATCGTCTTGACCATCACGCGCCGCAATATTTCATGGCCGAAGCCCTCGGGGCCCGGGTTGGAGCTGGGGTCCACGCCCTCCTTCTCCAGAAGGTCCAGAAACAGCGCAAACGCCCACTCGCTGTCCGTGCCACCCTTCACGCCCATAAACCATCGGTCCGCCAGCGAGTCTGCCAGCGCCCGCTTGATGTACTGCCACCCGCCAATGTTGCCGTTGTGCATCCACATGAGGGTCTGGTGCTGGAACGGGTGGCAGTTCGTTTCCGACAGCGCCCCTTCGGTCGTCGCTCGCACGTGTGCAAAGATCAGGTTCGAGCACGTCTTCGCCGCCAGTCGCTCCAGGTTCTCACAGTTCCACGCCGGCAGCGTCGAAGTGAAGATGCACGGCTCCGGTCCTAGCTTTGGGTCTGTGTAGAACCCCACGCCGAACCCGTCGCCATTCACTGGCCGTCGGTTGTCCTGCACAGTCAGAGAATACAACACTCGGCATGTAACCCTATAGAATTCAAATCTCGTACCAGTCTTAGTCGCGAGTCATACGACTGTCTGAGGATCGAATGGCTGGGCTCCGTGATGAGCTTGCTAAGCCGGATCTCATGATGACCCTTGTATACCTGGGAAGCGGTCAGTCAAATCGCAAAACACAGTACGGACACTCGATGAGGTGATCTCACCAGAAATCGACACATTTCGATACAGAAAATATAATATATAAGTCACTGGCAGATTCCAGAGTAAGGAGTAATAGAATGTGTCCGAAAAATGGGCAGTCGCTTGGTGTAACGGAACTGCGAAGAGTCACAGTCGTAAGATAAGAAGAGCTGCAGTCCAAATCCACCAGATACACCAGGGCTCAGCGGACACTTCGTAGAGACCGTTCGGGCAGTGACTCAACAATCTGCAAAGATGATATACCCCGTAGAAGTAGGGAAAAGAACAAACAGATAAAGCCATCTGTCGCGTTCGTCGTCACCTCATCCGCTATCGGGCCCACGTGACCCATGAACTTTTTACGGTGACCCACACAGCCCAGCAGCGCAGGTCACGGGGTGAACCTGACGTGTGCCGTGACGCTACAGCTTGGGGGGAGAGAGTAAGACTTCGCCAGAATTATTCCTACAAGCAGAGATACTTTTACTGGAGATGAACAGCCTTTCTATCCCATCCACTGGATGTACATGAGATTTGACGAGCGATGAGTGGGAGGATTCTCTCCCACCGACTTGGGCCGCTCTTGCGGACTCGGCTCCTGGCGCGACAGCTTCACAACGCAGGTGCAAGAACAGGCGGACTGCTGCGTGCTGATGGCAGCGCTGTGCTACGAGGCCGCTCGTGGCCGCTTGGGGCAAATGCAATTCACAACAATGTGCCCGCTGTGCGGACCATTTCCTTTGCGAGGATCCTGCCGAGGCTGGCGTTGAAGCTCGCCAGGGTGCCGGCGATGTTTGGGGGGGCGATGATCGCGGGGTTGGCTTATATCCAGTATCAGGCGGCGCGTACGGGTCTCCTCTATTGATAAATATGTGCTTCATTTTCGCTAATATAACTACAGAGGCAGGGAATTACGCAATAGACTTCTTCAAGCGGACAGGGGATATGGCAGGTGAAGCGGCAAGCAGCTTGTTCGGCGAACTCCAGGGGATAGTAGAGCAGACACAGCAAGGGTGGCAGAATACAACTGAAGACGTCGAGTTGCCCGAGTGGCTGCAGAAGATTTTCCGTCTCAACGAGGAGTCCTCCCGGTCAGGGGGCGGCGGCGGCGGTTCTTCGGGAGGGGGCGGTTCACCACAAGAAAGCAGAGCTGGCATGGCAGCTGTGGGTGCAGCAACAGGTGCAGCCTATGGATATGACCAGTCCGATGAAGATGACCTCCGGGCGTCCAGGGAAAGAGCGGAAGACGACCAGATGATGCTTCTGACGCGAAAGATGATCGAGATCCGGAACATCTTGCAGACCGTCGGGCAGTCAAATACGCTGACTCTGCCATCAATTGTGGTCATTGGATCACAGTCATCCGGGAAGAGCTCGGTTCTCGAGGCGATTGTGGGTCACGAGTTCTTGCCCAAAGGTTCCAACATGGTCACCCGGCGACCCATCGAACTCACCCTGGTCAATACCCCGAATGCACAGGCGGAATACGGCGAATTCCCGGCCTTGGGACTGGGGAAGATTACCGACTTCTCACAGATCCAACGTACGCTGACCGATCTCAATCTGGCGGTCCCCGAAAAGGACTGTGTCAGCGATGACCCGATCCAGCTTACCATCTACTCGCCAAACGTGCCGGATCTTTCACTCATCGACCTTCCAGGCTATATTCAGGTCGCGGGCCGAGATCAGCCGCCGGAGCTGAAGCAGAAGATTTCCGACCTGTGCGACAAGTACATTCAGTCGCCGAATGTGATTCTGGCCATCTCCGCTGCCGACGTGGACCTTGCCAACTCGACGGCACTACGAGCCAGTCGACGGGTGGACCCGCGAGGCGAGCGCACGATCGGCGTCGTCACCAAGATGGACCTGGTCGATGCGGAGCGAGGCCGCAGCATCCTGGCCGACAAAAAGTACCCGCTTCGGCTCGGGTATGTCGGGGTGGTGTGTCGCGTGCCGCAGACGACGGCTCTCTTCTCTCGAGGCAGCGGCAACATCACCAGTGCGATCCTCAAGAATGAACATGCCTTCTTCTCGGCGCATCCGACGGAGTTTGGCCCACACTCCGAGGTGGAAGTGGGCGTGACGACTCTGCGGAAGAAGCTGATGCATGTTCTCGAGCAGACGATGGCCTCGAGCCTGGCGGGGACTCGGGACGCAATCAGCCAGGAACTGGAGGAGGCGACGTACGAGTTCAAAGTGCAGTACAACGACCGACCCCTCAGCGCCGAGTCGTACCTAGCCGAGAGCCTGGACGGGTTCAAGCATTCGTTCAAGGCGTTTGCCGAAGGATTTGGGCGACCGCAGGTGCGCGACATGCTCAAGAACGAGCTGGACCAGCGGGTGCTGGACATCCTGGCACAGCGGTACTGGAACAAACCCGTGGAGGACCTTCTGGTGCCGATGCCGGAACCAGACCCGCTGAGCGACCTGGCCAAGGCGGACCCGGAGTCACTGTACTGGCGGCGCAAGCTGGACGCCTCGGCGTCGGCGCTGACCAAGTTGGGGATCGGGCGGCTGGCGACGACGGTGGTGGCGACGGCGCTGCAGAACCACGTGGACCAGCTGGTGGCCGGGTCGACGTTCGCGGCGCACCCGTATGCGCAGAAACAGATCCTGGACGCGACGAACCGGATTCTGAACGACCGGTTCTTCAGCACGAGCGACCAGGTGGAGAACTGCATCAAGCCGTACAAGTTTGAGATCGAGCTCGAGGAGCCCGAATGGGCCAAGGCGCGCGAAAACGCCGGCCGCGTGCTCCGCGACGAACTGCGAGCGTGCGAGTCGGCCCTCAAGCGCGTCGAGGAGACGGTCGGCAAACGCAAGCTCAAGGACGTGATGAGCTTCATCGACCATGTACGCAAGGGCGAGATCGTCCTCGAGGGCGACGGCTCCGCGGGGGCAGGAGGATTCAGTTCTGCATTGCTGGAAAGGGGTACGCTCACCTCCTTCTTATCATTCAAGATCATACTGTTTTGCTGACTTGCTACTTTGCTTTTCAGGCCGCGAAGGCGTCTTCCTCCGCGACCGATCGGAAATCATCAAGATGCGCCTGCTAGCCATCCGGTCGAAACAGTGCGCCTCAAAGAAGAACCAGATGTACTGTCCGGAGATCTTCCTGGACGCCGTGGCCGACAAGCTCACCGCGACGGCCGTGCTCTTCCTCAACGTCGAGCTCCTCTCGGAATTCTACTATAATTTCCCGCGCGAGCTGGACGGCCGCCTCGGCCGCCACCTCTCCGACGCCGAGGTCGAGCGGTTCGCCCGCGAGGATCCCCGGGTGCGCAAGCATCTGGACGTCATTCGCAAGAAGGAGCTGCTCGAGCTTGCCTTGCAGAAGATAGAGGGCATCCGTCAGCTCGATCCTAGGGCCAACGCCAGCAATCATACTCTTGGAGCAGGTGCTTCGGGTCGTGCTCAAGAGAAAAGGAGTCGGTGGAATTTATTCTAACCAAATTTCTCACTATTACCTTTCTAGATTGACTTGAGGAGGTCACACTTGTCGGGTCTTCTAGTTATATTAAATCATTAATACGTCCGCTCTGTTCAAAATAAAAATAGGTCATCTCTGGCGTAATAATCTAGTGTTGAAGAGTATTGAATTACTGGTCTATTCTATCTATGCTACATTCTTTTTTCCTCCGCAATAAACACTATGTCACAGGACAGGATCACAAAGGAGATCAGACGATAAAACAGAGAGAGACAGGACAGGAAGAGGAAGCCAACATTGTAAGGCGTAGGTTGTTCGAGGCATGCTTCTTTTTTTTTCTTACTCCCGCGAGACGTCACGGCCGAACAGGCGGGCTTTGATCCAGTCGACGGCGACGAGGACACGGTTGCGAGCTGTAAATTAGTTAGGAGACAAGACTTTTAGAATGACTTGGAGGAGAGTACAAGGGAGGGGGCTTACAGCTAAAGCACATGCTGAGGTAGGCAGACCGCCAGAAGAGATAGGTCATGGTACCGCCGGAGGCGATGTTGCCGCTCAGCCAGGAGATGTCGGCGACGGCGCGCTCCTTGCCGATATAGGCCAGACTACCCTGGTGGGAGTACTGGAAGGGACCGATCTGCTTGGTGCGACGGAGCTGCTTCTGGAGCTCGCGGATCTCGTCGAAGACGGCGTTGCGTTCGTCGTCGGTTTTGGCGGCTGCCTGGGCGGAGGACAGCTTGTGGAGTTCCTTTTCGATGGTGTCCGTCTTGGCCATGGTGTTGAACAGGCGCGCCAGGAAGGCTCCCTCCTGACCCGCGACCTGGGCGGTGGGCGCGTAGTTGGTCACGGCGCAGTCGCCGACGGCCCACACGTTCTCCGTCCCGTTGACTACCAGGTACTCGTTGACTGCCAGGCCACGGCGCGAGGTCTTCTGCGCGGGCAGCTGGTTCATCAGGTCGCGCACCACGCCGCGCACCGCATTGCCCGTCGCCCAGACCAGCAGACCGTAGGGGATCTTCTCCAGCGCCTTGCTGCCGTCGGGGTTGGTCACCTCGGCCTCGATGTACTTGTCCGTCACATTCTTGACCATCGTCTTGGCCCGGATCGTGATTTCTTCCTCCTTGAAGGTCGATTCGGTGTAGTCGATCAGTTGCTTGGAGAACATGGGGAGAACCTATAGATCTTAGTGGGAACAAACCGAAGGGGAATAATGTTCAGCATACGTTAGGAAGAGCCTCGACCAAGGTAACATGGAAGTTGTCCTTGATCTCGGGAATCCACTTCTTCAGATCATCGTTGAAAAAGTCCTGCAGTTCACCGGCGAACTCGACACCCGTGGGGCCACCGCCAACGACAACCATGTGCAGCAGGCGCTTGACCTCATCCGGGGTCTGGTCCTTGAACATGGCGGTCTCGACGCAGTCCATGATGCGAGTGCGAATTTTCTGGGCGTCACCGACTTCCTTCAGGAAGCAAGAGTGTTCACGGACACCAGGAATGCCTTGAAAAATTAGGATCCAGAAAGAAAGAAAGAAAAAGGGAAGATAAAGGAAGTACCAAAAGTAGCGTTTTCAGCACCGACACCGACGACAAGCATATCAAAGGGCACTTCGTTATGAGCCATGTCGCCCTTGATCTCGGAGTCATCGGAGATGTGAACAACACGCTTCTCATAGTCGATCTTGGTAGCCTCGGCCTCGTAGAACTTGACGGTGGCCTTCTTGTGACGCAGGATGTTACGGATCGGCTCCATGATGGAGCGGTGCTCGATCAGACCCGTTGTGCACGAGGGCAACAAGGGGGTGAAGAGGAAGTAATTACGCGGCGAGATAACCACGACATTGTAGTTTTCCGTGTCCAGCTTCTTCAACAGGGAGACCGCACCCCATCCGGTGCCTAATTAGTTAGAAAGAAAGAAAAAAAAATCTCAATATAACGGTATTGATGAAATAGATGATGAGCCTACCCAGAATGACGAGGGTCTTTTTGGTCGGATCCGACTCCAACTGCTCCTCGGGGTGACGCAGCGAGTAGATACTGTAAGCCAGCGCACCGGTCATACCCAGACCACCCAGCCAAGTCAAACGCCAGGTCCATCGCAGCAATCTGAAGCGCTTCTTCGGTTTGGGGGTAGGGGTAGGGGTAGGAGCCGGGGTTGATGAGGAGGACGCAGACGAGGCGTCGGCGTAGGTTCTGCGGGCGAGCGCAGCAGAGAAACCGGGGCGACGAGCGATGCGCAGAGCAGGGGAGGTGAGGGATCGCGTCGAGAGCGACCTGCGCGACAACGACGAGAGCTGCATCATCGAAGGGGAGGCAGTGACCGGGGCAGCGGCCGGCAGCCTGGCACGGACGGCGCGGGCTGAGCAGTTTGCTAGCGCACCAGCCATTGTGTGGGAGTACAGGAAGAAAGAAGGGAGAAAGGAGGGGAGAGAAGAGTCTGTATAGACTAGAGTCTAATAGACTATGAGTCTATCCTTGTAGACCAAGTCTTGGATCCGTGACGGACACAAATCCTACGCCTACGGAAGCGTTCGGCGGACAAAAAAATCTTCCCTGGCGATAAGAAAAGGGAAGGTTGGAAGATTCCGACTGTTTCGGGCGCGTCGGTGTGACTTTGCCGAGTGACAACAACAACAATAACACGAGCTATCAATTACCTAGTTAACTAACAGTTGATTGTATCTCGACGATAGTATTGTTTGATTATTTCTTATTATATGGAATATATTTTAAATTATATGGCTATACTACATATAAATAGTAGTAGTTATCAAGAATGTCTGGTTGAGGTGTGGATGTCGGCTAATGAAGTTGTTCGGCATCTATTGTTGGACCTACGAGAACTAACCAGATAGTTAACTACCTAGGTAACTAGGTAGCTACTACATAGAGATACGGGGATAGTACTTATTCTATGCTGTGGTTTCTATTGCTTGGTACTGATGATATAAGACTGAAGTACAACTCGGCATAGTTGACAGATATATAAATGTAGTGTCTACGTACCGTAAGCATGTGAATATCTACTTGGTGCAGGTCCAGCTAACTGCGAGTATTCACTAATAATATCAACAAGAGAGTACCTACTCCGTATAACTAGAAGGCAACTAGTTACTGATACTACGAAGTACATCTAGTAGAGTACGGCAGACTACGGCAGACTACGGACAGACTACAAAAACTGTACAGACCAGATACCTACTAACTAGTTAGTACATCTTCACCTCATCCGCTGTACTCGTGTACTCCGTATTATTGTCTGCGAGGCGAGGCAATGTTCAGCCGAGCAAGGTTGCGCGACCAGGGGGTCATGTCTCGGTCACAGAGTTCGGTCACAGTCAGAGTTTTGTACTGGGACGATCCGTAGCACAGTCGCTGCAGTCATAATAGCAATAGATAAGTCAAGAGGTAGCAGAATAAGTATTCATCCAAAGAGATAGGATTCTAAAGAGATTTTACAGAATGAATCTTTATCAAGCCAAGGCTTTGAGTCGAGTCGAGTCGAGTCGAGTCGAGACTCTGGACTCAAGTAGAGTACGTACTACGTAGTCGTGCTCATGCAAACGCTTGGCTACTCCATCATAACCAGGTCGAACGTACCATGCTTCTTCCGTACGGAACATCTTGTCTCGACCCTCAAGCCTCATCTGGGTCATAGGATTCGGTGGCGTGGGCCAGGCGTGGCAGGCGACACGGACTGTTTGCAGCGGGGTCGCTAATGTGGAGTGATGATACGAGAGAACAGTAAGAGTAAGTAAGTAACTACTCTGAGTAAAGAGTAATAGCAAAGTAAATATTATACTGATTAATAACTATATGATTACTCAGTAAGAGAGGTACATAAGCAAGGAGGGTAGACATTAATATGTTTCACTAAGCAATTTCACTAAGCAATTGTTAGTGAATTACTACGTTGTTGGCAATTCTCTATAAGGAGAACTCGTATGTATGTAGTATTCCGTGGAGGCTGAGTGGAACGCTGATCCAGCAGAAGATTCCATTAATTATGAGACAGTAGTGATAACTAACTCTGTATGTAGTAGTATGGAGTCTATGGAGATGAATAAAGTGGTGGCAATAATTAGTACCAAATAGTAGTCAATGTCCGAGTATTCCGGAAAGATAATATTATACTATAGTATTAGTATTAGTATTAGTATTATTATATTATTATTATTATTATTTACCTGAAAATCTTCATTATTAATCTCCACTTAAATACATATGTAGTATGTAGAGTCAGTCTTACCGGAGTATTTGTATTATGACTACTGCAATCTATTCGAGTGAGTAGCTGAACTTAATAACTTGTTCATACTATGTAACTACTCACTCCTAATTAATAGTACATTATTATGTAGGTACTTGTAGTAAGTACCTACTCCCTCCGTATACTCCTAATACCTCGCACGGTCCGATCCAGAACCAGGGAAGCTTCTGGCGACTGACGTAAGGATTCGTGTGATTCGCGCGGCCCTCAGGCAGCAAAATTACAGTGACGATCAAGATAGACTCCTGAGACTACTACCTCTACATACCTTATAACTACTAACTGCTAGGTAGGTAGGTACATAGTAATATTATGGGTAAAAGGAATACTACAGGGTAGGTTGCTTACTCTATACATTATAGACTAAAGAACTATGTATGTAGTATGTAGTATGGTACAAGTATACAGGAGGACTTGTAGTCAGTCTCTAGAGTTGAAGACTATCACCGATAACATAGGTTGAGACTTAGTGAGAATGTACTCCGTAAGACCAAGAATCAGAAGTCCAAAAGCCACCTAGTAAAGTATCCTACATAACTACCTACCTACTCATAGTATCTAGTGGGTCATTTGGGCCAAGCCCGCAGCTGGACGATTGCAGGCGACCGACTGACCGAGGGGGTTGCCAAGGACTGGCCTGGTTAAGGAAGGTGTGTGGGTTACTTACTACATAGTTTTTGACCTCGGAAGTACTACCAAGTACCACCTATGGAGTACCTGGTTGACTACTAGGCAAGTCACCTACTAAGGGTACCTACCTAGTACATATTTAGTCGGAGTGAACACTTAAGCGCTAACAGTGGAGTGTGGACCTCCATTACTGGTTAGGATTAGTTGTTAGTTTAGGTACTCCGTTACTGGTTAGCGACAGTCCAGTTCTTTGTACAGAGGACGCTAAACCATCTCCGTACTTACTCCGTAGTCTTACAGATCCATACTTCCCATACGGACTCTACGGAGTCCCTAAGGTTTACGGAGTAGGTACTCCGTACTTGCATTGCACCCGGTTTTGACTCTCCGGCTCTTCCATCAGTACATCCATCTCATCCTACGTCAAAACTTGCGTAGTAATTAATGTACTTATTAAGTACCTACCAGGTAGACCTAGGTACCTAGACACCTAGTAGTACCGAGTAGTACTCCGTACCTAGGTACCTATACTGAACTACTACATACTACCAGGTAGTTGCTGGACCATACCGATCCACAACAGGCTAGCGGATCCTGGGTTGTATTGTTTGGAAATAATACACAAGGGTACACCCTTGGCCAATAATGTCTTACTACTCATTGCTGGAAGAATCCTGTCACAGCCACCTTGCGTATGCATTACTTTCCTGTATGGTATTGCTGGTTACTAGGAGGTAGTATACTCATAGGTCCTTCCCTTAGGTACCTCCTAGCTGGTTACCTAGGATACAAGTATAGAAGAAATATGTAGTAGAATATTATGTAGTACTAATATGTAGTATATATACTATTTAATAATATATGAGTTTAATAATTATTCTATCTACCTTAGGTACCTGTTATGTAACTAGTACCTACCTACTCTGTAATACTCTGTACTCCGTACAGTACTCTGTATCCAAACTCTGTCTTTACCACACCCTGGCTCAACTCAACTAGTCGTGCTCCAGAAAGATGATCGCTCCGCTTCAGACGAAGGAATAAACTGTCTTGACCTCATTTCATTCTTCTTGGGCCTTTTTTTTAGCTTTTATTTTTATTTTTATTTTATTTTTATTTTTTAATATTTTTTTTCAAAAAAAAATAAATTATTATTTATTTAATTTTTTCTTTTTGATTTTTATCCCCCATTTTAGATTCATCTAAACTGTCTGGTTCCTCTGCGCTGCCCTCCTACTGGTCCCTGCTGGGCCTCGCTCCTATCGTCTGAACACGGTTCCCTTCATATATCCCTGGTCAGAAAAAAAAAAGAAGCCAGTGACGAAGAGGATCCTCCCATCCGCTCAACCAGGAGGGAAACATACACACACATACACACACACACACACAGACATCACTCCCTTCCCTTCTCTTACACCCAGAACGGGTCCTGGACCGTCCAGTGGTCACTGGTCCGTCGTCGTGGTGCCGTCTCCAGTCCCAGTCCGGGCGTCCACCGGCTTCACCTTCCGCCGTTGTATTATTACTACGATGTGATTCCCGCCTGTTCCTTGGCTGGCTCCTTCATTCCTCGCCAGACTTATTATAATCCATTAACTAGAGACAGAACGTTGTCTGTTGGTTAATAGACAGTCTGACGCTGGTTAATTCCTCACTACCACCACTACTACTTGTTACTACTGCTGTTCCGTTATATACTTCGAGCCGGGTCCTCATCGGCTCATGGGTCAAATGTGTATTCCATGACACCAATTACTATTGTTTCCTCCTCTTTCACCATCCCACGCTTACGCTCTACATCGAACACTTCTCTCTGTCCTGATGCCGTCAAATCTCGTTCTCAACCCGTTGCTGCATCCGCTCTCCGTCCCCGTTTCCGTCCCCGCCGCCCTCTACCACCCTGACGTGCTTCCTCCAAAGACCACAACGGGCGATTGTCCCTCCAGGTGGACTGCGGCTCCCTTACGGGACGGTCTGCCAACGCCTCCAAACGAGATGAATGGTCTAGCATACAGCTTCATGCCTTCGACAACAACGACAACTAATTATGGCGCCAAGCTAACCGGTACCTCCTCCACCGTGCCCTATGGCAAGCTTCCTGCCTACGTCAATGCTCGATCGACAGTGACCCCGACAACAACAACAACATCATCATCATCATCATCATCATCGACAGGTAAAGCAGCCATGGTATCTGCTTCCCAGGCGGCTGGTCCGTCAACCAGAGACACCGCCGTTCCGGTCAAGTCGACGCAGAGCTCCGTGGCAGCTTACCTGCAGATTCCTTCGTCCATCAACGATACCAAGGGCAGTCTGGCCGAATTTGCCGCTCAGGTAGGTCGATCACAATCAATTGGATAGAGGGAGAGAGAGACAGATGAGCTAACAAGTGAATAGATGACCTGTCTGTTCTGGTTTGAGAAAACTACCAAGCTCAAGGCTATCGAAGACCGCTCTCATCTGGCCCTCGCCCTTGTCCCTGAAGCCTTCCCCACCATTGGCTTTCAAAAATGGGTCACCACCATCCTGTCAACCACCCAGGTGAGCCAGAATGTCATCCTTCTGGCCCTCTTGTTCGTCTATCGCTTGAAAAAGTTCAATCCGGGCGTCAAGGGCAAGAAGGGCAGTGAGTTTCGATTGATGACCATAGCATTGATGCTGGGAAATAAGTGTGAGTCAAGGTTCTCATTCTCTTAAAAAGAAGTAGGAATCAAAAGCTAACCTGTCAGTTCTCGACGACAATACCTACACCAATAAAACATGGGCCGAAGTCTCAGGCATTTCCGTCCAAGAAATCCATGTCATGGAGGTCGAGTTTCTCAGCAATGTCCGCTACAATCTGTTCGTCTCCAAAGAGGAGTGGTCCGCCTGGCACGCCAAACTTGGCTTGTTCGCCGACTACTTCACCCGTGCGTCCCGGGTGCCTCTCAACGACCGGCGCAGCCCGACTGCTCCGCCTCTCCAGATCCCATCTGCGAGTCTGCTTCCTCCCACTCGCACGCAGCCCGTCTCGCCTTCGTCGAAACTGCCGTCCCCGCCAGCTTCGGCACCCCTGGTTGCTCCGAGTCACTGGAACATGCCTTTCAACAATGGGGTTCCTCCCCCGTATCTCCCCAGCGAGATTGCTCCGCCTTCCATCAACTCCTACCGCAAACGCAGCCGAGACGAGTATCAGATGGACGAGCAGCCGGCCAAGAAGATCATGATGTCCAACAATCATCCCACCCTCCCGCCATCCTCCTCTTCTTCTTCAGCGGCCTCTACTCTGGGTAGTATCCCCACTCTCCCTCCCGTTCTCGCCCAAAATTCCCTCCCAACGTCTCTTCCATCATCCCACGTTCCGATGGCAAGCGTTGTGCCACGCCTCCCGCGACCCAATCCACCGCCTCTCCCGGCGACAACCACTGTACCGCATCTTCCAGTCCCTCCTCCGTCAGCTGTCCCTCCTACTCGTCCCATGACGACCGCGGCGGCTGCCGCCTTTACTACCCCGCAGGCCACATGGACGCACCCGCCAGTGACTAGCGGGTTGTACAGCACGCCCGTCTCGCTACCGGACCCGAACCGACTTAACAGTAGCCCCTTTGGGGTCCCCTCGACGACGACTTCCCCCGCTGTGTCAGCGTACTCCGTCCATACGCCACAGATGCACCTCTCCCCGTCCTTCTTCCTCGCGAACCGCAACTCCCCTTACCGGCCCGTCCGTGCTGTCAACACCCTGTTGATCCCTCCACCCTCGGGTTCCCTACTACAGCAGCGCAGCATCCCCTTTGATCACATGCACTACCAGCCCCTGGGCAAGACTGCCGAACGTAAGACGGGTCTCCTGCCGTATGTGCAAGATGTCTGGCCTACCTCGGGGTCGGGCCCAGTCTCAGCCCTGGGCTCAGCCACAGCGCCCGGACCAGTCCCAGGGTCAGCACCTCAGGGGCAATTCCTCCAGCCCGTGTTTCACAACTCACCGAGCTATCCTTGATACGAGCAATGATGTACATACCTTCTTCTTTTCCTTCTTCTTCTTCATCTTCCTCTTCTACTTCTTCTCCCCTTTTTTTTCTCCTTATTCAATGTTTTCACTATTACTGTTATGACTGCATGTCTGGTGTTCTATAGAGTGATACAATAGGGGGGATCGTTGCTTCAGTAGCATAAGTGGCATTTGCATCTGCATTTTTTTGGCGTTCAACATCTATACTTAGGTACAACTACCACGACTACTACTACTCACTAGTTATACAACTACTATATTAAAGTTCTACCATCCAGTACTACTAGTATCTACCACTAGTATCTACTACTAGTACTCCTGACCCAATAATGAGCTATACGTTACTCATCACCATGCTGTAAGTTATCCTTCGCTACCCGATTACAAGGAACAGTGCTAGTTCAAGGTTTGCTCAGTTCTAGTCGACTCTTAGGGCCAACCTAAGATTCCGCCCAATCAACCAGGCACATGGGGATCCATGAAGTTGTCTCCTATCATTAACTTGGTCGTTCAACTAGCCCGCTATGCTTGGGGTATCTCCCATCTTGGTGCTTATGGCTGTGCTTATGGTTGTTGCAGGGTTTGTTGCTTTTCTTGGAAGAATCGAAGAGTTCAAGCAGAGAAAACCATCCATCTCCTTGGTAGGTCTGAACAGCAGTATCCGTACTGTGGCCATCGTTGGTTTGCATTTCCGTCAGATCCTGCATATTACACTCCCGTCAATATGGAGTAGTGCTGATCAACAGGAAAGAGTAGACCCGGGATTCCTAGATCAGCTGCATAGTGCAAGGGAGACATTGACTGTGTAACCAAGGAGGTAGTTCAGGGGACGACCTGGATGACGGAGTACGTGGACTTGGTGACTAGGCTATTGGCGACGCGGTACTTATGTGCTCGGTATGAAGTTAAGGACACTGCCTTACTGCAAGTATTCGTGGTTGGTTGATTTCTTTTTAGTTGGTAGACTACGGAGCGTACTTGGAAGTTTAGGAAGTTTAGGAAGTAGTTGGTAATTGGTACTAACGGTGATATCACGTGATCACATCGGCGCCGGTTTTTCCGCGGCGCTCAAACGCAGGGCCTTTTCCAGCCCGAGTGCTTTGCTGCGTAGCCGGGAAAAGGCGAAACCACACCCAGACACAACCACGATGCCTCCGCGGATTTCGGTGCTGCCTGCGCAGCTGCAACAGTTGGTCTCAAAGCCCGTGCAGGCGGCTTTCTCGCCCCTATCCTTCCTGCTGCCCCAATTGCACCAGCAGAGCCGCCATGCCCACATTCTAGCCTCGCTCTCCGATACGCCCGGGGCATACAGCAAGAGGATCCGACGGGGTCGAGGTCCGGCCTCGGGGAAGGGAAAAACCTCGGGAAGAGGTCACAAAGGTCAGGGCCAGCATGGGAAGGTGCCTGCAAACTTCAACGGTGGGCAGACGCCAGAGATTATTGTCCATGGCGAGCGCGGTTTCAAGAACGTGTATGATTCTTTCCTCCTCTCTCCTTGAGGGTGTGTTATGAAAAAAAAAGAAAGAAAAGAAACAAATCCCACTGATGATTTCAATAGGCTGTCTGTGGATATGGCACCCGTGAACCTCGACCGGATTCAAGAATGGATCGACCAGGGCCGGATCGACCCAACCCGTCCGATCACGGTACGTGAACTGGTCCAGTCGCGCTGCATCCATCAAGTCAAGGATGGCGTTAAGGTGCTGGGTCGGGGAGGCGAGGGTGTTCTCAAGCAGCCCATCCACCTGGTTGTTTCTCGCGTGTCCGAGTCCGCCATCGCCGCCATCGAGACCGCCGGCGGCTCCGTAACGACCCGGTACTACACTCGCTCGTCGATTGCGCGTATTCTCAAAAGGGAGACACATCCCTTCGTCTCGACCGCCTGGGACCTGAAGAGCGGCAGCGAGGCTCTTTACAAGGCTGCCGGCGTGGAGGAGGAGCTGACCGAGTCCAAGATCATGCAGGAGATGGGCTTCCGCTATCGTCTGCCGGACCCGACCGGCCGTAAGGACATCGAATATTATCGTGACCCGGCACATCGCGGGTACCTTAGCCATCTCCTCAAGCCCATGGAGAGCCCCAGTCTGTTCTTCCGCTCGCCGGCAGAGCGCAAGGCTGCCACGGGCAGCAGGAAGGAGAAGGTTCTGCCGGAGAACAGACTCTGGTAGTGATGGTGTTGAAAGGATATCCTCTTCTAGCTCTTTTTTATTTCTTCAGCTCTTGTATATTAAACATGGTCATCAACAATATATTTTGTACTCCACGGCTTCTATCCTCAGTATGAAAATTCATTGGTAAAAGAATCGTTTGTTATCCTACATCCTTATATCGAAGAAGTACGAATGAGAGACTTGTTTCGTGCTTTATATATTCAATTATGCTTCGTTTAAACACTCATAATGAACGGAGAGAAACCGAGAATACCGAAGCAGAGGAAGACATGGCAAGAGTGGGAAAGATAGGGGGGAAAAGATCTTGAATGATAAAAAGAATACTTAACGAACCAACGCCATCTTATTACCGCTTGAAAAGACCCCCCCCCCCCCTCTCGCTATAATGTAGATAGCCCGCCTTGAACCCGATGTTGTCACGCAAAAATTCCCAGAGAAAACCGTCGAAGACAATAAAAACAAAATAAGAAAGAGGGTATCATTGATGATGAGTCCTGCTCAACCAGTGCTTGTGTTTTTGGGTGCAAAAGCACTTGGGATATGATCATCACCAGAGCTGTGCACCACATGCCCATTTCAAAATCGCTCATACTAATATAATGCTCAAACCCGAAGGGGAAAAAAAAGAGAAAAGGTATAATTCCGAGGTGGAAAAAGAGAAGACCTCCACAGGAGATCTCATCCCGTTCAAGAGAGGGAAGAATGTTCACAACCTCCAAACTGTATTGCTGGGGTTGTCGTCAGGATTTTCAGCATGGCCTCGAAGCCACTCCGAGGCTAAGATCCGACGGATTGTCCATCGACGATCGACTTCCATTTCAAGACAGCCTTTGATAAGTTCCAGTGCGGCTTTCCGGCCTTGACGGACTTCTGGGTCCTCGGTATCCCCTAGGACCGCAGAGTGATCCCAGTTCCCGCTCAGAATGTTACTCTGGATGCGCGGAGCGAATGGGTCTTGGAATGGTCTGGAACCGACAACGATCGTAAACACAATAACTCCGAACGCCCAGATGTCGACGGCTGGGTGGATGATGCTACTGGTCGAGGAAAGAAGTTCTGGGGACGCATATTCGAGGCTGCCTGCAATGCTGGTGCTTGTATCAGAAGGCCCGATGGTCTTCGGGGGCGGTCTGTCAGCTGCATTCTCATAGGGGTCCAGTGAACTGCATCCATTATCTGTAGTCATCCATTCGGCCATTCCAAAATCGCAAAGCACCAGGTTCGACGATTTGGTACCGTCAGCTGCAGTGACGGGATCGAGGAGACAGTTTTCAAGTTTGATGTCTCTGTGTACAACACGAGCGTCTTCATGCAAATAGCGCAGAGCACACGCCAACTGGTATGTGTATTTCTTCGCCAGGGTTAGCTCTAGTCCTTGGCGGTTCTGCCGGATCAAATCGAAGAGCGTTCCTCCAATGGCCAGTTTGGTGAAGCAAAACGTTGCATAATCCGTTTCGTAGACCGCATCAAGTGCTAGCACATGAGAGTGGTTGAGATAGCGCCAGACCCGAACCTCGTGGTCGAACTCTGCCTGCACCTGATCGTTTTCCCGCTCGCTTTTCCCCGTAACGTGCTTCCTGACGATTTTGACGGCCAGCCGTCTTGTTTCGCCGGTTCCCTCGACTTTGTAAGCTTCCTTGACCGTACTAAATCCTCCAAAGCCAATCTGCTTCCCCAAAACGTAATCGGTACCGACCATCTGACCCTCGTCATCTGGCTGTGAGGCATGCTCGTCTTGCCCATTCCACATTGACAAGAATGTACTCGCCGGTGACTTGCCACTTGAGGCAGTGGAGCGACGTGATGTGCCCCTGAGGCTTCCGTATCGGCTGCGGGGCTTGCTCCCAAAGGGTGTGATGGCCCCGGCGGACCAAGAATTATGGCCTTCTAACAATGCCGATTGTTGGGTGGGAGAAACCGCACAGAATGGTGACATCAAGTGTTCGCTGGCGCTTTGGGGAGGGGTCTGCGGTTCTTCATTCAGTGGAGAGGCAGTGGATAGGGACGCGAGCGATGTGAACCGCTCGAGATCACTTCCAATCGAGACGTCATCTTCAGGACTCGCAAGGCAACTGGTACGAGAATATCCAGTGGGCAAGAATCGTTGATTCTGAGGCCTTCTGGGGCTAGAAACCCAGGCATAATTCTCGCGGTTGTCACACGCGTAACGGTCCTGGGAAAACGCATGCCTTAGACCTGAAGTCCGTAATCGTGGTTTGAGAGACACTCGGGCTTTGGCCTCTGTGCTGTGTAAGGGTTCTTCAAGAGAGTGATGTCGACCAGATTCAATATTGGCTTCAGCGTTGATGCTGATGGACCGGCGCCGATGGTGAAGGAAGCTATCGAATGGCGATGCTTGAACCTCCTCCGGTTTGTGTGGAAAATCGAGGTATTCACTAGTCGGCTGGTCGCCGGGGCGAGGAACCGATATTGGCGGTGTCGCTGAATGCAAATCATTCAATACACTGCTGTCTTCATCAGTACCGCGACGGTGTGCGTCATAGTCTTGAGAGATAGTGGTACGGTCGCCTTCGACACCATCCCCCTCGCCCACCGCCGTTCTCTTATCTCGACCATCCCCAGACCATCCAGACCGTTGCAAGTGATGAAAGGATTTCCCATCAATTCTCAAGCCTGCCAATCCATTCCTCTGTGTTTGCGCCATGCCCTCCCCAAGAGTGAGATACGACCTCCGAAGCAAAGACCAGTGTAACGCTTGTATGCATTTAGATCATACACGGACCCAGTAACCTCTTCTCTTGATCTTATTCAATATCGTCGATGAAGGTGTGCGAAATGGGGATCCTATCATTCACCCAAAGTCGAGCAATACGGAGTGTCGCTACTTGGGGTGACACGGCGATACGAGGTTAACGAAGTATATATGCTGTAGAGGTGGCAAGGGCTGGGGTCCCTGCACAATTCACTAGGCTTGAGGGAAAAGCAGCCTTGACGTAGCCAAGTATGTCGACTGTGCCCCAGTCTGCACGGCAGGAATGCGAAAAAAAAAAGGTCTTTCTGATGGGAGGACGAGATTTTGGGGGGGGGGGAAGATCCTCGGGTGATGACGGAGCTTACAATAGCAGGCAGCGGGGATGATCGATCGTCAGTCCACAGAGTCCACAGACCGGGCGCTTAACCTCATTCGTAGACCGGACCCAGAAGTGTGACGTTTAGAAGTGGATTCATTGGACCCTATAGGAAAGCCCTATGCCCTAAGTGCTGTAGACGCCACAGCCACGGCTATTGGCCAGCTACCCGCAGCATCAGCCCCAAGCCCCAGGGGCTGATACAGGCGCGCGCAAGGGGCGTTTGTATGAAGGACCTCCTTTTGTCTGGCCTAAGTCCGGGGATACCTTGGGTATTGTGAGTCCAGCTGGCTTTGCAATTGTGCCCTGTTGGTCGCAGCTGTTGTCGTTAATCTTCTGTTTCATATAAGCCTTACAGTCGCTCTGGGAGTTACCATTTCCTTTCTTCTCTACCCGGGCTACTCAGGAGAACACTTTGGTCGTTTCTCTAGTCTTCCCACCTGCGAACTCTCTCCTTGACCAGGCCGGCATTGGCGTGTTTATTTTTCCGTTCTTTTTACACCCTTTCATTACTATCTGGAGGTTTTATTTGGTGTCTTGATGGGAATATAGCTTAGCCTGGCGCTTCTTTTTCTTCCACGGTGTTTGTCGTTCGATTCGCTCCCTATCGGCTGCCCTGCACTCGTCACCATTTAACACACCGGAACTATGACGCGACCTCAAATGATTCGGGCCGGTAGGTGCTGCTGTCGATTGAGACTGTGGAAGACCGAAGGGGTAGTCGGCGTGTTGCTGACTGAAGCATGGTAGATACGCTCGATCTCCAAAACCAAAAGTCACCATCTGCCCAAGATCACTCACGACAGCCGACGCAGCCAGCGCCTCTAGGAACCGGCCGGCCTGCGCCTCATCAGGAGAAGTCTCTTCAGCGTGCTGAGAAAGACTCACAGGTCGAGATTCTGCCCGGATCGGATGATGAGAACGAGGAGGAGCGTCCAGATGGCATAGATATCTATGACGAGCCAGACGAGTTAGAGGCTGATACCGGGGAAAATGATGGTCGCGATTCTCAGTACGAGAACGAGAACCTTACTACTGAAGAAGGCGATCTTGCCGACGGTGAATGCGACGACCTCATGGACGATGATATGATGGACAAGATCTCCAGCTCACCATCAATCGATGACGGTCTGTGTTCCCTTCGTGACCCACTTATTTCTATCAAAAATAGTATATCCGCTGTGCTGTTGGGCAAAATGGCTGACCGTATTCAGAGGACATTGATTTCGAATTTGTTTATGCGCTTCACAACTTTGTCGCGACGGTTGAAGGGCAGGCAAATGCGGCAAAGGGAGATACCATGGTCCTTCTTGACGATAGTAATAGCTACTGGTGGCTTGTACGTGTCGTAAAGGATGGCAGTATTGGTAGGTCCCCATTTGGCTTTACTTGTCAAAACGATCCATCTGACAAGATACAGGTTATTTGCCTGCCGAGCATATTGAAACACCAACTGAGAGACTGGCAAGATTGAACAAACACCGGAACATTGATGTAAGCCCCGAAGGAGTATAGGCGTGTATGGAGAACAAAACTAAGACGCACAAGCTTTCGGCCACAATGCTCGGTGATAACCCGGAAAAATCAAAGAACCCTTTGAAAAAGGCGATGCGTCGAAGGAATGCGAAAACGGTGACATTCACATCACCAACATACATTGAAGCATCGGATGTTGAATACTCCTCGGACGAGGAACTTGAAGGCCATGACTATTTCAACGACGACGATGACGAAGTCCAAGAGGACCAGGATGCTCATGAGAGTCAGGACGAGAATATCGTGGTTGAGCCTCTGAGGCCTAAGCCTCTTCGAGAAAAACAGACCGAGGAACTGGAGACCATTGAAACTCAAGATTCCGATAGTGCAGGCGCCGAGAGAACTAGTGAGGAGATCTTTGAATCGCCAAGTGAGTTTTACATCCTTATTCCCATCAGGCCAGCCCCCCCTTAAAGAAAAGAAAGCGGAGACTAATATCGCCGTTTCAGCGGAACCTACAGTTAGCAGATCCAGAAATGGCACTGTGAGAAACACAGACTCTTTCTTCAAGGATGATACAGTCGAGACTAAAAAAATCTCTTTGACTCCGAACCTTCTGCGTGATGAAGTCAGCAGCGGCTCACTTGCTAATGATGCAAGAGAGGTAAAGGCCCTTTCTCACTATCCGGTTTCGAGAAGCAATACTGACCGGTCCTTCCAGGGCCGTGGAAGTTTCGAGACTGGTGAAAAAGGTCTTAATTTTAACGACCGGCTCAAAGAAGACAAGAAACGCAAAGACAAGAAATCGGGGATGCTCAGCGGGCTTTTCAAACGCAAAGACAAGAAGAGCAAGACTGCCGATGATGAGACCGAAGAGCCTACGGAGAGACTTTCAAGCGATACCCTTGTTTCCCAGCCCAAAACCTCACTGGATTCCCTGTCCCAGGAGACGCGAAATGCGAAATCCTCGGCGCCTCAACGCCAATCCAGCAAATTACAGAAACAGGCACCAGGAGATAAATCGCTTTCCAAATCTGATTCACAGCCAGAATCAGCAGTCTCGCCTATCGAGGCAGTCGGGAATACGGCTTCGATTCCGGAGCCGAATGCTGACCATTCAATCCGCCGAGTCATGTCTCAAGAAACTGATGGTAGTTCAGAATCCCCTCGAATGCGGACCTCTGTTGACGAGGTTCTCGAGACGGCGGCTGTTGCTGATCGGAGGAGTCTTATAAAAACTCGCTCTTCGTCCTCTTCAGACTCCAAGGAGTCTCTTACCCAACCTACTGAGGAGAGCTCGAGTGAAATGGCAAATAGGCCTCGTCAGGATTCGTTTGAACAGCCAGCATTATCCCAGCCCTCTGTGGCATCTCCACCGGAGAGGTTTCAGCCCCAGATCAATTTGGGGTATCAGGGTCGTGGCTCCGACTCCACAGCTCCTGTATCACCTTTGGAACCTCATGGGCCCAGTGGGCTCCCAGGATTGGTGCTTGATAACTCCTCGCAGGAAGAGCGCTCTATATCACCCATTTCCCCACCGCTGTCTCCAGACGCGGCCAACAGCATCACGAAACTACGTGGTGATACCCCTGCATCTGCTACATCCGTTTCGGCTAGAGTTCCCAGTTGGAACGATGCGAGCCTCCGGTCGTACCTGGACGATGAGAATGATATCCGTGATCTATTTATCATTGTGCACGACAAGTCGAACGTTCCGCCTGCAGGCCCCGATCATCCAATCAGTGGCAGTCTCTTCAAGGAGGAGACCAAACGATTGACAGAAATGACAGGCCAGCTTGACGAGATGCTTGTTGACTGGCTATCGCGGAAGCTTCAACACGGTCGTCGACTTAACCGGAATTCCAAGTCGTGAGAATCTCTCTGGGCTCTAGTTTCAGAAACCGGTGGGATATGACGAGAAACGATTATTTTTCTTTTGGCCTCGAGAAACTTAGGGGGGGAAATCTTCTCAAATGCATGTGCCGGACGCATAATTCCGAGCTGGTCTTGTTACACTCCTTGCCTTCTTCTTTCTCCATCTTTTGCTTTTGCCCGACCCTTTTGTCCTTTCCTTGATCCTTACAATCATTATTGACCAAATCTGGTCGCATTTGCAGAGCATCAACGTCATCGCGAGCGATACTATATATTTTATTTTCTTTCCTTTCTTTTTTTGAAAGGGAGTCTTTTGATTTTTTTTCCACTTCTTAGCCTCCCAGGCATTATTCCCCTGTTTTCCTGCCACCTCACCCCCCCCTACTCCTGTCCTCTATCGTGCTTCTCGTCAGTATATCCTCGATTAAGAAACAGTGCACCATCTCGTTCGTCCGATCTGCCGGTCGCCTGCTTTTCATCGTTAAACCTTTCTTTCTGCCTTTTTCCCTTACCTTGTTATACCCTGGTGCATATTTCATTTTCCCCTATTCTATTTCTTCATACATACATGGCTATCCTCTGGTAGCTAGGTAGTAGTATCGAATATTACTTTTGGCCTTTGTTTCTAGCATTTAAAAACAGCGTGTACACTCGTATTATCAAGGGATCGGGTCGACCTATGCCAGTGAACCCGAGCAAGGGAGGAAGGGACAAGGTAGTCTTTTCCAGCGTGCAAATACGCAATCAATATAGCCATTGATTAAGGCCACCTCTATACGGAGTATTCCGTGCAAAGAAACAGGGTGACTACAGAATCAACCTTACTATACTTGTACAATGTGAGACAACATTCTGATCGCCGTAAGGAGTTAAGAGAACACCATGATCGACTCTTTTGGAGGGGAGGCTTGGAAACCCTGCCCTTTCGATGGAGAGGGGGATATCCCGCCACCAGGATTCCTCACCTACAAAGGGCTGGTTAGGGCTCTGTGGGCTTGAGAGAAAGGCTGTAGTTTCTTCCTCCCCCCCCCTTTCAATTGCCTAGTGCTGTGCTGGGTATCTATTCTGATTAAAGACGCTGGCCGTCTAGATAGTATATTTACCATATCATTTTTTTTTCCCCCGTTTTTTTTCATTAGGTGGAATTGTTGGACATCCATCATAGGACAAGGTCTGTCTGCAACTGATTTTGACGGATCCATATCAGCGTGAGTATTAGTTTACCTTTTGATGCGGATATTATTGTATAATGTTGAATGTTCGAAGAACCGAAAAAGAAGGCTACACAATGCGTCCGACATGGCAGGCAGGCACTTTCCTGCTTTGGTTTCACGCGCACCATACGTTAGCCGTCTCGCTATCCCAATTCCAGGCCATTGCAGGCTTTCCTCCACTCTGCACAAGCACCTGGAACTCCGAGATTCCAGGCTGCGCGGCCGAAGACTTTGACCAAGGCCGCCGACCCTGTTCCGCAGCATGCATCGAGGGACTTCAATCCACAGCGACGACGCTCAACCAGACCTGTGCAGGCAGCGAGGTGGGGGAAGACACGCTGATCGGGCTCTTCTTCCGGGGACTTGGAGTCTCAACAGTGTGCCCTGGCAACGCGGTGGCTTCGCCAAAGGCTCTCGCCGGTACCCAAACAGAAGGTCGTCTGTCGAGGATGCCGACACCGCCATCACCATCACCACCACCACCACCACCACCCACCACGATAATTACCACGACTACCTCCTCCTCTTTCCCCTCGGAGCCTACAGAGTCATCATTGACTCCTTCGACATCGATGGCATCCACGCTTTATGAGTACAGACCACCAGCGACAACACAAGCGGTTTCACCGACAGACACTTGCCTCTCGGATTCGACCGTGACGAGTACCACGATGCACGCGACAAATACGGGAAAACCGTCAACTTCAATACTTCAACCCATGTCCGACCTAACCGCAACCAGCACGACCCACTCGGCGCCTGGATCAGACGAAACGCAAGGCTTCGGTGGCAGCGGCAACGCATTCGACATCCTGGCTGGGGGAGGCGCAACGCGAGACGGAGGGAAGGGCAGGGGGTGGGTGGGTGCGGGGATGGCAGTGGCTGCGATCTGGGTTGCAGGGATGTTTTAGCTGTAGAAAAAGGACTTGTTTATGTATGTAGCAGCATCTATTTTGTACTCCTTAGTTAGCTATTCTTGTACTACTACCGCCTAATCCGGGTGGAATTCGAATGAGCAGATCGATGAGTCACAAATCAAGCAATGTAGTATGTCTTATTGGCCTGTAGGTCGATGATAATAGCGTCTCCACCGATCTCGGTGTCCGGTGGAGATACAGGGTTTATGGAGAGTACGGAGGACTCCGTAGCCTTGTGAGCTGAGATGAGATTGGAAGAGTAGAGAGTCATAACTGACTAACAGGAGAAAACTTAGGTAGTTAGCTACTAAGGTAACTACCAGTTATCAAGTCAGTCAGGAGATACCTCAGGCAGGCCAAGTGCCAACTATTAATCGCGTTAAGTAAATGACAAATAGGGAATAGCCTATGGACGCCCGGGGCGTTATCACTAGTCTATCAGCGCCCGAGTCACGCAGGCAGGCAGCGTGACCGTAGATCGCTTATCACAGGCAGCAGGAGAGGAGAGGGAGGGACTCTCCTTGACTTCATCCCTATCTCTGTCTCTTCTCCTCTTTTCTCTTTCCTGTGCTCTTCTCTCTTATTCCTAGGAATCAATCTACTTTGTTGAAAGACTGTTACCAGCAGACAACACACCACAGATACAGATACAGACACACACACACACACCGACAAACCGAGATGCCCCCTCCCTTAATACATTTCGTCCTCCCCGCTGCGCTGCCTGCCCATTGCGAGCCCTCATCGCCGCTGTTGACCGCCATTTCGTCCTACCTGCATATATGTCTGCCCTCGCCGCTAGGTCTGCTCTCGTCGCTACTGGGCACGCTGAGCATCGTGTCATGGCTGTTCGCCCAGTTACCCCAGATCTACAAGAATTATGCTCTGCAGTCTACCTCGGGCCTGTCGCTGTTTTTTCTCGTCGAGTGGTGCCTCGGTGATACAACCAACCTGGTCGGTGCCTTGCTTACCCGTCAGGCGGGCTGGCAGGTTGTGATCGCTGGGTACTATGTCTTCGTCGACGTGATCCTCGTCCTGCAGTTCTTCTGGTACACCCACTACAAGCCCTCACGTGAGGCAGGATACCCCGGTCATCTTGCCCACCACCCTTCCTCGGGACCGAACACAAGCAATGTTCTCGACGGGCTGGCTTTGTCCGACGATGGCTCTGACGATTTTACTTCCCGACTGCCTCCCGCCGACCGCTCCGAGCCCAAGGCCGTGAGCGACGGGGCCAAGGACGCCAGAGAAGTGGCCCCCGCGTCTTCTCCGTACAACCAGTCTCGGTCGTATTCCAACGAGAAAGTTGGCTCCCCTGGCCGCCGGACAATCACTCGTTCGGGATCCCGTGGTGCATCGCTTCTCCCCGGCGCGTCGTCTCCACGAACCCTCCTCCTGGCATCGATGCTGTGTGCGATGCTCGCCCAGGCCGCCCAGGCCGCCCCAATTGAGCCAACCTCCGTTGTCACAGCAGCAGCAGCACCCATGTCTACCAGCGAGCTTGTCGGACGCATTGTTTCATGGTTTTCGACCATCCTATACCTCGGCTCGCGGCCCCCTCAGCTCTATAAGAACTACTGCCGCAAGAGCACCTCGGGCCTGTCGCCTCTACTCTTCATGGCCGCTTTCTGCGGGAACTTCTTCTACTCCGCCTCCCTGCTCACAAACCCTAACGCCTGGTCCGACTTCCCGCCCTACGGCGGTGGCGGCTGGGCCGACTCCCACGGCAACGACCACCTCGACTGGCTGATGCGCACCACCCCCTTTTTCCTCGGCGCTGCTGGCGTGCTCGGCCTCGACGGCTTCATGGGCGTGCAGTTCCTCATGTATGGCTCCAACGACGAAGACGACGACAGCTCATCCGACTGCGTCTTTGACGAGGCTGTCGACGACAATGACGCCCTTGCTAAACAGCCTCGCGGCCGTCGCTGGAAGCACGTCCGCGGCTGGATGAGAGGCTGGATCCCTTCCGACTCGCCTGAGCGACGTCCTACCCAGGAAACTCAATCACTCTTGGTTGATGCTCGCGAGAACTATGGCACAGTTTAAATCAGATGAATCATTGTCTGCTTTTTTTTTTGCATCAGGAACACACTGTTCCTTACGACTCATGATACCTTGCATTTTCTTCTAACTTAGATTCTTTTTTTTCCCCTGTTGCTCTTCATTTTCATTAAGCTTATTTGATATCAACCGACGCATAGACAGACATGCGCATTTCAACTTGCATGGTTCCCATCGGGGATATACTATACATCCACGGTGTTCTGGGTTCAATTCTAGTTTCATCTCTTTTCTTTCTTTCTTTCTTTCTTTTTTTTGCGAAATCTGATCCAGACTTGTCATGATTAGCAAGCACACCCCAGCGTAACGCAGATCATATAAGATATATGTATTTCGCCGTTGCTACACTATAGTCAGTAGTGTTTCAATGATCACATAAAGATATATTGACATTCATCTAATTATAAACACAGTAAAACGTTAATCAAATGGCCTGTTGAGTCGAGACACGGCCTTCAGTCTTGCAGAGCAATCTTGACGCCCTGCGAAGAAAGTTTGGCAACTGTATCAACATCAACAGGTAGGAGAATGTAAGTTGCTATCCCTCTCGGTGGTCCTCATCCTATAAAGTGCTGGGCCATCGTCGAGGTCAGAGGTTGGTTAAGGTACATATCGATGGGGCGTGACGGCGTGGCCATTCGAGGAAAAGAAAAAAAAGGACTTTTTTTCCCCCTGGCGAGTCATCAAATTTAATTCTTCCTCCCTTTTGACTCTCCGAGTATATGACGCCTCGTATGCGCCAAAGAGAAAATAGAGGGTGGGGAAACGCGGAACAGACGGATCAATCGACATTATTATCTCAAGCGAACAGCGAGCGACACGGCATGACCAGCACTAACCAAGTCTCGGATATGATGATACTGGACCCGACTCCAAATTCGCCTGACTTGATAGATTCTCATCAGCACAGGGGGATTTTGGCATCCTGTGTCCCTCGTTTGATGACATCTTCTAACCGCCAACGAGGAGGAGTGATCTTCGCCGCCTGTTGGCGGCGCCATTCGATTTCTTTTTCGGGGGGAGGGACCATGTCATCAGAAGGGACGGCACCGCCCGCAATGCCCGTGGAAAACTTGAGCTGCAACACATTGCCAATCTCGTCGCAGGCAGTGAGGACCCGGTCAAGGTCCTCCTTGGTATGCGCGGCGGAGACACAGAAACGCGCCCGGGACGACACCAATGGGGTGGCAGGATATCCAACGACGACGACGGAGATCTTGCGTCTCAACATCTCGTGTGAAAAGGCGGGCATCTTCGCAGGGTTGAAAAGGAGAAGAGGAATGATCGGCGAATCATCGTGGCCATACACTATAAAGCCAAGACGCTTCAATCCGAGACGCAGATATCGCGAATTGAAGGCCAATCGCTGCAACCGCTCTTCACCCTGTCCAGGAATAAGCTCGCCATTGATGATGCGCAGCGCCGTGGAAATCTGGGCAAGAACGGCAGGAGCAATGGTCTCGCCGTAGAAGACGCCGGAATTGGTGGCCCGAAGCTTGTCAATCATGGCCTTATCGGCTGCGATGTAACCGCCGTTGGCGCCAAATGACTTGGTGAGGGTGCCCATGAGAATGTCTACCTCGGCCGTATCGACGCCGAAATAGTCACAGACACCCCTACCCTGAGGGCCAATGGCTCCGATGGAATGGGCCTCGTCGACGAAAAGGTGGAACTTGTACCGCCGCTTGAGGGCAATGAGACCCGGCAAATTGCACATAGAGCCCTCCATGGAGTAGAGTCCTTCGACGACCACCAAGATCTTCTTCCAGGGTCTGTGCGTACGTGGCTGGCCTTGAGAAATGGCTTCCCGCAGCCGCATCTCCAGATCCTTCATGTCATTGTGCTTGAACATGCCGATGGATGCGCCAGACAGACGAGCTCCAAATCTGATTGAGGCGTGGTTGAGCTCATCCGAAATGATCAAGTCACCCTTTCCGACCAAGGCAGGAAAGATAGTGGCATTTGTGCCAAAGCCCATGGAAAAGACCATCGAAGCCTCCTTGCCCACAAATCTGGCGATCAAGTCTTCCACTTCGATGTGGAGGTCCTGGGTGCCGACTTCGGAACGGGTGCTGACCGCGCTGATACCGTACTTTTTGATTGTGTCTTCCACCAGGTCGGCACAGGGACCTTCGGACTGAGCGAAGCCTAGGTAGTTGTAAGAGCTCAAGTTGAGGGTATCGGTTGTGGTGCCAGTCAAGTGAAAGTGTTTATTGTGGTCATCGGTAGCCCGGTCGATCAGCGTGATGTACCGTCCTGGAACGCCGGTGACAGGACGCTCGAAGCAGTCATTGATCCGCAGTTTCAGGCGGCGCACGTAGAAGTTATCGAAATCGCTGTTCAGCGCGCCGTAACCGTTACGCGCCTTCAGGTGCCGATAGTTCTCTTCCCGAAACCGCTTACCGAAGAAGTCGCGGACGTGGCCGAAAGCAATTAGGATTAGGTAGCTGATATACGTGGTCAGGAGGTAATAATAGGGGGGCTCATCCATCACCGGCTCAGGAAACGGCCCACCAGGGTGCCGACTGGAATACCGGTGACTCGGATGGCCGATCGGGCCAAACTGAGCATGTTGCTTTGCCAGACGGCGCGCCTCCTCGGGCGAAGGCGGCTGAAACAGAGTCGTCGGCGGCTCGTCCATGTTCGAGTTCTCCGACGTGGCCGTAGAGAGGGAAATGGTCGGTAAAGACAGAGATGCCGAGCTGATCGGCGGGGCGGAGGTAGGAGGAGTATTAGAGCCGACAGCGGGCAGTTGTGCGGTCTGAAACCCGGACTTGGACCTAGGAGAGGTCGAGAAGAGCTGGCTCAGACGGTTGGACTTGATCGAGGGCGCCTTGAAGGCGATGCCGCCCTTGCCAGAGGCAGTCGGGAGGGACGTGGGGCTAGGAGAGGAATCGGTGGTGGAAGAATTGCTAGATCGACGAGGCATCGCATAAGGAAGCCGCCAGGTATATCCCGTGCTCGGACGAAATCGCGCGTTCTGGGCGAACGATTGAGGCAAGAACCAGGCACTGGTCAAGGTTCTCGTTGACGCCTGCTGGCGGATTGGGGGCGCAGCACGAATCGAGTTGCCTGTAGAGTAGAAAAGCGTCAATTAAAACCTTCTTCTTCTTGCTTGTTTCTCTCGACTAATCGATAAGATCAAGATAGCCAACGGTAGAAAAAGAACGGGCATTTGAGGAATGGAGGAGCAAGGTAAAGGTAAGGTAGCAGGGGGCATACCGCCAGATTAAATCGTTCCCAACACACGGACAGACGGAGGAGGCCGGAGCTGCTGTGAGGGGTTTTCTGCACGCGGAGCAAAAAGAAACACGGGCGCCCAGCCCTGAGATAGTTGCTGGAAGATAGGCAGATCCGACAATTCTGACGAGCGCTGGCAAAGGAATGGCTATCCTCAACCTCTGCAAGGCGTTGTCGAGACTCTCACGTTGGCAGAGAAAGAGCCATTAGGTAATGATGTGCAGGCCCATTACCAGTACGATACGGTCTGGGCCCAGATAAAACGCGGCTGCGGAAGTCGAATGCCGTTGATATGGGTAATAAAACGGTATTGCGGTGAAATTTTCCTGGCCCCTGGACCCAGAAAGGGGCGAGCGAATCACAGGTTTTTACTTGGAATTGCCGCTCATAACTACTGCATTATTATTATTACCTGGGATGAGGTAGTATGTGGATAGCAGGTAGAGATGAGGCACGAAGTATATGTAGTACTGGAAGTTGAAACCTCCTGGGTAGATCTAATGGATAGTGCCCATCTGGCAGACAAAAAAGGCTAAAGGGATCTCTGTGCAATTGATCTAGTTGATTGTATGATATTAAGCACTCTACTTGAAGCGTGATCAGTACACACTCTACTAGGAGGTACCTAGTACCTACCAGGATACCCAGCACCTGTAAAGCGGTCAAGATACAAAAGATCTAGGATCTTTAACCTTGTTTTTCATGAGAGACTCACAGGATATTCGCTTGCCAGATCCTAAAATCCCCTCTCTCAATGCAGCGATGAGCTGATGCTTCGCATATATCGTACGATGTGTCGTATAGATTGCCCCATAGATATTTCTTCCTCTGGAAGTTGTTGAAAGAACTGCTCCCGGTACGAATTGCCGAAGGCCCATGAGTTCTGCTTTGACCAGCACCCCTCAACCCATAATACCTGAGGTAGAGGAAGTCCTGCTGGATTCTTACCAACTCAACACTCCCACTATATCTCGTATCGCGTATCCATGGGGTTTATTGACCTTCTTTCCCTTCCATTCTGGATGGAAACGGATGTAAGTGCGGAAGAAAGCCTGAGATATCCGCCCCGTGCCCGCTCCTTTTCCGCCCCACGACTTCCTGGGCTGGTTTCCCCCCCCTTCAAAGACGGCATGCCTTCAGTGTACAGTGCTCTAGGTCTCTGCTTGAGTCTTTCCGGCGTTCGTTTTTTTGATCTTGGGAGTTAGGGGATCGTGAGTCTTTTGGTGGTCACCTTGTCTCTTGCTTCTATACGAGTGGGAAACCTCATCTCTCTTTCTCTCTCTTTCAAACCCTCACAATGCCCTTGAATAAAGACTCCGAGGACGTGAACGACACATGTGAACTATGGCGGCCTTCGTCGCCTCATGACACCCAAATTTTCGGTTTCATGGTCAAGGTGGGCAAGAAATACGGGGTGTCGCTGAATAATTATCATGATTTATGGCAATGGAGCGTGTCGGAACCAGCAAAGTTTTGGGAAGAGACATGGCATTATACTGCTGTCAAAGCCCATACACCGTATAACAGAGTATGTCGCAATCCTGCCATTCCAGGAATTTAGTGAGTCTAAGTTGAACGCAGGTTTTAGACTCCGAAGACCTACTTTTTCCCAGACCGGAGTTTTTCCCTGGGGCAAAGTTGAACTTCGCCGAGAACCTTTTGTATCCAGAAAACGCACCGGAAGAGGATGCAGTGGCGATCATCGCTGCCACGGAGACGGAGCGCGAGTATGTTTCATGGAAAGAACTGCGAGACCGGGTTCGACAGTGCACCAATGCCCTGAAAGAGGCAGGCGTGAGCTCTGGAGACCGCGTAGCTGGTTTTGTAGGAAATCATGCCAATACCGTGATTGCTATGTTGGCTGCGACTTCACTAGGTGCCTTCTGGACAGCTGCCTCGGTTGACACTGGGGTACATGCCGTACTCGAGCGTTTACAACAGATCGAGCCTAAGATCCTGTTTGCGGACAATGCCTCGTTTTATAATGGAAAAGTTCATGATACGCGTGCAAAGATTAGCGAGATCGTTTCTGGTCTTCCAAGTCTGGACCGCTTGGTTATATTTGAGCCCGTCAGATCACATCAACTCAACCTGGAGGGGCTGCGGCCATCTCGCGGTCAAGTATCCAGCTACGCTGACTTCTTGTCCGACGTTCGAAACCCATCTGCGCCTCTCCAGTTTGAAAGCGTGGAGCCTTCTCATCCCGTTTACATTTTGTATTCATCGGGCACCACAGGAGCTCCCAAACCGATTGTGCATGGAACCCTGGGCACTTTGTTGCAACACAAGAAGGAACATGTCCTCCATTGCGATGTTCGGCCAGGGGATCGGCTATTCTACTTCACAACAACAACGTGGATGATGTGGCATTGGCTTGTGTCGGGATTGGCTAGTGGCGCAACAATTGTGCTTTACGATGGCTCCCCGTTCCGACCTTTTGACCCGGAAGATGAGAAAGGTGACATGGCCATGGCCCGTCTCATTGAGGAGTTGAAAATCACCCACTTTGGGACGTCAGCGAAGTACCTTTCGCTTTTGGAGCAGGCTTCACTCAACCCTCGAATGCATCCTCATCGCCCGGTTTCGCTGGAAACCTTGAGGGGTATTTTTAGTACAGGCTCTCCCCTCGCCCCGTCTACGTTCGAGTACGTATATTCCTCCATCCACCCGGATGTGATGCTTGGCTCCATCACCGGGGGAACAGACATCATTTCTCTTTTTGGTGCCTGCTGTCCCATTCTCCCTGTGCACAGAGGTGAGATCCAGTGTCGTGCTCTGGGGATGGCGGTCTCTGTGTATGACTATGCAGGCAATGATATCAGCGCTTCCGGAGAAGCAGGAGACCTCGTCTGCACAAAACCCTTTGCCGTCCAACCAGTCATGTTCTGGCCACCCGGTGCGGTTGGTGCGGAAAAGTACCGTAAAAGCTACTTTGATGTCTTTGGACCCTCGGTCTGGCACCATGGGGACTTTGTCCGCCTGAACCCAAGAACTGGAGGCTTGGTGATGTTGGGCAGAAGCGATGGGGTGCTCAAACCCGCCGGTGTTCGATTCGGGAGCGCTGAGATCTACAACGTTCTCCTCAAACATTTTGCCGGTGAAGTCGAGGATTCCCTTTGCGTCGGACGTCGACGAGAGGGGATTGATACCGATGAGACCGTGGTTCTGTTTGTCAAGCTGCCTGCGGATCCCCAGGCTCCTTCGACAATACCGCCCGAGCTTGCGTTGCGCATCAAAGCCACCATTCGCAAGGAACTCAGCCCCCGTCATGTTCCGGGATTAATAGACACTTGCCCCGAGATTCCCGTGACATCCAACGGGAAGAAAGTCGAAAATGCTATCAAACAGATCCTTTGTGGCCTGAACATCAAAATCGGTGCCAGCGTTGCAAATGCCTCTTGTCTTGACTGGTATCGTCAATGGGCTTTGCAACATGAATGAGCCGACAGCAGTCGCCAGCCATCTACTTGGTACATCAACCTTTCCTAGTCGACGTTTGCTGGCGATTGTTCCCCTGTTTTACTTGTAGAGAAATATCCACCATATTCATAGTACTGTTAGATCTAGATCGAGGCCGGATTATCCTCCACCTCAGACCTCAACGGAATCTTCCAAAACAAAATCTTATGGCTACAGTTCCTCGGCCAATATCTTCTTCCAGTTTCATCAACAGTAATATTTGCCCATTATAATCACCAAACAATAGCTGTCCAATTCTCCCTATTCTGATTCTGCCGCCCATTTGCGCCATGAAAGGTAGGCGGTCGGGCCGAGTGTCGGTCATTCCGGACGATCCTTCGCCGCCGTGGAAGTTCTCTTTCTAAGACGTCAATCAGCTAGACAGGTAGAAAGCGTCGCTCTTTTGGTTGTCCTGTTTTGGTATCAGCAGTTACTCTCGTTGCAAGATGCGCCGTTCAGCGTTACGGGCGGTCGAGTCCGCAAAGCCTCTCGTTCAAGGCCGTCGATCTCTCTCCAGAAGCTTCTCTTCGATCAAAGAATCCGGGACCAAGGTAAGCATGAGACCAACAAGTTTGTCCAGATTATCAACGTGTAGCTTGCTCATTTTGTTAACCGTGAGCTTGGAACAGGATCCTGTGGAACTGGATCAGATCACTACCCTTCCGAATGGAATCCGCGTTGCCTCCGAATCCCTGCCCGGGCCTTTTGCCGGTGTGGGAGTGTATATCGATGCCGGGTCGCGATACGAGGATGAGAGTCTGCGTGGTGTGAGCCACATCATGGACCGACTGGCATTCAAGTCGACCAAGGGCCACTCCGGGGATGAGATGCTGGAGGTCCTTGAATCTCTCGGAGGCAACATTCAGTGCGCGTCCTCACGCGAGTCGCTCATGTACCAGTCGGCCAGTTTCAACTCGACCGTGCCTACGACCCTTGGCCTGTTGGCGGAGACGATCCGTGACCCGCTGATCACAGAGGAAGAGGTTCTGGAGCAGCTGGCTACGGCAGAGTACGAGGTTGGTGAGATCTGGGCAAAGCCCGAGCTCATCCTCCCCGAGTTGGTGCACACGGCTGCGTATCGGGGCAACACGCTGGGCAACCCTTTACTGTGTCCTCAAGAACGACTGGGCGAGATCAACAAGGCAGTTGTGGAGAAGTACCGAAAGATCTTCTTCAACCCCGACAGGATGGTGGTCGCCTTTGCTGGCGTGCCCCATGACCAGGCCGTCAAGCTGACGGAGCAGTACTTTGGCGACATGCGGAGCAACAAAGCGACCACGGGCCCTGTTCTGTCGGGCGCCGGCATCGACACTACTCTCTCTACATCCGAGACGGTTGCTCGGGAGGGCCAAGTGCCGACCATTCCGCAGTTCACCCCCACGTCGACAACCTCAACCACTGCAAGCTCGCCGGAGAGCCAATCGATCCTCTCTAAGCTTCCTTTCCTGAAAAAGCTCACCACATCCAGCTCCTCCGATAGCCCGGTCTCCCCGCTCGACCCCTCGCTGATCCGGCCTTCGTCGCTGGACCTGAACCAGCCTTCGCACTATACGGGCGGCTTCCTTTCCCTGCCGCCCATTCCGCCGCCGGCGAACCCGATGCTACCACGATTAAGCTACATCCACCTCGCCTTTGAAGCCCTCCCTATTTCTTCACCCGATATCTATGCTTTGGCCACCCTGCAGACGCTTCTGGGAGGCGGAGGCTCCTTCTCCGCCGGAGGACCCGGCAAGGGCATGTACTCGCGCCTCTACACCAACGTCTTGAACCAGCACGGGTGGGTTGAGAGCTGCATCGCCTTCAACCACAGCTACACGGATAGCGGCATCTTCGGCATCTCGGCGTCGTGCAGTCCCACCAGGACCACGGAGATGCTGGAAGTCATGTGTCGGGAGCTGCAAGCGTTGACCCTCGACAATGGATACACGGCACTCCAGGCGCATGAAGTTAATCGCGCAAAGAACCAGCTCCGATCGTCGCTGCTGATGAACCTCGAATCTCGCATGGTGGAGTTGGAGGATCTTGGCCGCCAGGTCCAGGTGCATGGCCGCAAGGTTGGCGTCAAGGAGATGTGCGAGAAGATCGAAGCCCTCACCGTCGAGGATCTCCGTCGCGTGGCCAGACAGGTCTTCGGCGGCCAAGTCCACAACAACGGCCAGGGAACCGGCAAACCCACCGTCGTGCTGCAGGAGGGCGAGCTGGAAGGATACCGGCTGCGCCCGTTCCCCTGGGAAGAAATGCAGGAGCGCATAGCCCGCTGGAAGTTGGGGAGAAGGTAATAACCAGCGCAGAATAGTGCGACTCTTTCTCTACTCAGAATCCCCCCCCCAATCATGTACTATAGAGAGACCAGGGTGTCCTTTCTTTCAACTCGAGCAAAAATTGTAATTACGTGGATAGATAAGTCACGATGTATAATATGCACAAATCCGCTTTCATCATCGTACCCATAGATCTATTCTCTTATTTGTATTTTTTTTATTTTCTCATTTTCTTCAAATCTTCCCTTTAGTCAAAGCTCGTTACCGCTTTGGGCGGTCGCCTGCTCGGAAAAAAAGTTGGAACGGAAGATCGAGTCCGCGGCGAAAAGGATTCCTCGTCATCACAACCCATTGCACCTGCAACCAACATTACATCTTCAACCATACTAGATACATATTTTGTTTATTTATCTATTTCTTTTTAATCTATTAAAAGCTCTGATCCTGTCAGCTCCATCCCGTCAAAATGGTTCAGCTCACTGAAGTCGAAGACGAACACTTCAACGAGAAGCCTCTCCCCAGCAAGAACAACATCCTCCTTGCCTCGGATGACGAGGATGAGGATTACACGGATACTGGTCAGTGTTTCCTTCTGATGAGAATCAAATAATGCACCGGGATAGAAGCGCAATGGCTGGGGTGATCCGTGGATGCTGTCTACTTCTGGCACGTCACGCGCGTTTCTCCGACAGATTCCTTCACACAATTTATGAACTTCTTTTATTTTTTTCCCCTCTCCTTGCTGACTGGATATCAGAGTCTGAGATCTCCAACGACGAAGAATTCGAACTTGAAACCGAGACTCTCTACGAACGTATCGCGGCCTTGAAGGACATTATCCCCCCCTCCGCCCGCCGCCAAGTCAACAGCTCCGTTTCCACCGTCACCTCCTTCGCCAAATCCAGTCTGTCCTTCAGCGGCAAGGCGCTGTGGATTCTGAGCACAAGCGCTTTCCTGCTTGGTGTTCCTTGGGCCCTGGCCTACGCTGAAGAGGAGCAGTACATTCAGATGGAGAGAGAGCAGGGGATGATCCGGGGTGCCAACGAGGTATGTTTTGATTTCTATCCACGACCTACTCTTTAGACTAATTGATATTTTTCAAGATGCTCTCCCCCGGTCTTGCTGCGGAGAACAAGGAAACCCAACCCACGCTTTAAAGCGAGTCCGGAGTAAACGGGTCACGCTCCACCCTTCACGATCTGTAACGCATCCTACTGATCGCCTTGAGGCACTGGATCACGCCTCTATAAACCGGTCTCGATCCTGTTTTTTTTTCCATCACCGACTCACATCATTTTGTATAAAAAAGGGGAGGGGAGGGGGCAACCATAAGTTTTTTTTTCGATTTAATCTCGGCTTGGCGCAGTATCTGGCTTCCATCTCCGGTTCAGATAAAAAACTGCATCTTCTCCCCTCTTCGCATGATTGGATTTGTTTTCCTTCTCTTTCGAATCTTGTTTTTTATTCTTATTTTTTTCGGCTCGGGCAGCTCATGTACTCTTATAGCCGGTTGTATTTTTCTATTTATCTCTCCCATTGGTTCGATTTCCTATACATGACTACATAGTTATGTTCTAGTAATGCTGAATGAACTAGTGCACTACTTTTCTTTATCTTTTCTTTTTTTCATCTTGGGCCTAATCTGCCGCTGCCCTCAACTCCTGGAGTAGCTAGGAGCATAAGATAAGCCTAGAAGTATAACTATAGTTACTCTATAACTATTAGTTAATCCCTCAGCAGTCCTAGAGCAGCCTTAGTAACTTGGATTAATAATTGTACTATCTAAATAATTACTAGCTTACTTTCCTATTAACTAACTAAGCTAAATAAAATATATAGTATTAAAATTAACTATCTCTATATGATCTTCTCTACTAGATGGCAGGCTGACAATCACGTCTGCCTTGCAGGTGTAGACAGACCTTTTCTTGCGACCTCGTGGATGTTGCAGTCCTTGTGTTGATTACCTAGCTGCGAGGCCATCAATCAGACGCTAATAATAGATGGTGTTCCAAATCCTCATCATGACTCTCACCTACTTCACTGAATTTGTTGGACCTTGCATCCGGCCATAAAAATTGGTGTCATATCAACCCATCCAACATCGTGAAAGCAATTTTTAGGACCTACCGGTGGTGGCAACAAGCTCTGGAGGTTATTCTGAAGACTTGACGGGTCTAATATGTGGACCACCACTGCCAGCATTGCCTTAAGCAGAAACACTAGGGCTGAGTGTGAAGATAACATCATCTCTGTCCTCCCTATTCCAAGCCAGCCATCAGAAAATAGGGGAGATCAAATGAGATCAACCTTGTCTCCCAGCCATGTACTTCGCCCTCGAGTCAATATGGGGTCTAACCTGTCAGATTGGTCATCTCTAACCCTTGTGTATCTGAGCGGAGTTCGAAGGCCCATTTGGAACTGACGAAGGGAGTTCCAGAAACGATGGTGGCGAACGAAAAGAGGATACACCAAAGTAGTTATATTGGTTCTCAGCACTCCCAAGACGAATTCCCCATTAGGAGATTAAGAACTTGGTATGAAGAAACAAATTATCGTCAATGGTAGCGCTACTCAATCACAACGCTGTAAAGCCTAACCATGAGCAGGCAGGAAGATGCAAGAACTTTCAACTATAAATAACCTCCAGATTTTGCTGCGTCAATCATTTTATTTTTCACATCTTCATCAGTATCATCCTTCTTCATAGGAAATGCGAAGAGTTTCTTGTCTGGATTTTTTTCTGCGAATCTTCTGACAGAGGTATTTGAGGCGTTCGCGTTTGCTTGCACGTTGACCGAGAAAGTGTCAGGGTCATTCGTGTACGGAGACCCTTGGTCAGCTCGAAAATTGGATGCTGCATCGTTTTTGGTATTTCTCGACGGAAAGAGCCTTCCTCCGGCATTTTCAGCGGAGAGTTTCGATTTTGCTTTAGGTATGTTGAAATTCTGAATGAATGTCTCTAACACCTTTTTTGGAACCGACATGATATTGGAATGGTCTTCCTGTAAGGGTCAGAGCTGATGATAACAAGATCTACTGTTTTGGGTGTTAACAATCAGATAGTGAGAGTCCTAAAGTGCCATACGAGGCGCCTTTATAGTAAGCCTGCCCGTGAAAATTGCCTACCTCACCTGATAGAAACAAGACACGATGCGGGGTAACTTGCATAATCCAGTGTCCAGCATGAAGAGGAAAATGAAGCAGCTTATTAATATATGCACTTCAGAAAATTCCCTCTAGATATCCATCAGATTACCCGATAGGCTGGCAGGCCCTGACTCCGAAAGTTTCCAAGCTCTTAGTGCGTCTTTTACGCTATCCTTGTCATCCGCGGCGTCTATGATCGAACTCACTAGACTGCGCATTGTTTCCACCTTTGCCTCGAAATCTTCAAGATGTACCCAGCCGTCAATGGGAACTCCAAGGGCGCTGAAGAGATCCCTGCGATCTTCCCAGCTCTTCCCTTCGGTAACATGAGACGTAAGCTCATCGGCGCTGAATGTCACAGGACAAGAGGACTGTGGCTGGCCAGTTAATTCCATCCATTCGCGCCATGTTCGAAGCATCATCTCTCGAAACAAAAACAACCCATCGTCATCCCATGTGTACCCTGAAAAATCGATGAGCTGCTGTCGCGTTAAAGCTTGAGGAAACGACAGAGCAGAGAAGACGTCATTGTCCATTCTTGAGAATTTGGAAATATAGAGCCTCTGTAGTTGTGTAAGCTGGTATCTGCGTAAATTTTCCTCTTTTTCTTGTGGCGTGAGGTCTGTGGCTGATGGAAGGTCAAAAAGTAAGGGGCCATGAATTTTGAGGAATTTCGGTATCCTGCACGCGTGAAAAACAGGAAGACTTGAGCAGCCTTGCCAATCGATGATGCTGACAATCTGATTTTCCTTTACAAATATATTCCCAAAGTGTAAATCAGAGTGCCAAAGTACAGACCGATTTTGACCTAGCTGTGATGGTATCAAATGAGGCACAACTTTCACATACTTGTCGAGGAGTTTAATGTGACAATCTGGAGACTCTTGGCTATCTGATTGTCTCAAGGGGTCTGCCGGATGACGAGGATTTGCAAACCGGGTGATCCATTCTTTCTCTCGCCTGGCGATATCTATCGCATACGCACCGGACGACGACCCTAATTTTGCTCGGTCTCTTATTAGTTGGATCCCTAAAATTATGGTTAGGTGGTTGGCTTACAAGGGCCCCTGAACGCGCTCATGGATCTCCTTTCCTCTTCCCAAAATCGTATATCACAGCTGGGGCCGATGCAAAACTGATCAGCTATTCCAGGGACATTGATGCCACCCTCAATATCCTCTTTATAGAACAAGCTACCATAATAACCGAAGTCGACAGCGGCTATTTTGGCTTGAATGTTCGCCAACTGAGACACAATGTCTACCTTATCAGATATATCCATAGTGGGCCAACTTTTGCTCAACTCATTGCCAGCAGCGTTTTCCATGATGATATATTCGACTCCCACAGGCTGGTCTTTCTTGCTGCTCCATGCAAAGACTTGCGGGACAGGTATACCTAGTTCGTTACGAAGAAAGTCAAGCGTGGCAACTTCGCTGGCTGTAACAAATTTCTGAGGGATGGAAGGATTGGGGATTTTTGCAATGACCTGAACGTCATTATCCATTGTCAATAGAAAGGTTTTGTTATATGAGCCTTCGGGAAGTTTCGTTATTTTGATGCAGAATTCCGCATTGACTGATCTGGCCGCTGTTTGCTTGAGTTCCTCCACATTGAAAGGCTGGTACCGTTGACGAAGCTGGGCTGCCTCGTCCCATAGCCAGCGTCCAGAGGTATAAGAAAAGAGTATGTCGTCTCCATGTTCATCTGAGGGGAGTATACCTTGGGGGGAAAAAAAACTCAGTACAAAACCAACAAGACTATCTTGACGAACTTACCAGGATGGGGAGGTTTGGGGGTACTCGAGAGGGAAGCGTGGAGCATGCGATGGAATTGGGGTAGTGTCGCCGTTATAACTCTTCTCAGGGTTTTCAGAGGCGCCATAAAAACAGTTCAAAAAATCTATGATGATGTTATATTGACGAGGATGTGGTGACTTCAATACTGCAAGCGATGGGTTGCTGAGACAATTTACTTCCCCCAGCCACACTGTGGTATTGATTACAAACCAGTAACTACCAGCCACACTCCCGTTGGCTGACAGATGGCATTTTTTGCGTGTTTAGTTATATAGGTTTACAACTAAATAAAGCTCCACTAAAGGATTACTGTAAGGCACTTAAGGTAAAAAAGCTATTAGAGAAAGTGCCATCTCATTAGTAGAAAGTTGGATTCATTATTAGTCTTCTCACTATGATTAGGAAGTTGAAATCCCCACATCCAACATCTGACGCTGGGCGAAGTTAGTCAGCCTTAAGAGGTTAAAGCTAACTAGTCCTAAAAGGGGAAGGCAGTTTATACTACTCGCCATTTACCTTTCCTACCCAAGGCACTCATCCCTTCAGTAACCACCTTACTGTTGCTGTCGCCGTCATAAGCGGCTGTAACTATTCTTAAGACAGACCATGTAGATGGCCATCTGGCGTATGCAAAATTGGTGAAATCTTGGCGCGGTCCCTCGCGATTTTTTGACGCAAATTATATCTGTCTAAAAACATATGTAGAAAGGTTTATGCTGTGAAAGACTCATATTAAGATATAAATGCATATCTCGATGATGCTATTATTTTAACATCATTTAATATGCTGTGCATGAATTGTTTCTGGCTTAGATACATGCTGAATATAGTATGTATACATGGAAAAGGCTCAAAGGGTATATCTCAATTCCATCTCCGGCTTCTACCAACGAGATTCCTAGGATAGGGGTCAGATATCAAGCACATAGATTCATACTATTGGGCTCGTGTATAGCACACCTTTGTTTCTCGAGCAGTCTTGAGTTTGATGTGGAAATCTCGCCAGAGCTTCCTCACCTCTCCGTTTTCCACCATTTGATCCCGGACCGAGTTGGCGTATTTCGTTAGTTTCTTTTGGCTCCAGTGACTTCGCTTGACAATCATCTTGTCCGTCAGAACTCCCTGGCCCTCGAGATAACCAATGACCCATTCATTCAGATGGAAACGCCAGTGAACCAGCGTGTGAGCCATTGTGGCCTTGGTTTTGCAGTGTCTATATACAGCACGTCAGTCAGAATACTTTTGAGATCCCCATCTTTTCTTTCAAAACCTGTATTGGGGCGACAGACCTTCCTAGAAACCATCGGATGTTCTCATCGGGAAGAATCCGGCCCTTCCTATCTCTCTCACCAGGTTCTGAGCGTTCAGTCGTTTCTTCCTCGGCGCTAACGTCGTCGTCTGATAATGGCTCGAGTGTTTCTAGGGAGTATGCTTTGCCGTAGAGCTTGATATCAAACGATGCCGGATGACCGGACCGCTTGCATGCATCACACGGATGGCCGTCTGTGATTGGGAACGCCGTCTCTTCAATGTGTGGCCGCGCCATAAGTGCCCTGCAGAAGCTGGAACTCCACGCGGAAGACACCAACTGAGAACCAGCGCGGCCCTGCACTTCGGTTTCCAGCTTCATGAACGCAACCTTGTAGAGATCATCATCGCGAGGAAAGGCCGGGTTTAGCTTATTGTGCACCATCCATTCTACCGCATCGTGGAAGTACTCCTTCGGCTGTTTATAGTTGTGCCTCGAGAATTCAATCGGCATTGCTTCATCTTGAGTAGGTACTCCCAGTTCGGTAGCATCGTCGTCGAGCACGAAGTCATCATCGTACCGATCAAGATCTTCGTCACTAGCAATAGCAGACTCTATGTCGCTGTCGTCATAAGGTAAGATGCTTTTGATCGGCGGCTGGGTCTCGTCTTCAGATTCGTGGTCTTCAATCTCCGATCCTTCCAATTCATGCTCGGATTCGAGTTCGGCTTCGGACGAGATGTCGCTCATTCTCTCGCCGGCACGACGTCGTCGGAGGAGGTCTAATTGTTTTTGTCTTTGAGATCGTGCAGAGTTGGCGAGATGACCACGCGTCCGTGTCGCCCTAACCACTATAGAATTGGTAGACAATCAGCATTTTCGACCCGTCAAGGCCTTGGTTTACGGCAAACGTTACCTGAATCTTGTAGATCTTCGAGGTCCTCTTTCAAATCGAGTCTTTCCTGATCGGAGGTTCGACGTGGCGTCCGAGGCACATCCGAGACGCCTCTGCGCAATATTCTCTTTGCCGGAGACGACACAATTGGGTCTTCCTCCACCTCCTCTTCCTCACCTTCGACATCAACTGATGCTGCAGTCCTCTGAGTGGTTTGACGCCTCCGTTTACGAGGCTGTGTAACAAGTTCGTCAGCATCGCTAGTCTCCGGCGACCCTAGGTCTGAGAGAAGATGGGATGCCGATCTCTTTACAGCTTCGCGCGCTTCTTGTTTAGAAGCAGATCGTTTTGCTTCGAGCGACTTGGCTGCCGATCTCGTTTGTCGACTTGGAGTTCCATCCCCACGAGTATTTCTCTGGGGTCTTTCATTGCTGTCTGAACGCTTTCTTTTTGATACTCTAGACGGCATGTTGCTTTCACTCTCGGTATCATTTTCAATCACTATCGGCTGAGCTCTGCGTTTCTTTCTCATGGAAGTGTTGACTACGTCCTCTTCAGACGATGAAGCTTCGTCGCTGCATGCAGCCTTTGACGGTGAATGATGACTCGCGATATCTTTCTCTGATTCATCATCATCTTAGTGCTTTAGTAAATTGACTCAGAATGCTGGAAGCTTCTGGTGGTCATACCATTGATCGTAATCACTTCAGATGACTTCTTTATCGAAGGAGTGGCAACCGGTGCGCTCTCAATATCAGAAGACGACGCAACTGATGGCGCCTTTGCCGGAAGGCTCTTTTTCTTATTCCCCAGCCTTGACGAGACATCGCTGACTGTGGATTTTGATGGATGAGTATACCGAAGTGTAGCATAACGATCTTCTGTGCGGGGTGACTCGTGCTCGCTATCAGGAGGGAATGCGGGTGACGCGAAAGTGAGTCGCGTCTGCTTCACTTTGCCATATTTTTTGCGGGGCATGGTGAGGGGCGATATTATTGAGAGATGCCAAAGCTTCTGAGTGGGTGTATAAACTGATTAGTCTCAGTTAGGAGATAAGAGGGATCATTTTCTATAGATCTTCTGTAAGTAAGGGTGGGTTCACCAGGCAGGCTCTTCCAGAAACGCGTCACATCAATCACGATATCACGTGATCCCTCATCTTACCACTTTGGTAAGTGGATAAAGGTACCTAAGATGCCTTCTCTTCTCGCCTCGTCGCGTCTCTGAGATAGCTTCATAACCCGTCATCATTCCGCTGAGCTCATCCCTGGCCTCAGAGCCAGCAGGATAGCATGTCCTAGTGGCATCAGGGATATCCATCATCATCATCATCATTCATATCATTCATTCATATTCATTTAAAAGCCCCCAAGAGGAGGCTAAAAGCTCGAAAAATCATCAAGAATTGAGACAACCGACGCGAGGCGTCGGCGACCGCAAAACTTCATGAAGAATCAATAAAGAATCAACACATCAAGGCGACGAAGAACCAACCCGTCAAAGCGACGAATTTTCACCAACAACACAAAAATGAATCAAATCAACGGCGCCAATCAGGCGACTAACCTGCTCAACAATACAATCATCCTCGAGACAATTACCCTCGATTCAATCAGACCGCTAAAGGGACGCGAGAATGTGGACCTGTGGGAGGACCACGTACGCTGGGTGCTTGAAGCTAGTTTCTGCGAAGACCTGATCAACAAAGACATCCCAAGACCTCTTCTGAATGAAGACCGTAATAGTGATTACGCGCTTTGGGATAAGGCATCTAGGCGCATTAAGGTGTGGCTAGGACTTAGCCTGGATCCTACCATTCAGAGAGAAGTTAAGGTTTCTGGCCTTCCCCAAGTGTACGCAGATGATTTCTACCACGCTATTATCACTTGCGTCAAAGGTGCCGCCATCTGCCAAGCAACAGACTACTATATCCAGGCGACCCGCATGAAACGTTCTGATTACAACTCAGTCAATCAATACATTCAAGAATTCGTCAATGCCGTCAATGCCGCGAACCTGCGCCCTGCCACGATCATCAAACCTCTCTCTGCAACAATGATCTTGATCGATGGCCTAAAGGATGACATTCCCATGTGGGCTGAAAATACTCGACATGAACTTTATAAACGCATCGATATTGACGAGCTCGCGGAAAAGGAATTCCTTCGATACTGCAATGAAGCAAAGGATCGATGCCGAGAGCTTGAACGTGACCATCTAAAGATCATGGTTGCTAAGGCACCTAGGGCTCGCCTACAGACGACTCGCAAGAATTCACCCCCCAGAGACGTCAAGCATTGGAAATGGGTGCTTAAGTGGATCAACTCAGAAAAGCAACGTGTCAATGGAAAATGCGCTTTTTGTGAAACTGGCGAGCATGATGCTAAAAGCTGCTATTACCTAGTGCCCACTATACGCCCTGGATCCTGGACACCAAGGTCAGACATGTGGTGCTATAAAGCACAGAAAACTAAAGAAAAATCGGCATCTGAATCCCACGTCAGAATAGCCCAATACACTAAAAAAGAAGCTTCGTCTGGATCCGATGATGATGCCTTCGATATGGGTGGCTTCACAGGCATGGTTAGGGGCATTGATCAGGAATCTGATCATAAATCCAGGCCTAACTCGTGTGTGGCACCCACAACTTCTAAGTCTAATCGACGTACTCCACCCTCGACATTCAACCACAAGAGAATCAACTACAAGAAGAAAATTAATGATATTCAAGAGGAATTTCTCGCGCTTGGACGATTGGAAGAACATCAAGATTTAAAGGAATTACAGAATCTGCTGAAAAGAATCAGGGATATCGCCTACAACGGCCTGGGCAATGTCAATACCAATGACCCCGTCATGACCCCTACAGACTCTGACGATTATGACGAAAACGATTGAACGATTGAATGACATGATGATCACTAATTGACCAAGGATGAATGAATGATTTGATATGCTTTATGATCATGTACAATAATAGAATTCCTAGATAGATGGAAAGCTCAGCGAAGGGGGGTATGTTGGAGGTCGCTGCCTAGTTAGGCTTAGCGCCACCACTTGCCTTCTCTTCTCGCCTCGCGCATCCTAGATAGCTTCATCATCCATCATCATTCCGCTGAGCTCATCCAGGGGTGTTGCCCTGTCATCATTTTCCTATAGATCTTCTCTAGATATGGGTGGGTTCACCAGGCAGTCTCTTCCAGATATGCGTCACATCAATCACGATATCACTTCATCATGGTCTTACCGCTTTGGTCAGTGGTTATAGGTCGATACTGCTCTGCCCTCTGTCTCTGACAATTCATTAAAACAGTATTTCTCCTACATTACTTGTGGTATATCTCCTTTCAAGTGTATAACCCTTCTATGTCAGTGAGTCGAATTCGCCGAGGTAGTCCTGTCAGCTCTGTTGTATCCCTTTTTTTGCATCATCTACAAAATGTCCCGGTGTTATCTCCTATCATCAAATTAGTGGGCCACCAGGTAAGGAGTCTCGGAGTGTCCCAATTCATCATCACTGGTCGTTCTTGGCTTTGGGGTTCCCTCTTAGTCCGTTCGGGCTTGGGAATCGGGGTCAGGTTAAATCCTGATAAATAAAGATAGCAATGAACAGAATTTCCCCGAGGTCCATGGGTTCTTCAATAACGCTGACAAGGATCCCGCCATTGACGATTTGAAGTTTTTGGTACCAAAGGTAGTAGCTTTCGTCCGTCCCCTGATCAGGTGTTGAGTGCTGAATCGTCATAGCTGTTGTGCAGATGTGTGGGATATTCCCAGTATCCGGCGGAAATTCTGGGCTTTTCAAGCATAAGTTTGTCAAACACCAGATGAGTAAACCCGGCTGAATAGGATACTAAGGAAAATAGATGTGTGTAAAGCTCTATAGTATCACTCCCGTGTTCCTTGTGATGTATCTCGTTTTGAGCGTTCGGCCTATTCATAAAACTTCCTACTTCTACTTATGGAATGCCAAACGCTCCTTCCTCGCAGGAAGATGGCAGCAAAATCGGTTTTCGCTTCTGTCAAAACTTGGAGAAATCACCCACTTCTAATTGCGTCAGCATATTATACTCCAAAAGCTTTTTGTTTACGGTTTTGATAAAGGTCCGATGGCTCTGCTGCTTGTTTCTTGGGTATCACGGTCGGGCTCTAATGGCCTGAACAGATAGTCCATATTCGCACATATACATTCGACCGTGTCGCCCTGGAAGTGGTTGGACGACATGGCAATACAGAACCTCAGACATAGATATCGTTTGGAGAGGCTCTATGACTCCCGTTCAATACTTTGTCGTGCCCAGTCGAATTACTGGTTTGACCGATTATGGGAATTTATTCCCAAGCGTTCATGGGTCCCAACGCCTGCATATTCAGCTAAGATGCAAGGCACCAAAGCCCAGGGCTCGTACGAAATCAAATCACTCGATAACCAGGGAGACTCCCAGACCGTCGAGTTCGAACCATGCCGCGAGACTCTCAGAGTCCATTTGGAAAAGGTTCCTAACAGTGTACAGCATCCACAGGACGACGGCAGTCTTATAGACAAGGGTGCGAATAATAACATACACTTGGCACAAATCATCCTTGTGATAGTAATGCTAGGGGCTGTTGTTCTTGGCTTGCTGGTGTTTATTTCGAGAAGGCAGCAGAGACTTGCGAGCTTTTCCCACGAACAGGACGAGCCACACTACAAGGAGTTGGTTGGAATTTATGGCCCCCAAGAGTCATCTAGACCCCAAATGGTGCGCCTTCAGGGAGTCATCGCCGATAGGGGCTGCAGGGATGGTACCGGCACGGGGGGAAGGAATCCCCTCCATTTCAAAGGGTTCTCCGAAAGCGAAGCCATGGCCACTCTACTCGAGCAGAGCTCCAATAAAATCCCCGGTTTGGCAAAGCATACTTATCGAGGGTTATTATTGAGTCTGGTTCGTCTCAGCCCAGTGAGGTTGAACGAAAAGAATCCTGTGAAGGTACAAGGAGAGCTTGTCAGAATCCCTGTACTTCCCCGGGCTCCAAATGCAACCGTTCGGGAGCCGTTATCGCGAATCAAACCGCATCGCACCCACAGTGCTCATGGCTATTTCAGAGAGGGCAGAATGGATAGGACCCCGAGGTTTCAGAGCCACACCGAAATCGAAAAGGGCTGGAATAACACACCAGAAAGCGGCTGTGATGTCATTCGCAGATAGTACGGCACAAGTCTCAGCTTTTAAATTAATTCTCCATAATCATTCGAGCCAGCACAGTTCTGTCCTTTCAGCTATTTTTCAGCAGACGTCCTAGCATTGTAGTTAGTTAGTACTTGGTACTTAGTTATTAGATGGGTTTTTGGGCAACGACTCAGCAACTCAATATTATGGAGAACCCCCACTAGTATTTTTGCCCCAATATAACACCGTGACACCATTGGTGAAGTCTAGAACAGTACCCCGTAATGCCATATTCGGTGGCTGAGACGGTTGCTGTTGGACCTGTTAGCGAAGGTTAAGCCGAGATAACTACCTAGGAACCACTCCAGATTCCACATTATCCCTTATTATTAGTCCATGTCGAGCTGGAGCTAAGGACACAGTCCACTGTAATAGTGTCCTAGAGTATAGAGAACACCGCTCTTTCGTGCCAATCAGTTGGGCTGGGCCCTTTAGATGAAGAATGTGTGGGTTTCAGGTAAAAGACAAGGCCTTGGTCTCTGCAACTGTGCAGGATGCGGTCTTGAATTACCTTGCTACCTGGCAGACAGTTCCTCCTGGAAATTCTCACGAAGGCGACAATCTGAATTTTCATGAGGATACTAGCCATTTTGGTTTATGTTGTAGTCTCCAATAAACCACGAGGAGCGAAGGGACAGGAACGGTGGTCGGACAGCGTTCCCTTCCACCAACAAGAATCCCCTGAGCATCTCGTGTTTTTGACGCCCTCGAAATGTCTTCGAAGCACATGGTCTGAAATTTGAAAGGTCCAGAGGAAAAGTAGATCTTGCAAGTTGCCACCCTGGGATTCCAGTATGTGTAGGGCGCCCAGCTCCCTTGTCTAGTCTCCATGAGCTCTCCTCTTCCCTGGTCCAAGTCAGCCACGAGCTAGATTGAACAAAGCACATGCACAGGCTTGACCCCTCCATTATACATCGTACCTTCGGAGAGAGCCATCATCAGACCACTGTGGACCACCACCGCCCCTCCCCCCCCTGCAACCCCGTCCCCCCTCCCCAGTGGCCACGATCGATAGACGTCGTTTCCCCAGAAGCGACTCCGCATCTGACACCCGCCAGGACAAGATTTCCCCCGTGTCTCGCCCTTTGTCTATTGGTGGACTCACCTTTCCCCAGACCAGCGAGCACAATACAGCCGATTCGTGGAAAGACAGCGAAACGGGAGGAGAAGTTCCTCGAACCCGAAGCGTACAGCCTCGGTCACGCGGCTGCGCTAGACCTGTCTCGGACAATAGAGCTACGCCTTCTGCTCTCCCCGGATCTCCCCACCACTCACGGCCACGGGCAGGAGGGTTTCGAAGGCTCGGCAGCTTCATGTCTGTTGATATCCTAGTGAAGGAGCTGATTGGATGGCTGTGGGCTCTGCAGCCCTGCATGCCGGGTCTGCCATCTCCCCTGTTGCGACACATGGGGCTGCTATGGGTGTGGGCGTGAAAGCGCGATGGATATAATAATGATCGTCTCGCCCCCCCTTCCCTTCTCCTCCCCTTCTCTGGCTTGAGCTTTTTGTTCCTCGCTCCTTCAAGAAGGCTGTCTTCCTATCTGCCTTGTTCTCGCGTCTCTCGTCCTTTTGATCTTTTGAGACGTGCCCGCTCCTACTACACCCGCTCCTCTCACGAGACGTCTCCCCGACCAAGCCGGCAAGATGGCGTCGAGCTTCTTCAAGTCGAAGCGGACGTTCAATTGGTAAGGCCTTCTCTCACTGTGGCTGTTTATGTTGATATTGGATGTGTTCTGAATTTTTCTTTCCGCAGGTACTCCGCGCTCGTCGCGGCAGCATGCATGGTTCTCTATGGTTATGATGCCTCGGTGTACAATTCGGTCCAGGGCTCGGAGGCCTGGCTGGAATGGTTCAACAACCCGGATGCAAACATGACTGGCTTGATCAACACGGCCTACACTGTCGGTGCCATTTTCGGTGGTTTCTTCCTGGGAGGTCCGATTGCGGATTTTCTCGGCCGTAAGATCGGCATGGCGACCGGTTGTATTCTGGTCATCATTGCCACTTTTATGCAAGCTTTCTCTCCCAAGGGGAACATCGGCTGCTTCCTGGGAGGTCGAGTGATCATTGGTATCGGCCAGGGCATTGCTTTGAGTAAGTACGAAGAGAGATCACGAGATTGAATTCCCCTCCCTAACGTCTTGCCTTCCTTCCACTAGCATCTGGACCGATCTATATTGGTGAAATCTCGCCACCGTCGATTCGTGGAAAGATAATGACCTTCTGGCAACTGTTCTACTCGGTCGGCTCTTTCATTTGCTTCTGGGTGGCCTACGGCTGCACGGAGCATGCAACCAAGCTGGGAGAGTGGGACTGGAAGATGGTGGTCCTCTTCCAGCTTCTCGTTCCCATCTTGATCCTGGTCCTCTTGCCCACCATCCCCGGCTCACCCCGTTGGTAAGGAGAAACACTCGGGTCTTTTTTTTTTCTGGCATCCAAGGCTCAAGGCTGATTTGTCTTCTAGGTACATTCAAAATGGAAATCACATCGAAAAGGCCCGCAATGCACTCCTCAAGATCCGTGACACTGAGGAGCAGGTTGAAGAAGAACTGTTGAAAATCCGTGAGGCCCTCGAGTACGAAAAGGAAGCTATTTCGAGCGGTTACTCTGCCTTGTGGAAGGACAAGTCTCTCCGCAAGCGTCTATTGCTCGCCTTGGTCATAAACGCCGGCCAGCAGGTCACCGGACAGGGTACCCTCAACACGTATTCGACCAAGGTCTATGAAAAGGTCTTCAGCAGCGAGAGCCAGATTTCTCTGATCAACGCCCTGAATGCCACCTTTGGAATCATCTTCACCGTGAATGCGATCTGGTTCATCGACCGCTTCGGACGTAAATTCCTCCTGGTCGCCGGTGCCATCGGCCAGGGCCTCTGCATGATCATCATCTCTGCTGTGGAAACCGAAACCCCCTCGCCTGATGGCAAGAAGACGGAAGCAGTGGGCATCTCGCTTGTCTTCCTCTTCTACGTCTTCATCTTGTTCTGTACGTTCCTCCACCCTCGCCCTTTCATTCATTTTCTCTCTCTAACAAATAATAGACAAACCTTCTTGGGGTGCTACTGTTTGGATTTGGACGTCCGAGGTCTTCTCGATGAATGTGCGCGGCCAGGCAGTCGGCATGGCGTCACAGACGCAGAACGTCGCCAACCTGATTGTGCAGCAATTCTTCCCCACCTTCCTGGAGAACTGCGGCTTCTACGCCTTTTACATGTTTGCAGGAGTCAATTTCTTGCTGGGTCTCTTTGTCTACTTCTTCGTCCCCGAGACTAAGCAGGTCTCTCTCGAGGAGATCGACGCCATCTTCGGCGGTGCCAACCATGTCTCGCAGGGCGAGGACCTGCTCTTCCAGCAGAAGAATGCCGGTCAAGTCAGCGTGGAGAGAAGCGACAAGCCCGTGTCGACGACGTATGAGAATGTCGAGGTCTCGTCATGAAGGAGATCCTTGACAGGGCCTGGTCACCGTCGCTGCTGCGGGCGTTTTTGATGTGATCAATTTTGTTTCCTAGGACATGATCTGTTTTGATTTCTGATACCTGGTATTTATAATGGATGGTTCCCGCGAGCGGGATGTGAATGAAAAATCTTACTCTTGGACCTGACAATCTGCAATCTATTCTCCAATACGGAGCAGTCACATTGAACTGCAGGCCCTAATCTGTTTACAGACACTGCCCGGTAAGTGCCTACGCCTGCCTACCACAGTATCCCCTGTAGTACCGTAGGAACACTATAGAACTCCTTCAATCTGCACCGTGGACGGACATTATTCTCCGGAAATCTAGACAGCGACTCGATCGGTAATTAGGAGAATATCCTCTACTAGAAATAATATTTATGCTGATCAGTGGCTATAAATAATAACTGTACTATACGGAGTAACTCTCACAAACCACTAGTACAAACTAGTTGGTTAGTTAATCCAGGGGAAGCATAAACTCATCATTACCTGTTGACAATCCAGGGGGTCATTCTGGCGCAATTGATCGCCGAAACCCAAGTTATTGCCAGATAATAGGGAGGACGAAAGCTGGTAGTCACCATTAACCAGCCCAGTAGTTAATACTAGTTATTCCGTAGTTGGTGTACATGACGTAATCATCAGCGGCCTCAACCCCCCCGGATCGCACGGCTGCCTCGCCCACTCCCTGCCAATCATCTGGTGGTGAGAGGAAGGGTCTGGCCTGGGTCTGGCGGGCTTCCAAGCGGTCCAGTCCTTTGGAAAGTCTATTGATGATCCATGCGACCTTCCAAAAGTCTCGAGACTTGCAGCTCGGCACATTGATGCCGTGACGAGGGGAGATCGCCCGCTTTGGGAAACCGCCCCTCTCCAGCGAAGATATATAAGGTATGGATGAGGGGCTCTCCCCTTCCATTATCTCTCCCTTTCTATGATAATTCCTGACCATCGCACCTCCAGACTTCCTCCGGACATCTATTTTGCCTCTACTGCACCTCTCACATGGCTCGATCACGCTCTCAGCGTCGCAAGGACGCCCGTTCCGTCGCCTCGGAGGACCCGTGGAAGGTCGACACCCCGTTTGGCCCGCCGCGCATCGCTCCATTCCCTGTGGTAGGCATCCGACGGCTTCGCAGCAAGCTGTCGCGACTGTCGCCGGCGGCGTTTGCGGAGCGCGAGCAGCTCAAGAAGAATAACCGGCCCAAGTTGCCCCTGACGGAGAGGAACGTCGACACCTTCGTCTCCGAACAGCGTTTCCAGGACGCTTGCCACCCAGACAAACACTCGCCTGAGCTGGAGATCTCCGCGTGGCTCGAGCGACTGTCGCCCATCTCATGACCTGCGGCATTTTTGCACCTACGCCTCCAGGTAGCGCCTATCTATTGAAAAAAAAAAACAAGAATACCCCCAGTTTACTCGTTTTTTTCGGGGTTCCTGACTGGCCTGGTCACTACTGTATAACCTATGATATTTTTACCTTTGGTCTGGAAACGTTAATTCGCCCACGCTTGTCGAATCTCCGCGGCCTCGCAGAAGGCCCTACCGTCGGGTGTCAAATCAGCGTGGTGAACCGAATTAACGTGGCACCCGCTGCAAGCGACACGATGCACTAGCCCACCTTGCTGCATTAGTACATATCTACTACATATCTCTATCGGTGAGCTGGAGGGGGGGGATGCTTAATGCAGTCTCCTGGCGCCAGACCAATCAACCCAAGGCCAATTCGGTTTATATAGCGCTTTTCGCGCTCGCCCTTCACAGCAGTTACAACTGCAACGCCCGGGTGGTCTAGTGGTATGATTCTCGCTTAGGGTCCACCCTACAGCATAGCATGCGAGAGGTCCCGCGTTCGATCCGCGGCTCGGGCCATTTCTTTTTTCTTTTTTATTGGATGACCCTTGCTTGTTTCTTATTCCATCATATCCTACCTAGAATCACATTGTCTGTCTGTCTACTCTCAAGTGATTGGAAGTCAATTAGAATTTTTGCTTCACCTCTTACAGGGATACGTGCGGGGTTGATTTCCACGAGTACTAGCTAGAATAACTATAAGCATTCATATTGTAGCGATTGGTTATCTATTCAAGTAGCAGGAAAAGGGTAATTGGTTAACTGTCCAGATAGCCGTGGTATATATATCCCGTATACCGATGATGGTAGGTAGGTACTAGGTAGACAGACGCAAATCAAACCATCACCTCGTGGGTTCTGCCCGAGTCCATCCACCAGGATTACGAATAATATCCTGACACGACACCAGACAGAATAAGAGTCTGTCCATCATGAAATTATTTTGAGTGGAGTGATCACCGCGGGGTAGTAACATGGGTCTACTGCTAGTAACTACACCGCGTCTAGGAACGTACCTGATATCTATCAGCACATCACCCTGAAGACGAAACGACGACCTAGGGATGAACCGGTCCAAAAAGGTTGCCATCATTGGTTAGTCAATAGAAGAGGAACAGCAATAACAACAACAACAACAAGAAGAAGAAGAAGATATTTATACCTGACTAGGCGCCGGTCCGGCCGGACTCGTCACTGCCAAAACCCTCCTGCACGATTTCCCCAAGGGTACATTCTCCGCGACCGTCTTCGAACAGCGAGATGTGATCGGTGGGCTGTGGCCGGTGGACGCCAGCGAAAGCGACAGCACGAGAAGTCATGATCCCCCCGCGACTGTCGACCCCGCCATGCGGACGAACCTGAGCCGGTTCACCGTCGCGTTTTCGGATCTAGCGTGGGAATCTGTCCTGGGAGAGGATACGCTGGTGCCCCTGTTCCCTCGCGCGCGGCAGGTTGGGAGGTACCTTGAAACATACGCCGAGCGGTACGTCCCTGCGGAGAGTATACGGTTGGGACACCGGGTGGTGAATACGGTTCGTGATGATCAAGGGAGTATACGATGGACTGTAACATTTGTTCATGATGGGTAGTTTCTTCCCCCCCCCCCTCTCTCTTCTACCCCTGTGCCATCCATGCTAAATGATAAGTGAGGAGACCTCCGAGCAATTTGACCATCTCATCGTATCGGCCGGCTTCTTCTCCCGGCCGCATATACCTGATATCCCCGGCCTGGACGGCTTGACAGATAGGATAGTCCACAGCAGCGCATTGCACAGTGTCAACTCGTTGTTCCCTCCCGGCGGGACTCGTGGAAAACTCGTCGTTATAGGGGGCAGTATGTCCGGCGTGGAGGTCGCCTCTACGCTGGCTCTGCATCTCTCGTCCGTCAGACTTGCGCCGGGATCGTCAGAGAAGAATGTCTGGGAAGACTGTGAGATCCACCATGTCTGCTCGAAACCGTTCTGGTCCATCCCGACGTATGTCCCGCATCGGTCCAGTCCGAGTGATCCGGATACTGTCTCCTTCCAACCGCTCGATCTCGCCATGTATGACCTTGCCCGACGGCCTGGATCGATAAAGTACTCTGTCGGGACTGTCTCGACACAGCAGGCTGTTGTCGTCAACACGTATTTCGAGGACCTCCTCGGCCCTGACCAACTCATAGGTAAAGAACAGAGGCAAGAGCAAGACATAGCCCTGCCATGGGTGACGGTCTCAAATGACTACTCCGAGTTCACCCGCGCAGGGACCATATCCGTGACCCTCGGTCGAGTCACAGCAGTGCAGAGCACTTCGCCAGAACAACCTGCGCGCCTCCTCATCCAACAAACCAACCAAAGCCAGCAACACACCGTGCTTGACGATGTCGCCGCAATAGTACTTGCAACAGGATACACGCCCGCGGCCTCGTTGTCCGTCCTACCGCCCGACGTCCTCCACACGCTCGAGTACCAGGCCTCCAACACCTTCTGCCCCATCATCCTCGACCGTGGGGGTGTGTTCCGCACCGAAATCCCAGATCTAGGCTTTATAGGCTTCTACCGCGGGCCATACTGGGGTGCAATGGAGATGCAGGCGCGGACAATCGCACGCGCGTGGGTGGGACACGAGGACAGTACTACCAGTGATAATATTGTTCTTGACTATTCTCAGGAAGAGGAAGGGCACGAACGCAATACCCTCCGCCATTTGCGCAATCATGCCCGTCGCTCCCAGTTCCCCATGGGCGATTATGTAGGGTTCATGGAATCCTTTGCCGATAGACTTGGCATGCACCGCGAGGAGATCTCGTCAGACGGGAGCGGACCTGTCATCCCGGCACGATACTATGACGTTCACCGAGATGAAAGAGAAAGAGAGAGAGAAACGACCATGTCTTCTCTGCGGAGCACGTTATTCCCTGATTCTAACCATACCATCGCTGTTGCGACGGCTATTTTCAGAGCCCTGCATGGTAAATGGATGGGATATTCCCATCAAGATGGAAGCCATGGAAGAGTAGTAACGTTCTATCCGCGGTATCCTACTTCGCCATATTACGAGAAGGAATACTTGTGCGAAGAATGCGGGAAACAACCTGATAACCCTATTGCTACTTCTTCCTCTTCTATTTCTACAGTCTGGCGACTTGCAGACGGATCTCGACGAGACCCCCTGATTGGTGTGTGGGGTGTCGGGAAGAATAGAGCGGCAGATACGTTCCTGTACGGGGTAAGAATCATGGATATCCAGGTGTCAGGCTCGGAGGGGTGTCTCCTTATTCGTGCGCGTTCGGATAGCCATGTCTACGGCTCTTATACGTTTACCCTCCGGGGGGTCTCGATAGTTGCCTGGGAGGTTACCACGAGTGAATACTCGAGGAAATTTACAAGAACAAGAAAATAAGAGGATTCATTTATGGAGGGGTTTTTTTTTTCTTTTTTTCATCGTTAATTTACTCGTAATCGTAACGTTGCATTGATCTAAAAAAGAAGAAGAACTAGGATATCAATAAATCTCGCACGCTCATCCCCATCTTCCGCTGTGCATCCCCGCCCTCGACATCTAGAGCGGCGGAAGAGACCCGATCCGCGATGGAATCGGCCGTGCCGCGGCGGTCGCGATTCAGCATGAGCAGCGCGGCGGACGCCTCGTGGTCAATGTCCGTGTCGAGGCTGTACGAGGAGATGCTGCCGCGCTGGGGGGCCATGGCCGGCGAGGTGGTCGCTGAGGTGGTGGTGGTGGTGGTGGCCCACGGCCGTGGCGGGTCGGTGGTGTCGGAAGGTGATGAATGTGAGCGCGAGGGAGCCAGCGCCGGGCTGGGCAGGATGGTGGTGGGGACAAAGTCGAAAGAGCGCGAGGGAGCCCGGCTGCGCGGGGAGAAGGAGGGCGACGGGTTGGCAGTAGCGGCGGCAGATGTCGTCGCTGTTACCTGGGGAGAGGTCGCGATGTGGTAGACGGTGGACATGCCTGGGCCAGCCAGCATGTTGGGAGAGGTGGGGGATGGCGGAGTGGTGCTCTTTTTGCTATCGCCCGCTTTGAGGTCTTGAATACATTGCTCGAGGTAGTTGACATAGTCAATGCTTGCCTAGATATGTAAGCAAGGTGAATGGAAGGTAATTTTCATGTTCGTGTTTTCTCACCTGCAAAATGGCAAGCTTGTGCATTTCTTGGCCACGACAGGCGGGGATCATGTTTTTCAAGGTGGAAAACTCCTCGTTCATCTTCGACCGCCGCCGGCGCTCGATCAGACTGTGTGCGGTCTTGCGGGCGATCTTGCGGCCGGCCGCACTGCTCGCACTTGGTTGCTTCTTCTTGCCCCCCGCGGCGGCTCCGCCGCTGGCGGGGGTCTTGCCCGCCTCTTTGGTCTGCTTGGTGGTATTATTATTATTTGTGGTGGAGTTTGCCGCGATGGCCGGCTGTTTCGGTGCAGTCGACTGCGGCTTGGGCTTCATCTGAATGATCTTTCGAGTCCGGGTCGGCGGCGGCGGCAGGTCCAGATCTTCGAGCGGGCGTTTGATCGGCGGACAGAACGACTCGTTCCTCGACGAGTTGCGGCGCGAGGCGACTGACGCCGCCGGACTCAAGGCGGCAGGAGGCAGGGCAAACGACTCGACGCCCTCCACGCATGGCTGCTCCATCACCACCAGTTCTCCCGACATGGCGGGCGTCAATGGAAGATGGGACCGGGACATGAGGTTGTATTATCGAGATATCGAAAACAATCAAGAAGGAATCGACAAACAGCCAACAATCAGATTCGGAACCAGGGGAAGGCAGACAGTCATTCAGTCCCCAGTTCAATAGGTAAGATAATGAGGGAGATTGCCGCCAATTGCGTGACACAGCAGTAGACAGCGGTAGTACAGCGGAGAGGAGAAATAATCCCAATAATGACAGGGGGGATAGCAACGACGCCGTCAAAGAGGGGGAAAAGAGCCAACGGGCAAGCGCCGGACAGCAGCCTCAGAATATATATAGTCGACGTCTGCCTTCGCTCCCTCCTCCTCCTCCTCCCCCCCAGGGAGCCCAGGAGGTGCTGCTGCTCCCGATGATCGACCGGTGATAAGGCAGGCCGGGAGGTGTCGCGTGCTTGGGAGCCCACGCGCCATGGCCCGCGGCGCTGATTGGCCTGCTGGGCTCACAGGCTTCGTCCAACTACTGGTGCTCGTGCGCAGTCTGGTGGCCAGCAGGCAGTGGTCCCTTGCTGGGATGGTACCGTATGTACGGTACGGCACCCAGTGAAAAAAGGCGCGGAAAGCTCGCCTGGGTGGCAGTGGGTGCGGGCAGACGGGAGTACCGTACGGTACCGTACGGTTTTGCATGCCGGTGGCCAGTCGGAGGGCCGCAATAGGCGGCTTAGTCATTCAGTCCGACGCCGATGCCTATCCCGGAATGCCAGCACGTGCGAGCTCGCGGCGACTCAGTGGCTCTGAGCTTCAGCAGAACGCGAACTTTGCTACTGCAATTCCCCTGGTTCAGCATCTCACCTTTGGCTGCCGTCGAGGCGAATCCTGAAGAATGGAGGTAAGCAGGATATTTTAAGGACGGGAATCGGGAAGGGCACCACAACCTGCTAAGCACTGTCTAGTAAGTGCTAGTACTGGGACCAGTGAAAGGATTCCCCTCAAAACGTGGCAACTCTTCAACCTACTCCGTCAAGGACACCTGGTCCCATCCGTTAGTCAGCGCTGGGGTCAATAGCCGAGGTTCTAGCCATGTTGACTACAAGGTAGTTAGTTATTCCTTTGGTGTCTACAGACTGGGAGTCTGGGACTCAGACTCATGGAGATGATTTTTAACCTGCTGAGGGGTGAAGGGTTGTGTTTTTTCCATACATCAAGTCTGAGGCTGACTTTATGTTGTAGTGAGTATCAAAAATGACAGGCAGGAATCAACATCATCCTTGATTTCCCAGAGAACCGGCACTGGTTGCGATATTTAAGTTGTGTCAAAAATAATCCTTCGGAAGACCACCAAAGACATACAAAAAGGAAGTCTGGGGGTATAGCTTGCCAGAGTCTAGTCCTGAACGAAGCCAAATTATGACTCCTTAATACTAAGTAGTACCGAGTACGGGATACGGAGGAGTGATGGAGCATTTTGCAGTACTTACTACACTTTACATCCCACAGATCTAACATTTTCTAGAACATGGGGAGGCATATATATGGTTACGGAGTATATACTTGAGTAACTGGAGGTCGTTTGTTTGGTTAATGAGTCTATTATAGAGTAAAGACTAGCTATATAGTATACTACAAGTATACTATCCTCTCTTTTTTATGATTGTCGGTTCCTCAGTAGTTAGTATATAGTTGAAATAGTGAATGTTGTCTACATGATATTGATAGCAACATGGATAATGTATTTATTGATTACTGTATACTAGGTATGACTATATACTAGGTTCATCTATAAACTATGCTAGAATCCTCTGCATAAGAATATGTCCAAAAGTAGCTTCAACAGGCGATCCATCCATCCGCCAGACGCGATTCCCTGCCCGGGAACTCAGCCACAAGCCGTGGTCATTGGCCGACTCGACCTCGCCGTCGACGGGGTGCCGGCTACGCTGGTCGACAACGCACATCCCGCGCGTCCACTGGCCGGTTGTCTCGACGCGGATGTCCTCCGGGGATTGTTTGGAGGGGACCCATCCGGCGTCGTCGGCCGTTAGGGCGTACCACACGCACAGGGGGTCGTGCAGGCTGAGCTCTGCAGCGTCGCCGTCGTGGCCCGGGTGCATGGATTCGATGGTTTGGAAGGCGTGCGCCATGAAGGCAGACACCCATTCGGCGAGCGGGGAGCCCTTTTCCAGCTTCGCAGTGATGGCGGCGCGGAACTCTCCGCGCGTCAGGTTATGCCGCAGCGTGAGATCCAGCGGGAAGAGGCGCAGTGTCAGCGCCTTGCTGAGAGAGGCCGGGTAGGCCGGGAGCTTTGTCGCATCGCTGGTGGGGGGCACCGTGCTCGCGGGGCTTGGGGAGGTGAGTGCCATGACACGCGCGGCGGCCACAGCGTCGGCGTATGCGTTGAACTCGCCCATAGGAGTGACCTATACATTAAAAAAGAGTTAGAACGTCTTTTTACCATAAACATACTTGCACTTACGTTTCCTGGGACGTGGATAGCTCCGCCCATGACAACCACCTCCTTGGCACGCAGGAAGGTCTCTGGATCCGCAGCCGCAGCGAGGGCGAGGTTGGTCATCGGTCCCACCGCGACGAGAGTCACCTCACCGGCTTCGTTCTCACGTAGTATGCGCAGGATCTCCTCGTGGGCGGGTCGCTTCGAGGGGACGAACGACTGGTGGGCGGCCGGATTGCCCGTTGGCACCGACTGAATGCCGTTGGAGTCGGCCGAGGGATCGAACAGGTGGTCCCAGGTCTCGCTGGGGGTGAGATGGGGGTGCTAGACGAATGAGATGAATGACAGGCAGAGATCATAGGCTTAAAGCATACACTAGAATGGATCCCCCCGAGTCCATCAAACCCATGGAAATAATCGGCCAGCATCTTCTGGTCCTCCAGCGGATCTTCTGCCCCGACGGCGACAACAGGCGGATGGGCGCGCAGGGCGCCGAACCCTTCGGGAAGGCCGTGGTCGGCGCGCCACTTCATCTCGCGCTCGATGATATGGAACATGGAGACGACATTGCGCAGGCAACTGTGATTCTTAGCCCTCAGTATTACCGATGCGTAGTATTTCTCAAGAGAAACCAATACCTCTTGACCTCGATATTCCCAAAGGTCAGCGAGACCAGCAGCACCTGGACCTCCTCTGGCTGCGCCGAAAAGGCGAGCAGCAAGGCCAGGATATCGTCAATGCCCTTACTCGTTAGCGTGGTCGTCTGGGGTGGAGGGGGAATCTTGAGAGTCGTCCGGTGGAATTGACCTACCGGATCTGTATCGATGATGATCTTCCTCGCCATGGTGGTGTTGGGGGCCTGTAGTGGGAGGAGGAGGGGAAAGGCGCTGACAATATCCCACTTTATAACAATGTAGCTTATCAGTCTTGGCGCTCCACCAAGCAGAATTATTGCAATTATTTACGAATCATGGCTCTTCTTTCATATCTTTCTCAGTTGTATTGAAACAGATCTTACTAGGTACCTACTACCTTAAGCCTTACCTAGATATTCTCTGCTTTGTCTGTGTTTGCCCTGGTCGGAGACACCATGTAGTATCAACCTGATTGCTACACAACAAGGGCAAATCTATATTACCAACAACTTTAGTCTAGATAAAGGAATATGCTTCAACTTGTATGATTCCTATACTAACTACTCTATACTAATGAACTATATAGTTAGTAATGAACAGTACTGACTGTTACACGCGTGGCAGTGGGACTCGGTAATCGGCAAGTCAGATTAAGATCTCTCTTCACTGTCATATAATAGACTGCTAGGTAATTAGCTATATTGTTCTCAGTAATCCATCTATACAATAGCTAGTTACGATCTACGTAGTACTGGTGGTGATTGGTATTGACAAGTAATAGGTGGTTGCCTTGATACTTGAGTATTAATTAACTACCTAGGTACAGGTACTAAAAGTCCACCCCTGTTACACTGTAGTCTTATGGAATATATACCTAGTAACTACCATTTATTAACAGGTAGAGGAAATGCTGTCAAATATTACAAATGATTGGACCACCATAACTAAGATGCTTAATTATTATGCCTATTTATATTGTTGTACTGTCTCAAGAGAGCTTCAGATATCATAGGAACCCCTTAAACCACTATACAATACTGTAGTACCTATTAATCATCATCATCATAATAAAAGAATACTCTTGAATTACCAATAACATTATTAAATAGTTCAATAGTCAATACTACCTACTACTAGGTAGTAGTGATTATTACTCCGTCTTTCAACGCAGGTGGAGCAGCGCAAAGACCACCTCATCCAGTATCGCAATTCCCCCTTCACCTCCAATCGTGTCCTTTTCCCCCTCTCCCTCCACCGCTCGCTCCTCTCCTTTCCCTTTCCCCCTTTCCTGTCATCCTCGCCATCTGGCTTCTCCTGTCTTGGGTGTTTCTCGAGGACTGTCACTTTCAGCGCTTCTGCTGGCCTCTCCTGTACGCTGTTCACCGCAGCTACCTTCAACGCCTCTCTTCCCAGCCCAGTCCTCTCTCCTCCCCCATTCACGCGGTCGCCCAGGACGCACAGCAGCAGCAGCAGCGGCGGCGGCGGCAGAAGGTCTTGGTGATTGCGGTTTGGGCTGCAGAGACCGGCTACTCGAAGCGACAGCAGCCCACGCGTGTCTCGGGCTCGTTTCTCGCTTCCTCGTCCTGCGAGAGACAAGGCCATCTGGCCTTACCTACGAAATTCCCTCACCGGATGAACTGAAACGTCTCTGAATACTCGACTTGATTACACTCTTCGTCTACGACCTGTATGCTCTTTTCCTCCTATACTATAAGTTTGGTGTGGAATTGTTCTGACTTTTTTTTTTTTTTTTTTTTTTTAAAGAATAATGAATCCCTTGGTGAGCTGGGCGCTGCTGCTCGTCGTGGCAGGCGGCCTCGGATATTATTACACCAATGGCCCCAACGCCAAAGGCAAACCGGTCATCAAGCCTCTGCTCGAGAAAGTTGATAACATCCCCGCTGCCGCAAAGAAGCAGAAGCGGAAGGTCCGCAAGTCGCCCGAGCCTGCTGCTGCCCCCGCCAGGCCCGTTGAGGCCACCCCCGTGATTGCCGTCACGGAAAACGAGCGACCGGAGCAGGACGTCGACCAGAAGGAGATGGCCAGACGCCTCACCGCCGCGAAGAATGGCACCCCCCTGGCCACCAGCGCTGGCAATAAGAAGAAGAAGGCCGGCAGCAGCGAGCGTTCGGTCTCCAGTGTGTCGACCCGTACCTCTTCCACCGCTGGTGCTGATGCGGACGATGATCTGTCCCCCGCCACCTCGCCTGTGGTGCAGGCCACCGTCCCCGGTAGTGCAGGATACGTCTCTGACATGCTCGAGGCTCCCGCGCCGGCCGCTTCTGTCCTCCGCGTGACCGGGTCGCTGCCTGAGGAGCAGCCCAAGAAGCAGAAGGCCCAGACCTTCAAGCCCGTCGAGACAAAGAAGCAGCGTCAGCAGCGCCTCAAAAACGAGGCCCGCAAGCAACAGGTCCAGGAGGCCGAGGAGCAGCGTCGCAAGCTGCTTGAGAAGCAGATGCACACCGCCCGCGAGTCTGAGCGCCGCGAGGCGGCCGCCAAGGCCCAGCGGGCGCCCACCACGAACGCCTGGGCCGCCAAGGATGTGACCAACGTGGCGTCCTCTTCCTCCTCCAGCTCAGCTCCGGCGGCGGCCGCCAAGAACATCAAGAAGACCGTGGAACTGCTGGACACCTTTGATGCCAAGGAGAACCAACCGGTCTCGTCCTCCTCCTCGAAATGGACCCAGGAGGAGCTTCCTACAGAGGAAGAGCAGTTGCGGCTGCTGGGCGCATCCACCACCGAGGACGAGTGGACCACCGTCTCCAAGAAGCCCAAGAAGAAGGGCGGCAAGACGGACGAGAGCGTCAGCGAGGCCTCCGCTTCGGAGAGCCAACCCTACGTCGCCGCCGCCGCCGCTCCCGCCGTGAAGCCCGTGGAGCTGCCCGCGGTTACCCAGGTCTACATCCCGGACATCCTGCGCAACCAGGGCAAGGGACACCCTCTGGACTCGGACTGGGCAGCTTAAATGTCAACCTCTCCAGTCTTCTCCTTTCCCCCCTCCCCCCCTCCCTCCTACAACCTCATAACCTGGAATGTCCGTCCCTTTCTTCTCTTCACTGTATTATGAGGATCGCTAGTTTAACTACTACAAACCCACCTACCTGTACTTATTCTTGATCCATGGTTTTGGCGTTCTGGCTGATTTGACCTGATGTATACCAAAAGTGCCACCTGGAGAGAAGGTCTACCTGTTGCACAAAAATGAGCTGAGCCGAATCGAACACAACTAAATCGAAAAAAAAAACACCAAATCTTGCTTGTTATTCTATTTTTTTTTTTTTTTTTTTTTTTCAATTGTGTCATGTATTTTATGGTCATCGAGATACCATCCGACAACACTTACTCGGCGCCTACTCGGCGCCTACTCGGTTACTCTCTCATGGACTGAGAATTTCATTGCCAACCGAGGCCAACTATGGAATATTATTACTATTACTATACTGTTCTCCCTAACTCAGGGGTATGCAGCTGCAGATCTAGGTACGGAGTACGGAGTACTCTGTGTGTACCTACCTTACTACATAGTATCCCCTGCGGACAGAGTTCAAGCCTTGCATCAACCCTGCATTTGACCCACTTGCTGCGTAGGTAGGTAGGTAGCAATAGGAATATTTGGTCCAATGTTTATTTTTATCCATTCCCATGCCCATGATTCGAGTCTCTTCCAGGGGGGTTTCCTTTATCTCTGCTAAGCTGTGAGTCGTGATTGTGGTCTACGAAGTAGGTACCTACGGAGTACTTCCGTAATGGATGGATCAGGGTCTATGGTACGGAGTACGGAGTACTCCATACCTACCTCGTTATGTAGTATACTAGTAATTCTCAAGTTTAGGATTGTAATTCGAAATAGACAATTTTAGGTATAATGATGTTTCATACTTGTCTGGATTAATAAGTACCGAAGTTAATCAACTATAGACAGATTGAGGACTTAGCACTCTATTAGACATGTTTAAGCATATTCTCTAAAATCAACAGTATTAGCAATCAATAGATCGCTAGCAGCCTATACTATAGTATCCTATTTGATGATATCGTATACAAAAGACCCTTCAGATATGTCTATTCAGACTTGTCTATTGACCTCCACCGTAAACAGATGATCCCCTAGCCCGATCGGGTTAGACCCGAGTTCCGGTCATCGTGGCCTGTACTGGAAGTGAATCCACCACAGCTATAACCCCCCCGCCTCTCACTTGCTCAATATCGAGTGACTTCTACTCACTGTTTCTTGATCTCTTTCGCGGATTTCTTGACGAAATTCCCTTGCCTTTGCATATTCACCATTCCCTCTTTCCTTCCACACTCTCTCAAATACAACCATGGCCCAAATACGGGGCACCGCGGGCTACAACTTCGGCCACCAGAACCCCTTCGGCGGGCCCGGGCGGGCTGATGCCACCAGCGACCCGAGTCCTCTCGACGCGATCCGCGAGCAGACAAGCAAGATTGAAGACTGGCTAGATACCATCTCGGATCCCATCAAACCGTAGGTTCCATCATACGCTGGCCATTTTGTCGTGCCATTGTCCATTGTTTGTCAATTGTGGTGTTGTCATTCGCTAAAACAAGGGATACTAGCTATCTCCCGGCCATCGGCCGATTCCTCATCGTCGTCACCTTCATCGAGGACACGATTCGCATCCTCACACAATGGAGCGACCAGCTGTTATACCTGCGTGACATGCGAAAGAGTGAGCCACCTATACTTGGAATCAATGGATTCGGAGGACGGCATTGCTGATTGTAAAAAGTCCCCTGGGGAATCTCGCACACCTTCCTCATCGTCAACGTGATCGCCATGTCCGTGTGCTCTGTGCTCGTGATTGCCCGCAAGCGCAGCGAGATCGCCGTCGCAGGCCTGCTGGGCGTGGTCATCACGCAGGGACTGGGCTACGGCCTCATCTTCGACCTGAACTTCTTCCTGCGCAACCTGAGCGTCGTGGGTGGCCTGCTCATGGTCCTCTCCGACAGCTGGGTGAGCAAGAAGTTCGTCCCCGCGGGCCTGCCCCAGCTCGACGAGAAGGACCGCAAGATGTACGTCCAGTTCGCCGGGCGCGTCCTCCTCATCTTCCTCTTCATCGGCTTCGTCTTCTCCGGCCAGTGGAGCCTGTGGCGCGTCATCGTCAGCCTTTTCGGCTTCGTCGCCTGCGTCATGGTCATCGTCGGCTTCAAGGCTAAATGGAGCGCCATCATTCTCGTCGTCTTGCTGTCCGTCTTCAACGTCCTTGTCAACAACTTCTGGACCGTAAGCTCTCAACCTTTATACATTATCTCATCCATCTCATGTACTAATCGATTTAGCTCCACGAACGCCACCCGAATAAGGACTTTGCCAAATACGATTTCTTTCAGATTCTTTCCATCGTGTACGTTACGTTCTTCTTATACCGTGAACAGGACAAAAGCTAATCAAACTAGCGGCGGTCTCCTCCTTCTCGTCAACATGGGCCCTGGCCAGCTCAGCATGGACGAGAAGAAAAAAGTCTACTAATTCTTCAAGTCTGTCTCCAGCCTCGTTCTGTTCATGTCACGTCTGTCTCATTTAAAATCTTCCGACACGTTCCTCACATCTATCCAGCTTTCCCCCCTCACGCACGCATGGCTTACGAGAACATCTCAAAAGCGTCCTTGATAGATCAATGCATCTATTCTATTTTATATTTCAAACCTTTTTCTTCTTTTTTTTAAAGTGCTATTTTTTATTTCTAGTCTGTCTTGTAGCTATGAGTATGGACAATAAATGAATGCTATTAATATACAGTTAAGGGACAAAAAAAAGGATACGGGCTAAGCCAAAGGACAGGACGGACAAATCAATCATGGTTGATCTAGTAACTGGAGAAATCAGGTTTTCCTGCAAAGAATCTTTCCTTAAAAAAAGGGCAAGAAAGAATTTCTTGAGAATTCCAGACTAGTGCAGTCATAGCTGGACCGGCCAGTAATGGTCCATGATGTAAAACATAGGAAAAATAAGGGAAAAAAAAAGACATTAGCAAAGGAGACTTTAGATGTCCATGCTCCACCGCCACGGTCGCACGCGTTCCAGGTGCCCGAAGTCGAGATCCTCTTCACCGTCGTCGCTGATCTCTAGGCGCACCATGTGGATCTTCTTGGTCGTCTCGCTGCGTTGTACCGTCGACAACGACTTGGAGATTGCGGCTTGGAAGAATTTCCCGCTGTCAGCCGTCGCCTTGGACACGGGTCGCGAGCTGGGTGTCTCGGGATACTGCCAGGATAGGGTCGGCGACCATTTATCGATGGAGTCTGCAGGGAAAGACACCATCGAAGGTGACCCAGACCCCAGGCACGAGTCGTCCCGAGTCTGGCTGCTTAGAGGTAATTTGGAGGAGGAGGAGAGGGTAAGAGGTGGGGGGCGCCGAGGCAGATCGGCAGGATTAGTCGTAGTAGTGGTGGTCGAGTTCAGGGAGATGGTGACCGGGGAAGATTGATAGTTTTTCTTTTCCAACCTTTGCTGTTCTTTTGATGATGATGATGACGATGATGTCGGTTGTTCTTGTGAGGGATTTGACGGCGAAAGATGTGACTGACTGACAGGCCCATGGATCCGCTCCTTCCCAGCCATGACTTTAGCACTGGGTGGGGGTTGTAGCATCCATCTGGTTTCCGCCTTGCTGCGTGGTCCACTGACGATCGGGGGGTGTAGATCATTGACCGGCGGCACACGGGCGATATAGTACTTGCTCGAATGGCTTGTGTCTGCCCTACCCCGGCCGGAGATCCCAACGGAGGATCCCTTGACTTCTTCACCCCATAGAGGCTCGTCCTCCCGTTGATATCGCATCCAGTGCCAGCGGTCACCGATCTTCGCTCCCGACTTGGCCTTATCCTGCAAGATGATGTCCGGCATCGATTCCGCGGACGAGTCGGGGAACCCCTCATCCGTGCGCCAGCTCTCCATCCGATTGTGGTTGTTGTGATTGTAGTTCATGCCTGGCCGTCTCCGTGCAGGAGGACCCGGCCCGATGGCGATCTCCTCCCTCCATCCATCATTCGTGCTAAACGGTGTCGGTTGGGCAAACGGTCTCGGCTGGTCGGTCACCAGGGCGTTCAGGCGCTCTTGTTGCCGCTTGGCTCTCGCGGCCTCCTTCTTGCGTTTTCGACGGTCCAGCGTGTTGGCACATGGAGTGCAGGTAACATAGTAGAAGACGGCCGACTGCACACCTCTGTAGAGCCACATGATGGCCTACTCAACAGAATAGGTGAACCTGTAGCCAATTCTTCCAACAGACCCTTGTTGTAGATCGATAGGCGAAAGTGTGAGAGAGGAGGAGTAGGAGGAGGAGGAGGGGGGGGAAGGGAGGTGCAGTAGAAGCGCCCAACACTCCGCTCAGCCTCCTTACCACGTCACGATGGCCGGAGGGCTCGAATGAATGGAACGTAGTCTCTGCAGCGAAGATAAATGCAACATGAAGGGCGTCTGGGAGGGCTGAATTCGAGGAAATGGGAGGGGGAACAACTGATAGGGTCGCCCAGCGACCTCTTGGTGTGGCTGGTGAAAGCGCAGTGACAGCAAGAAAAGGGACTAGAATCTATCTCCCCGCCACAAGCGATGGACGGAGGACAGAAGGGAGAAAAATCAAAGAAGAAAGAGACTAAACGCCAAAATGAGCAGGGAACGAAGATCTGGAAATCAGCGTAGTTTAGCGAACGAGGCCAACGTGAAAGCAACGGCCCAGTTGTGTGGCCGGAAAGAAGGTAGCAACAGGGAGCGAGAGGGACGACGCATCCGGGTCAGGAGAAGCGCTGGGCGGGGGGAGCCCAAGGGCCTAGCGGCTAGCGTAGAGCCAACGTTGGGTCGTTTCAGAGGATGGCTTCGACTTGGCGGTATTAAGAGTACGTAGTAGTCATAATTATTGAATAACAACCATGGGAGACACGACGACTATTATTCTACTGCAATTATTTGTGCGACATTCCAATAATTGGCGCTTTTTGGGGGTGAATAGGGGACCCGTGAATAATACGGAAAGGCTTTGCAGCCGTTGGTTTCCCCTGCCACATGGGCTGATAAGATTCGATAGGGGAGTACGGAGACTCCGAACAGTGAGGGGGGTGTTATTCTGGTACGCTCTAGTACGTTATTTGTGTCGAATTGAGTTTGTACGGAGGATTCTCTTCGTATCTGAAGTCTGGAGCCGGACTTGGAAGTATCCCCTGGAATACTGATTGACCGCCCATTTAAAAGACGCGGCAAAAGAACAGATGGAAGGGATTCATTATTATTGATTGGATAGTTTGTAGGTTCGATTGTACCTCACGCAACGTGTCTGTCGGCCTGTCTGTGACGGAGACGCGCTCGACGTAGCTGAATCAAATTTGAATCATATCTGAATCAAAAGTAGCGTATACCAACGCGAGCACATAGTGCAAGTCAAAAAGTTCCGGTGTGAGGGTCTGCTGCACTGCACTTCTTTGAGCCCGACCTGCCCGAGGTAAATGCTTCCATCGAAGTTGCAACGTGGATCCAGGTACTCCGTAGTCGCGTCGTCACAGTCCATTTCATGTTGATAGCGCCTTCCCTCACCCCTCTCTCTCCCCTTCCCTCCCCTCCTTCCAAGGTACCGACGTAGGGTTCGATGAGGGTGATGGATGGCCCCAAATCCATGACTTGAAGAGCGGGTTTCAAAGGAGGGGGTTTCTACCAAGTCCTGGGTTCTGCCATTCTGAAACCGGATCCGTTCTCCAATCACGCATTCTTGGTGCCTTTGACCACCTGACCCTTCACCTTCGACCAGTCGATCTCCCGGTCAATCTCTTCGTTGACCTCGCCGCAGACCACCACGTTGTCGCCGCGGATCAGATACAGGCCATGTTCGATCTGAGAGCTCGGTTCCGGATCGTCGGGCGTGCGGATGATCCGCTCAATCGTGTTTGATAGTACGAGGTTTGTGAGTTGATCAGTCGATAAGAGAGTGCCGAGCAGAGTCCGCCCGTCGACCGTCAGGATGAGCACCTTTTCTGAAGACAGTCAGTATACGTCTGAACATTTTTGTAAGTCGAATTTCCCCGAGCAGCAAACTCACTGTTGATATAGGCTTGAAGCGACATGGTTCAGACCAGAACAATATAGTTTGATTAGGTAGACAAAACAAGCTCAAGGGAAAGCGATGGCTCTAAAGGCAGTTCGCCAGTTAACACGGTCTCGCGGCACGTGGGACTGGAAAATTGCTCCTTGAAGCCCTCTGCCGGGAAACGATGCTAGAAGAATGCGTAAAACACAAGAAGATATCCGGCTGACGCAAATGATATGGCGGGGTGGGGGAAGGAAAACACGGCGAGAGCTAGAAATCGTGATCGCGGAGGTGTAAATCCACTGGCAACGTGAGGGGAATTGTTCTGGCAAGTCCGCGCTTCAATAGCACGTCTGTCCAGTAAATTAGATATGATGGAACTCAGAGACAAAGAATGCAGAATGGTTTTCCCATCGGGCAGGGCAAGATCTCGAGCCGAATCGGTGTGTTTGGAGATCTCCCGTCTGCCGCCTGCTCGTAACTTGTTGGTTGTTAGGTCACGTGCAGTGAAGCTCCAGAGTCGGATATTCTTGGCATGCGCAGAACCACCAAAACAGCACTATTTCCCAAGTAATTATTCTGTATACTGACTAGATACTGACTGTATAATCGACTAAAGCCTTATTTAAGATGTTTTTATATCTTGGAAGACGGCTAGGCTACAGAGGAACTCTATTTTACAGGAAATATGCGGGAAGTGGGCAACCTATACAGTTATCTTATACGCAGTTCAAATACAGACAGATAATCAAATGAATCCTCCATGTCGATGAGTTGAATACCTTGCGAATTACCCGCTCAAAGCACTCAGATCCAGCGGAACGCTACTACCCCGTCCAGCACGGTATCTTCTCGCTCCTCCTGTGAAATGTCGTGGCTTCGGCAGCAGACCATCGCTCTGGAACTTGAATCTAGTGTCTTCAATCCGAACGTGCCCAGCCGGGCCTGGACTGCGACTGCTGGATACTTGGGACGAACCACCGTTGGTAAGTGTGTAGGCACTCGCATCTAGCATGGACCGATCAAACTGGCTGACTGGGGGGTGATGGTCATATGCCGGAGCATGCGACGGAGCACGAGATGGTGGTTCGCTCGGCAGAGTGGCCAGAGGTGCCGCGGGAGGTGAACTCGGAGGAGGGGGTGGAGGTGGAGCAGCAGGAGCCGATGCAGGGGGTGGGGGTAGGGGTGCAGACGGGGTATGGTTGCTGTGAGAAAGGGCGTTCCGTGCAGCTTGAACTGCTATCGAGGGCACTGATGTTCCATTTGGTGGTTTCGGTGCAGAGCCCGCTGGCGGGGGAGGTGGAGGCGGCGGCGGTGGCGGCGTTGATCTTGACGGCGCTGGAGGTCTGGGGGCCGATACTGAAGGTGGGGGAGGCGGAGGTGCAGGGAAGGCCGCCGAAGGCGCTGGGCTGGAGGAAGGCGGCGGCGGTGGTGGGGGAGCAGGAGCTGAAGGTTTTCTGAGCGGTTGAGGCGCTGGGAGTCTAGCAGAGCCGGGTAAGGGAGGGGGTGCTCGTGGAGGTGGAGCGTCTGGAGCCTTGACTGTAGGAGGCGCTGAGACTGTGGATGACGGTCTCGATGCAGGTTTCGGGGGTGGTTTTCGAAGTGCGGCAACCAGTGGGTTGGTCGGGGGCGTCGGGGGCGATTCTGTCGACGGTGGAGGTGGAGGTGGACGCGCTCCGGGGATTTTTGGAGCCCCCCCTGTAGGAGGCTTCGGAGCGGCAGCAAGTGATGGCCGTGAGCTTTCTGAATCGGACATATACGGCGAGTCTCGATTCGCTCCTGTATCGACACCGCCCCGAACCGTGCGTAGCTTAGGCATCCCACCCGCAAACAACCCACCAAGCTGCGGCGCTGCTGGAACTGCAGGACTACCAGCCTCAGCCGCTGAGACGCCTTCGCTGTTGCTCCGCAGTCGGTTGGCGGCTGGCGCAGAAGGCACAGGTGGTGCCAGCCCCGATGGCGGTTTGATCATTCCGGGAACAGGCGGAGCGCCTCCAATCGGGGGCCCAGCAGACCTGTTCCCCTCCTTGGCGATTGCCGGTGCAGATCTATCATTGGTAACCGTCTTTTTCAACCGGGTGCCTTTGCTAATATCGCTGAGCAGCGCGCTCTATCGAGGTGTTAGTATGAGGTCATCGTCACTGCCGTATCGGGTCATCGTGATCGCGGCTCGCGGAGGAATAGAGCAGTTCCCCGCAGTATCATAGTCTTACTCTGCCTTTTGCCCCTGTCTTGGACGGTCTTGCAGGCATACCTCCCGGAGGAGGTGGCGGCGGAGGGGGGGGACCACCCATCGCGCCCGGCGGAGGAGGAGGAGGGGGAGGGGGTGGTGGTGGTGGCATCTTGACTTTGATCGCAGGATAGGAAGAAAGATATAATAAGAGTTGACGTTAGATGAAGAAAGGAGAGAGAGTCGATTTCAATCTCCTACAGCCGCCTGAGACATTTGGTGGCAGCCTGGTGGTCGTGTGCAGTCGTCGTGGTCGTAGGCAGTAAGATAGTTGCTCAGTGGGTTGGGGGACCCGAGAGAGACTAGAGCAGCTGAGCTAAGCGTGTCCCGACTCCGCCTTCTTTTGTCGACAGGGACTGAAATAATATCAGCGCGTCTCATAGGCCTCACTATTTGCGATAATGAAGGGTATTTCGATCAGAGGCCACAGAAGGCCTCAGCCGTCGAACCTGGTCTGTCAATTCTGCCAATATTCGACGTATTCGGTCCGTCGTGGCAGCCCTGTTCCTACTTCACTACAGCGCAATGTGAGCCTGGGACCCCAACGGCCGAAGCGCCCGATCAGCGCTCCATTAAGTCGGAAAGACTATTTCTACTATAGCTCAAGGCTCTTTGCGACGAAACCATCGGATACGGGATTGTCGTGGGATCCAGAAACCGTCGTACAAGAAATAACACAGGAGGCGGCGGCGATTCAAAGCGCAGACTCTGTGCCCTCCGATGAGTCCGTGGTGCAGTTCCTACAGAAATGCCAGAGGGTCGCCGAGGCGCTGGTTACGAGAGACCATGACCAGAGTGCACAGGCGTCAGCGAGGAACGAAAGCGGCGCCATCTCGTCTCTGTTGGATCTGGAGGAAAAGGGCAACAAGAGAGTCAGGTCGAAGTCGGCCATGAGCACGAATCCGCAGCTGGGTCGATCGATTTCGCAAGTTGTGAATGGCCTTCTTCAGGACAAGAAGATTTTCATCTCACCCGAGGCATTGGCTTGCTACACCGAGATTCACGTGCTTCTGAAAAGAGCAGAGCATTTCCCCAAGATCTTCCACCTCTATGCCCACAAGCCTGTACCGGAAGAAAACAGCTCCCCGATCAAATACCACGAACCGAACTCGAAGAGTGTGAAGAGCGCTATTCCCACGGAACTCGCCAACAAGGCCCTCGACGTGGCAATTGCCCAGAAAAACCTCTCGCTCGTTCTGGCCATCATCGACAACAGTTTCTGCGCTCCCGCGTTTTACCGGGCTAAGGTCTTCAAGAAGGCCGCGGTGCCACTGGGCGGTCTAGCTGCTGCCCCTGCGGCCTGCTACGCACTTGCCTCTTGGGCGTCGACATTCCAATCCTCCATGGATCCCAGCACCGCAACGGGGATCGCGTTTGCCGCGATTCTAGCCTACGTTGGCAGCACGTCGTCTGTTGGCATGCTGGCAATCACGACCTCGAACGACCAGATGGAACGTGTGGTCTGGCTGCCGGGAGTGCCTCTACGCCATCGGTGGCTTAGGGAGGAGGAGCGTGCCGCGCTGGATAAAGTTGCGGTTGCCTGGGGGTTTAAAGACGTGTCGATGAGGGGCGAGGAAGAAGGCGAGGAATGGGACAACCTGCGCGAGTTTATCGGGATGCGGGGGATGATTCTGGACAAGACGGATTTGATGGAGGGGATGCAGTGAGACATACTATCTCTGGCCTCCCCATCGATGTATTCATTATAGATTTATCTTCTTACTTGTAAAGTAATATAAGTATTACGAATGTTCAAGATAAAAAAGAACGTTTTGGACAGAAGTCGTGAGTTTTATATTTTTCTATGCATACAACCCTTCACGGCTAAGCACTTTTTAAAAAACTCCGAGAGCAGCCAAGCACTCAGAATCTAGTAAAGACGCTTGGGGGGAGACATGGTAGCCTTGATGACCAGGCTACCGACGTTCTGCCAGCCCTTCTTCAGGAGGGAGACGAGGTAGTTGATGGCCAGCATGATATTGGCGACCAGCTCCTCCTGGGTCATGCCGACGTTGCCAACGGCAACACCGAGGCAAAGAACCTTCTTAAGCTGGAACTTGATGGTGGACTTGACCTCGTTGACCTTGTTGGCCATATCCTCGTTGTGGGAGACGGGGGTAGGGAACTTGCCGGCTAGAAGAGGTTAGATCCGGTCGTTGCATGCCGACAGAAAAAAAAAAGAATAAAAGATAAAAAAAGGACATACCCTTGGACAGACCAGGTCCCAGAAGACGGGGAATCTGCTTGATGAGACCATCGGAAGCAAGGAAGGCATCGTACTTGCGAGCAAGCTTCTTGATGAGCTTCTTGTTCTTGTTCAGCTTCTTCAGGTCATCAGCAGACATGGCATCAATGCCGTGGTGCTTGGCACGGTCAAGATCGTGCTGGTCACCAAGGATACTGCAAGGATCCAACTGTTAGCCTTTGCTTTTTTATTTTTCATCCACCAATCTTCCCAGCCTCGTCCGCTTCAAATCACACGCGACGCTTGCACCACTATATCGAGGATTGAGAACGCACCAGATGCTCATGTTGGGACGAGGAACGGTAGGCAGGCGGATGGTGCCAGAGAAACGCTTGTCACGCTGGGGGTCATAGTTCTTAAGACCGATCTGGAGCTCGACGGTCTCGAGGAAGTTTCTCTTCTTCTCGTTAAGAGAGTAGTCGAGCAGCTGCTGGACATTCTCGCGCACTCCGGCTATAGAGAGAACAAAAATCAGTCACTGCCAGGACAAATGCAGGCATGGAGAGGATACTAACCGACTGAAATCTTAGACATGATGGCGGGTCAGTCTTCCAAAAGAACTTGAAATTCTTATGGTGTGGCTCTGCGCTGAATATCTTTGCAAGGTCAAGAAGGATTCCTCGCACGAGTCGCGGGTGAGAAATTCCGTCTCCGCTTGTGGGCGCGATATCAGGCTAGCCGTATTTAGTTTAGCTGTGCCCTAATCAAGTGATTGGATGACTCAGCACGCTTCCCCGCTCTGCTTGTTGATTCAAGATTGCTTGACTCCTCCATAATACTACGGGGCAATGATTAATGTCTGGCTATATATAGGTAGGAATCTATCTATCTGTGATAGAATAATTTCTCGGTCTTGTTTGGCATTCAGAAGATTATCTGCATCTACAAATAATCAACAAGATCTGATGTCACAGTCTATACTACTCAAGAATGGAATGCTTCTACTTCATAAGCCAGGAGACGTGGTTTCTCCAGTCAAGGCAGATCCTTTGATTGTGCAGGATAGAATAAACAAGGTTGGAGAAGTTCTTGATGCGCCTTACGAAGACACCAAGGTTGTTGATTGCTCTAAGAAGATTATCTCGCCGGGATTCGTTGACACCCACCACCATTTATAGCAGACCCCAGTTGAAGGGACGGCACTCGGATGATCCGCTGTTGGACTACTTGCCAACAGGTGAGGGCTTATAGTGGGTTTCCGAGAAGCTGAAACAAAGTCGATCGAAGCCCGTGTTCTGACGGGTGGCAGAAAATATGCAAGGCTATTTCTACGACCTCGAGGATGTCTATTGGGGCCAGCTTGGTGGAGCTCTTCAAGCTACCTAGTATAGATGTTGGTATTACATACGTGGTGGATCATGCTTACATGAACTATCCTCCTGAAAGTGGTAGGTCAGAGTGAGGATAATCAAGCCGCAGGTAAAATATGTTAAGCTAGCTATAGGCATCAATGGCATCTCCGCGACAAAGTCCCCTGGCATCCGAGCCTTCTTCTGCTACTGTGCCACAAGCCGGTTTATGTCACGGAGCCCTTTGAAGAAAGATGATGAGATTTTCCTACTTGAGTTGGACTGGTTCTCAATGCCGAAACAGGTTGTAGTTGACCTCTTTAATAAGGCAAGACGGTGGGGTGTCAAGAATATAACGGCGCACTATACCAAGGGTCCTTATTCTGCTAAGCAGGTAGAAAGTTGCTATGTGGTAATTTCCTCATAATACTGACCGGAGGCATCTGAAGGGCTCTTCTCACCTGTACAGATCTTGGAGTCGTATGGGCTGCTTGGAGCCGATCTTCTTTCCTCACACTCTAATGCAGCTGACCACGACGATGCTTTGCTGCTGAAGCGTCACAATGCATACATATTGTGCACCCCGAAAATCGAAATGCAGATGGCCATCGGGGAGCCACTTGCTTTCCATGAGGACTTTTCGTCCATTTGTTCCCTCGGAATTGACTGCCACTCCAACAATTCCTCCGACATGATGACACAGATGAGGTTGGCGCTTCAATCCGCGCGGGCTCGCTTCAGCCAGCCTTTTCTTGATCAGGGGATAATTCCGAGGAAGCTCAAAGCGCTTGTTCAAGGCGTCTTCAGCCTGGGCACTATCCAAGAGGTACGGCTGTAAACATGGAGAATGAGATCGGGTCAATCGCGACCGGAAAATTGGCCGATTTAGTCATTTTCAAAACCACGAGTCCTTCGATGGTTTTTGCGGCGCAAGGAAACCCGCTGACGGCCATCGCCATGTATCCTTCTGTCCGTGACTTTGACATGGTTATTGTTAACGGTAAGATCAGGAAAGAGAACGAGTTTTGGTTCCATGTGGGACGGATGCAATCGGCCACGCATTCTCAGGGCAATCGCAGATAGACTAGGACTATATCTCAGACCGACTCGAAAGTAGCCGGCATCGTCTGAAAAGCAGAAACGAGGACGAGATGGACATGACGGACATTCTCGACCAAGTCATTATGGCCCACAATGTAGATCCAACCAAAGTGGTCGACGAAGTTGAACGAGGCCGAGTAAGTGCGTGCTTGAAAGAGTAGACAGTAATCTCCTCATGATCCTTGTTACTACTTGATTGTTTCCCCTCCACGGTTTCCGTCTTGCTCGGGGTGTGCTAGTGGTAGTCAGTGAATGTTGGTTAGGTTTTCAGAAATCACACGATACCCTTCCCTGACCTTGGATATGGAGAAGCAGATACCTACCTAGGTACCTTGGTATCTCATAACATTCCAAGGTAAGTAACCTACAGACAGTAAATGATTGTTGTTGCTGGTGACTGACGGTCAGCTGCGCGTTGTGCAGGTGACAGGGAAGGTCATCCGCTCAGGATGCGTTTGATGAGGCTGAGCGCTGATATGCAGCCTTAATTATGCGAGGTAGAGGTAGTTAAGCGCCGCCTAGCCCTGGAAGCCTGCAGTCCTTACCATCTTCTATTGCTCTCTCTGGCCTGCTTTCTCGCAACTGACAACGTTCTATGTCCTCGAGATCAAACAACAAGAACACAATCCCTCAGGCTAAATAATGGCCGACACAACAACACCTCTCCGCAGCTCCCAGACAGCTCACAGCTACTACGCAAGCTTCCCGGATCACCTAGATCTGGCGAATAAATTTTTGAATATTGACGAGGAGGTTGGCTTCAATCATTGCTTGCAACAGCTTCAGCAAGCGAAAACTCGCAACTTTGTACTGGATTTCGGTAACGATGACGCCTGGTGTGCTGTGAACCTTGAACACGACGACTTCGCTGCTCTTCTGAGCAAGCCTGTAAGTCTTGAAAAACTTGACGAACAGCAAGGGAGAATAGTAAGCTGACACTTGCTTGAGAAACCGAAATGTTTTGGTACGAGGTGGATGTGAGTGGGCAGCCTTGGCCGCCTTCCCCGTCAAGTGACTTTGTGACAGCGTTGACATGATCCTTTAGTAACATATGGGTTCAGGAGGAGCAAAAGGACTCAATAAGAGTGTGTTAGCCCTTGATGGACTCCCGGGGATGGCCTTGCTTATGAAAAGACAGACAATCACAAGCCCATTTGGCATTTCGGAGAGACTCCAAGCAATGATGTGTACAGACCCGGTCAAGCAACGCCAAAAGGAGCCCAGTCACTCTCCCAAGGAACCCATTTCTCGATATCACTCCAGAAATTCGGAGAGATCTCGGCCCCCAAAGACAACGGATGATCTTGAAGGAGGGTATGATCTGAGAGAATTGTCGAATCCGGATATGCTTGCCGGCGATACTGCCTGGAAACACCTCACGTTCGCGCAAATCACGAATCAAATTTGGCATTTCTGTTCGGTGGACTACGGTTCAAAATGTATGTTTTCTTGTTGGTTCCATTGTTAAAGCTTCTAACTCGAGTTCTACGTAGATACTTGTATCGGATATAACTCTCTCTACACAGTTCCAGGTCCTGCACACAACGGCAACGGCTTACCGGATGGACAGAGGTTATGGTCTTGGGTAATCCTTTGCGATGACGGTAGGAGTCTTTCCCAGCCATTCCCTTCGCTGAACACAACATTTTGCTGATCATGGAATGTTACTTAGGAACGGTAATTTCCATCCAGGAAAACCCATTCCCTGAAATAGAAGACAACAAATTGCCGGAAGCGGACACTCAACAGGCGGTACTCAATATTGTGCGCAGAAACGTTCGACTCATCTTTTCTGGGGTATCGAGGCTAGATCGGACCACCTCTGAAAGCGCCTCGCTGGTGACCATTCGAGTAAGACCATTTAGCGATGATGGACCAGACCAGGCAGGGATCAAACAAGACGATGGGCCCTCCTTATTATTCTACTATATCTTCGATGACTGGGTATCAAGCTATGGGTTGATTGCCAAGCGAGAGCACAAGTACGACACTTGGCTGGACGAGTTGGTAAGAAGGGTGTTTTAATCCTCTGACTCTTTAGCAGGTGGCTAACATGCCCTCTTAGAGAGCGAACATGCTGAAACGGCCTGACGTCGACCTGGTGGACGAGCTGCACTGGTTGGGCAGAAGGCTTGCAGTTCTGAAGCGGCTGTATCAGAGCTACGACCTTATCATGACCCGAATCTTGCAGCGACAAAGACTGCTGCGTGATGAAGCACGCTCGAATCATAAGAGTCTCCATACAGTGAATACCTTGAGTGAGAGCAACTTCACCGAAGTTAACGAGTCCCTCACGCAAAGCCAGCTCGGTGCGGCCAATACATACGATAGCCCTGCGGGGGTCACACTGGGCTCTGCTGCAATAGGGCGTTTTGAGCGGCTTGTGGACCGGATCAATCTATACTGTCTCTGTGAGATTGATGCCTGCTTAACGGAGAAGGAGTCGCTCACATTCTTGGTCAGTCTTGTTTCTCACATCCTGCTTGCTGTGTTTACCGTACTGATCGCCGCGAGGACAGAACTTCAATCTTATCGCCCTGAAAGACTCCCAAGCTGTGGAGAAATTGACGAGGATCACGATCTTGCTGGCCAAGGCTACCATCTTATTCCTGCCGGTGAGTCTCATGACTGCATATTTCTCGACCCAGATCGACGACCTGCAAGGCGTCTACACTAAGAACGACTACTGGGTCGCCTTTGGGGTGATCATGTTTCTCTCTATTGCTCTTCTTGTCATCTTCGGCCTTGCGAGCGATACCGTCGAGGGCAAGACAATCTATCGATCGCTTGTCCGGACCTTCTTCCGCTCCTCGCGAGAAAGACTGTTAGCGCAGCGACAAGCACAATTCAAACAACGATGAAACTGTCTATGGTGGTCAAACTAGTTGAGAATCCATAAAAATCGATATCCACTGTCCCCCCCGCCTACTTGCTTCCGAGTTATTTAGAGGAATTCATAGTACCAGGATGTTGGGATAGCACGCGACAATCTTCGGATACGGGGAGCCTTCCGTCGGGGGGCCTATCATACGTATCGCCATAATCTGGTCCACGGCTGACTGAGGCCTCCAAACACCGTGTCCTTTTCGAATCAGCAAGACAAATAGCCTCTGACAAGGAATGAGGCCAAGGCAACCGTCATTATCGACAGTTCTTCCCAGTCAGACAGGGCAGACTTTAAAACCCCTTCAGGGTCTCCCCGTATTTTGTGTGTAGTGCCTCTAACTTGTATTGTTGTTATCCGTCATCACCGACATTGAAGGGGCGATTTCCTTAGTGACGGAAGCTACGCTGACGGCCGAATATTCTCGACCCGAAAATTCCAAGCGTCGACCTCCCAACTAGCGACCGACGCTCCAACAGGCCCCGACCCGACCTACTTCCATTTCTCTCTCCAAGACTCCAACGTCCCTCTGCATTCCAGCCCCTGCTGTCCGCAGTTCCACGCAGCTTCATCTCTCACGGTGAGTCCTGTCCCCTTCCCGTCGGTTCCCGCTGCTCTGTTGCCCCTCGTGTGTGTTGGTCAGACGCCCTGGTGCTGCTTCTGCCGCTTCTCCATAAACCCCCTTTATACGGGCCACTCGCCTCCCCGTCGTGAAAGCAGGCCACCCCTCGTCCTCAGTGTCCGTCATCATCGCCCGGCACTGCGTGTTGTGTTCCCCCCTACCCTACCACGTTCTGTGAGGCATCACGTGTGCCTTGGATATAATTTCTTTTCTTCGTGATTGATCATAAAGGTACTTTTGTGTGGGCGTGGGTGGTACTGACTTTGGTTCCCGGTAGCTCCCAGGACTCATCTCTCGCCACCGTCAAGATGGGTATGACCATTTCGAGACTGTTTGATAAAATGTGGGGACGGAAGGAGATGCGACTCCTCATGGTTGGTCTGGACGCCGCTGGAAAGACCACCATTCTGTACAAGCTCAAGCTTGGTGAAATCGTCACCACCATCCCCACAATCGGTCGGTCGCCCTTCCACCTGATCCGTTTTCTCTCGAATCGAATGTGCAAGGATTGAAAGAAATAACAGAACTGACGACTCTGCCGTAGGCTTCAACGTCGAGACTGTCGAGTATAAGAACATTCAATTTACCGTCTGGGACGTCGGCGGTCAGGACAAGATCCGTCCCCTCTGGAGACACTACTACCAAAACACCCAGGGTATCATCTTCGTTGTTGACAGCAACGATCGCGATCGTGTTGTTGAGGCCCGGGAGGAGTTGCAGCGCATGCTGAACGAAGATGAACTGCGCGATGCCCACCTTCTGGTCTTCGCCAACAAGCAGGACTTGCCTGTATGATCTAACCACTGATTACCCTTTTCTCTAGGACTTCAAAAACTAATTTTTTTCTCTCTCCCTTTTAGAACGCCATGACCCCCGCAGAAATCACTCAGCAGCTTGGCCTCCAGAGCCTTAACCGTCGTGCTTGGGTAAGTCTACGTTATACCTTTTTTTTTTTAAAAAAAAAAAAAAAAATCTATCCGTGTCACATTGCTGACATGATCAGTTCATCCAATCCACCTGCGCTACGACCGGTGACGGTCTGTACGAGGGTCTTGAGTGGCTGGCGGACGCCCTGCGCAAGACCAACAACTCCTAGAGCGGCGAGGGGGGGGGATGTTTACGGAAAATGCAACGTCGATGATGTGGAAGAACAGCAGGAAGTTCTTGGGGGAATATTTTTGTGTCAATGACGGGATACTGCTTGTGATTTAAGCCTCTTCACACACCGGAAGGATGGGGTCCGGGGGGGAAAGGGGGATTTGCAGCTTTGGTACTTGCGCGCGCGTGTTCTCTAACGGCTCTCTTTATTCCTCGATGCTATTAAAGCCTCATTTTTCTCTTTCTACGGCGTCCACCCAAGTCTTCCCTCTTCTTCCACTTTAACCTTCCAAATACCATGTTCTTCTCACCTCAAGCCTTCACCCTGCATGAGTCTCCAGAATGTCCACAGTCTGACCTAGCATTATAGATTTGAATGTATGACTAAGTAGTATTGTATGACTCGGTAGACATGTATACTATAGTTCTAGTCTTGATTGTTTAATGAAATAACATAGTACTTTAAACTAGTAACTAGTATGGTACTAGCAGTATAGTACTAGGAGTTATCTATCTGCAGGGACATCCGGCAGAGCCAACTCCCTCCCGCTCACCCACCAGGCAGCAGCACGGACGATCTCGAGGACGGAGCGGAGCTCCTTGGCGTCGCGGGGGGCATAAACCATGACGAAGCCCGGGGGCACGAACTTTGCACGACGCCACCACCAGCCTTCCCGGGCGAGCGGGTGACGCTGGCCCCATCCGCGGTCGAGGACGAGACGGACGTCAGCCGGGTGGAGGGTGAGATGGAGGCTTCCGTCAGAGGGATGGGCGTGGCAGACCTCGCCGCTGCAGGTGGGGCGGACGCGGGCAGCGGCGTGCACGAAGACTCCCGTGCTGTGCTTCTCGAAGCAGGAGGTGGCGGTGTATAGTTTTTCGGGATGGGAGTGAGCCAGGCGCCGGAGGGCTGCTGCTAGACTTTCGTAGGCGGCACTGTCGCCCTGCTGTGTTACCTGGCGCTGGGGGGCGATGCCGGCCACACGGGGCCGGGAGCCGTTGCGGGCGGGGAGCCGATCGCTTGTGAGAATCCCCTGTTGCGGAGACAGCGTTGGGGCCACGGCCGGCGGGTGCAGTGGGTTGCGGAGGGTGAAGAGTCGGAGCACGCAGATGCGAAGGTAGCCGCGTGGAGTGGACGGGGTGCCCCCCGGTCCTAGGGCGATGAAGGCGCGATAGTCGCGCCGCACATACTGAGCCAGGATCAAGATGGGCAGCAGGATGAGCGCGGCGGAGAAAACGGGGCCGGCGTACAGTGGGACAACGCTGTTGAAGAAGAGCGTGTCATTGTTTACTGCTGAGTTCGCCGCCTGTGTCTTGATATAAGTAGGTAGCTTGACAACGATCCTTGATCTGCAGGGGTGGGCCTGTTTAGAAACAAACCTCATCCTCATACCATTCTGTTCATCAGCGGCCACTGGGGCTAGATAGGTAGTAGCTGTCTGACAGCAAAGTAAGTAGGCGAGCAGCAGTTATATAAGTTTTTTGTGTCTCTCCTGAACCCATTAGACGAGGAGAAAAAGAAACCATCCCCCATAGACGTGGTCATCCGACAGGAATCTGCATGCAGGTGCCTACGGGGCCTTCGTGGCCAGCCAGCTGGAGAGAGAAAGCATCGACTCATCGAGACCGTTTCCACCACGGAACGACTTCCCCGGAGGATTGATTGTCTGGCGCGTGACGGGTGGTTTATGTTCTCAATGCGCAAAAGGGGAGGCTTCTTGAGAGAGAAATATTGGGCATCGTCAAGGTTGCATCATCACCCAGCCATTGATTGAGCAGTGGCGGGATTCCAGAGCCTTTTACGGCTGCTATCTGAGACCGCCTCAACTGTTGGAGTGTGAGCTATCCACTCGGTCCACGTTTTCGTCTTCGTGGCAGGGGAGCTCGACCTCTGCCCGCCATTGGCGGCTTGACGACGATCACCACGAGAGGCCCTCGTGCATCCTGAAGGTCTTCGTATCCATTGGGATGTTGTTGGGGGGATTTTGCAAAGGCAGCAGAGCCAAAGCAACAGCAGTGTCACATGATGCTTAGGTTTGGTTCAATTTAACCGTATCTGGAATAGCAGATTTTGATATAGTCTAGCCTTAAGCAGTATAGTACAGATTGTAACAAACTAACGTAATAAGGAATGGTCACAGGACATCTTTCTGATTAATCATTAATTATATAATCACTGACTAATCACTGACTAATTGCTGGCTCACCTTCTTCTTCTCAGAGCGACGACAATAAAATGTGCAGCATTTATTTCTACAGTCTACGGAATACCAAGTACACTGCAGTACTGCAGTTGATCTGTATTATCCAGTATTAACTCGATTTAATGGTTTACCCGATAGAATTTTATCTAATTAGTTCACAGGAGTGATCTGACTAGACTATCTTAGGTATATTGTCGCATGAGAGCTTTAGCAATAATAATCGACTATAAGATACTCTGCAGTTATCACTTATATTCTGCCATTCAAGGCTTATACTATACTTACTCCATACTTTACTTCTCATACTCCGTACGGAGTACTCTATTGACTAACTATCTGTAATGCAATATACTAATTATTACTCCTAAAACTCCACTGCACAAGGTGAGTGCGTAATCACTTGGGCAACCCGTCTTGGCATCTGCTCCCATCAGAGATTCCCTCGTCGTGATCCAGCCAGTCATCCTATCCAACGCAGGTCGTTCGCTGGGGGGGTTTTGATTCTTTTGTTTGGTTCTCTGACCCTCTAGGCTGTCGGATCGTCCAACCGACGGCTGTCATCTCGGCGTTGTTCCTTTGTTCTCCCAGGGTCGTCCTTGTTGTTTTCGACCCTCCAGCGCCGAACCAGCCCTGAGCTCCTGGCTTACGACGCCTATTCGCGTCTACCTCCTATTCTACACGTCTCTAATCACTGTCAACCCTAAGCAGTCGTTGAATGCGGTTGATCGAGGGTAGTTCTGCTGCAAATATCTCTTCGGGTGTGGCGTGTCGGTAAGTCCACTCTATTGCTATTTCGTCTTTCCCAAGGCTTCACTTCACGCCTTTTCTGCTTCACGACTTTTCTCTGATACAAAATGACTACAGAAGTCGATCTGCCCGCCGTTACTCCCTCTCTTGATCCTCTAGCCAAGATGCCGGTCCAGGCGAGGAGGCATTCTTCGGCCTACCAGTCGCAACCGCCCCATGCCCGCGATGTCGAGAAACTGTCACACTACAAATCGTCACCACAACAGCAGCAGCAGCAACAACAACATCACCACCACCACCACCAACAACAAATACAATACCACCATAATCATCGCCGACGCGACTCAACAACATCCGAGAGCGAGGATGACTCCCTTTCGTCGTCAGCGCCCTCCTATCAGCCGATAATGAACGGTGCTGTACGGCGTGCTCGAGGTGGCGGTCCGGGCATCTTCTATCGTGTTCCCAACCGGATCATGCGAAAGTTGTGCTTGGGGCTGCTGGTAGCCCTGATACTCTTCATCGGGTCCTTGTTTCGGTTCACCCTTCCGACAGTAACGCCGGTGCCCCTGGAGTTGCCCAAACCTATCTCCAAGCCCCCGCCGTGGGAGAGCTTCCCCTTTCTGAAGCGTTATCATGGGGGTGTCCGCTCATTGGTCTCGCGCAAGGAAAACGTGCCTGAATACCCGGGAGATAGTGCCGACGACGTGTTGGCCTCTCACATTAACAGTGAAGAGCAAAGTGCAGCGAAGAGGGACCAGAAGTCGTTGACCATGTCCAGCGAGGTCTTCAACCCATACCCCGACTACGCGTCCGAAGCATACCAGTCGAAATACGGCGAGAAACGTGAATGCTTCTTGAACGAGGCGGGCACCGTGCGGCTCCCCCGGGTCCAGAGTTTCCCGGGCGTTCCGCAAGGCTTCCCCGACGCCGTCATGGGCTCCAACGAGATGATCGGCATCCGTGATGATGTCTGCTTTGATCGCTTTGGCCGTCTGGGTCCGTACGGCCTGGGATATGGTGCAAAGAGAGGCGGGTCAGGCGCAGGCTTGGAGGGGGATCGCGAGGGCGCCGAGAGGGTCTGGGATGACTACCCGCCCGTGGACTTTCGCGAAGTCAGCTGGGCCAAAGCCCAGAACCACTGCGCAGTCATCAACAGCCACCGGTTTGCGGATCTTCCAGAGCCTAGACTCGACCGTTTTCTGGCCATGCCGATTGGTTCGATCAATGTCGCTCACCCTGTCTCTTCCCCGCCTCAAGACGCAAAGAACCCCCCCAAGGTCGGGACGGATCGTCTCCCGCGGACTGCAGTCATCATCCGCACTTGGTCCGACTTTCAGTACACGACCGAGGATATCTTGTATCTGCGCTCCCTGATCTCGGAGCTGTCACTGCTCTCGGGCGGCGAGTATACCGTGCACTTTCTCATCCATGTCAAGGACTTGAACCTCCAGATCTGGGCGGATGACGATACCTACGAGCGGGTACTGCACGACGCGCTCCCGGAAGAGTTTCGCGGGATGGGGACGCTGTGGTCCGAGAAACAGATGGAACTCTTCTACCCGGGTCTCGAGGAGACGCTGGCTCGGGGCCTGGCGGTCCACGGGGTGTACCGCAGCACGTTCATGCCGATGCAGTATTTCTCCTACGTGCATCCAGAGTATGATTACTACTGGAACTGGGAGATGGATGTGCGCTACACGGGCCACTGGTACCACCTGTTCGACAAGGTAACCGGCTGGGCCAAGCAGCAGCCGCGCAAGGGTCTGTGGGAGCGGAATGCTCGCTTCTACGTCCCATCGCGGCATGGCTCGTGGGACGACTTCCGGCAGATGGTTCGAGTGCAGACCGAGCTGGGTACTGACAGTCCGAACAACCTCTGGAGCGCTGTCAAGCTCGGTGGCAGCGCCGATCAAGCCAATGACAAGAGCGCCGTGCAGCGTCAAGTGGAAAAGTTTGTGTGGGGGCCGCTGCGGCCACACGAGCGCGACATCCTCGAGGTGGAAGGCGAGGGGATCCCGCCCACGACCATCGACAAGGACAACTACAAGTGGGGGGTGGGCGAGGACGCCGACCTGATTGTGTTCAATCCGCTGTATGACCCGGAGGGCACGACGTGGCTTCTTCGCGATGATGTGACGGGGTACAACCGGGACGAGGGGATGCCACCGCGCCGCACAGCGATCATCACGGCGTCGCGGCTGTCGCGCAAGCTGCTGCACACGATGCACAAGGAAACGGCGCTCAAACGCCACACGATGTTTTCCGAGATGTGGCCGGCCACCACGGCGCTGCACCATGGATTCAAGGCCGTGTATGTGCCCCATTCCGTCTACATCGATCGCCGCTGGCCGACCGAGTATCTCGAGTCCGTCTTCAACGCGGGCCGCAACGGGGCCTCGGGCGGCGCCCGCACGGCGGTCTTTGGCGACCGCGAACATAACTTCAAGGGCACCACCTGGTTCTATTCGGCGGGCTTCGCGCCCAACCTGTGGCGCCGCTGGCTCGGCTATAAGGTCGACAACGACGGCGGCGAAGAGGAGGAGTTGGTTGGCGAGGGCAGGATGTGTCTCCCTCCCATCCTCTTCCATCCCGTGAAATCCGTCAACATGGTGATTGACGACGGCCTCGTCTAGTCTCCTTCCTCCTTGCACTGAATACATCTCACCCCTGGGATCACTGTTCAAGTTTATTAACGTCTCTTTTTTTTTTTTTTTTTTTTATCCTCTTGTACATGCGCGGCAAGCTCATGGCGCCCGGCGTTCCATCGCAGAGCCCCCTTTTTGACCTGTACAAACCGTGGCCTTTTTGTACTATCATGACCGGTTCTGTCTTTAAAAGACCTGCCTTTTGATTTTTCTAATGTAAAAAGCAAGCCAGCTATGGATGGATTCCCCTCTTCAGGTCAGATTTGCCTTTATTTTGGCTTCACATAGAAGATCTGATAATCTTATCATAATCTTATTTCTACCCTACTCTTTCTTTTCCATCGATTTCTATCCATTCCTTTATCATAGAACCTTGTATTAGCCGATCCATTGCTTATCATAGAACATTGTATTATAGCCAGGGGTCTATAATACCTTGATTATAGACTGCAGCAATCACAATGCACTTCTCGACAGAAAGTAGCCACAAACGATACCAACATGGTCTATTCTCTAGTAAATTAGAAGGACAGAATAATAAATAAATAGATCAGTCATTGTGTCAAGTCCAGATCCTTTATGGCTCTTAGTCTGTTTGCTAAGTCGGATGTCCGGTTAGTGACCGAGTCGTCCGAGCAGGGGATCTTTTCCCCCACCATAAATTTATTGTTGACTTGGCTACGACACATCTCGAGAAGGGAATTTCCAGCGCCTCCAGCCTTGATAATCATGCCGTATGCACTGCTCAATACGGGAAGCGATGAGTGCCTCTCGTTGGAAATGGAGGAGGAGGAATCTCCCCTCCCGTCGCCGTCGAGATCGAAGCCGTATTTGATGATGGCAACCGTCAGCCTGGCCGGGTATATTCACCACTCTATCTGCTGTTTTTGAAGGATCTGCGTTTATTTGAAGCCTAAAGCTAATATGTTGAAGTGCCCAGGCGGCATTTTCGATCCAATTCGCATACGGAACGGTGTGTACTAGTCCTGCCACTTCCAGTTACTAGCACAGAGGAATGGAAGTGATGACAGCAGCTATGAAACAGAATTACCTCGCCTCTCTAGGACTGAGTCCAGCGTTGGCCAGCATCGTCTGGCTGATCCCCCCGCTATGTGGCGGCATCATGCTCCCCGTCTTCGGAGCCATAAGCGACCAATGCCCGGCCACCTTCTTCTTCTTCTTCTCCAGCGGGAAGAGAAAGCCCTTCATCGCGGGAGGGGCCTTGACTCTTGCGGCCAGTCTTCTCGTCTTCGCCTGGAGCGGCGATCTGGCTCGATCCCTCGACGGTTCGTGCCGGCCAGATCGGCTTCACAGCTGTGCCTTGGCGCGCGACATCTCCGTCCTGTCTATTCTGGGCATGAATGTCTCCGTTCAAGCCCTGCAGGCGGGCGTGCGTGCTCTGATGGTGGATGTCTGCGGCGTGGAGCAGCAGTCCCAGGTTAACGCCTGGGCCGGGCGGATGGTCAACGCGGCGAACGTGGTCTATTACGGCCTCGCGTCGATGGATCTTCGACGGCTGTTGCCTTTCTTCGGCGATACGCAGTTGAAAGTGAACTGTGCGCTTTGCGCCTGTATTCTCCTCGTCACAGGCGGTCTTACATGCAGCATTTCTACGGAAGAGACCGCGACGCGGCCGTCCCGCTGGTCGGGCATTCGTGAGCGCTTCCGAGATGTGATTTCGGTCCTGCTCTCGCCCGATCTGCTTCATATCCAGGCCATCCAGTTTCTTACCTGGTTTGCTTGGTTTCCATACATGATGTACATTCGAAGGTGAGTCTCTTTTCTGTTGCAAATTTGGGAGGGTTATGGTAATAACTGAATATCAGTTATCTGGATGGCTTTGGGATGAAATCCACACCCAGTACAACGGTACAATACGGCTCTCTGGCTCTCTTGTTTCAATCTGTTATTGCGCTACTGGTGATCACCCTTCTCCCTCCACTTGCCAGTCGCATAACCAAGCGTCGCAGCGCTGGGGATAACACATCCACCGCCGACGGGAACGGCTTCGACTGGAAGACACACCGGAACATCTGGGCTGCCGCGCAGGTCATCTTCGCGAGCGCCCTGTTGGGAATCACGTTGACGAGCTCGGGCATAGTGAGGGTCATCCTGGTGGGACTGACGGGGACCAGCTGGGCGGTGATCCAGTGGGTGCCGTTCACATTTATGACGGTCAAGATCCGGGCTTCTTCCACCGCGGCGTGCTATCTGACCTACAAGGAAGATTCTCGGAACGTCGGCGCCATGGTTGGCTTGTTCAACCTGTCGATTGTCATCCCGCAGCTGGTGAGCATGCTCCTGAGCAGTCTCATTTTCTCTGCCATGACAGACCTGCTGCATGGACCGGCGGGATGCAGTCGACTTATCTTCTTTATAAGCAGTTTGATGTCTTTTCTGGGGGTTGTACTTACCACGAGACTGAAGTTTATGTAGATAGACAGACAGATAGATGCCTCATATATAGGACGAGTAGAAGAAGCCAGTACTTGATTAGATATGTATCTCTTACTTCCTCTATCCTTATTCCTTTGTTACTCTCCAGACTGGCCAGTTGGTCTTTCAACGACTATTGATTTTGTGCAACTGACGCAGATTTTTCCTTTAGGAAACCACGACCTGCTGAGATCTTAACCTCTTCATTCCTCCTCTTCTCTTCCTCTCTCTTCTATCTACCACAGCAGGATACTATTCATCGAACCGCAATAACTATAACTATCATATATCACTCACACATCTTGGTATGTCTTCTCAATCTGTCAAGAAACACCCAGAAACTTGAGGTACCTCGCTAATAACAGATTGATGATATCTAGCTCTTCACCATGCGTCTCGCTCTCGCCAGCCCAATGGCTCTGTCTCTCGCGTCCACCGTCTTGGCCGCTTCCAACTTCACCGAAGCTCCCATCATCACGAATAGCCAGCAGGGTGTGCTGTATGAGGCCACCCTGTTCAGCAAGCAGAATACCTCCATCCGTGGAGTGGTGACGGCCTGGGCTCCATCGAATGCAATTGGCGTCAAGTTCCACGTTGACTTTTGGGGATTCCCCCCGGACGTCCGTGGTCCTTACCGTGAGTGCAAAGCGTGTCCTCCGGGATCGAATTACTTTTTAAACTAAAGAACATTGCCTCTTAGCCTACCATATCCACCTCGATCGCGTCCCCCAAGACGGCAACTGCTATAGCGCCGGTGGACATCTCGACCCCTATGACCGCGGTGAGCAGCCTGCCTGCGACCCGAACCAGCCGCAGACGTGTCAGCTCGGAGACCTGAGTGGGAAACACTCGCCCGTCTACGTGGCTCCAAATGCGCAGTTCGAGGCCGAATACACCGACTTGTTCCTGTCCACCACCAAGGGCAGCGACGCGTACATTGGCAACCGGTCCATCGTTGTCCATGCGCCGGACGGCACGCGTCTCAACTGTGGCAACTTTGTGCTTCTCGAGGAGGTTGAGTAGGCCGAGTAGTTGGAGCAGATAATGACACACCTGTGGCCCTAAGAACCCACGGAGAATATTCTTAACTAGACAATGGATGATTGCATGTCATTAAACATTTGACTAGTAACCTGTAGAAACCATCATGATATCATAACCCCTATAAAAAATCAACGTAAAATAGATAAGTTATATCAAAGTCTCGTCCCCCCCCCCCTCAATTCGGCTGCCCATCGAGTCGTTGGAGTCTAGTCCGCATTGCCGACGGATCATACTGGCCCTCCTCACCACGGTACTCTTCCAAGACGACGGCACGCATGAGACGGCGCGGGGCACGACGGCCTGTGAAGAGTTCGAACTGGGCGAACCCCTGTTCGGGGAGGACGTCGAGGCCGTCGAGAGCGGACCAGCCGCGGTGGGAGAGGGCGCGCATCTGCATGATCAGGGGGGTGTTGAGGGGTTTATACGCCAGCTGGATAGATTAGCAAAAAAAAAAAAAAAAAGAAAAAAGTATAGAGGAGAGTAGAGAGAGGCTTTACATCAACTACGACGCCTCCGGTTGGGCTTTCGAGCCATTGGAGGGGCATGCGGAAGTTGGGCGGGGGCTGGCCGTCGATGCTGTGGGCGACGATACAAGAGACGACGATGGTGGGTTGTTTGAAGCCCGTAGGCCAGGGGTCTTGGAGCGAAGGGAGAACGTGAACGGTTGGTTTGTTGGTAGTGGGGACGGGCGGGTAGAGCGCCTGCTGGCGGTTATAGTGGGCGGCGAGCTTCTCGGCCTTTGCGACGGTGCGGTTGTGGACGAAGATGTTCTGCACGCCGAGATGGATGAGGGAGTAGACGGCGGCGCGGGCCATGCCGCCGGCGCCGATGACGACGCCCGTGGTGGCGGGGCGGACGGCGTTGGCGGGCGAGAGGCCGCGTCGGATGCAGTTGCAGATGCCGATCCAGTCGGTGTTGTCACCATGGAGGGCCTTGACGGGGCCGGCGCGGCTGCGTTCCAGGGCCAGCCAGGCGGGGGCCGGCGAGGAAGGGGACGAGGCCGAGGAAGGGGGCAGGTCGGGCGTATCAAAGTGACGGATCGGGATGAGCGTGTTGACGGCCCCGATGGCGCGCGCGTGTGGCGACATGGAGTGCAGCAGGGGGATCACCTCGGTCTTGTACGGTAGGCTGACGCTGGAGCCGCCAAAGTACGGGTTTTCCACGATCTCGTGAAGGCCGCGCAGGGTCGGCGACTGGTGGATGCTGTACATGTGCGGTAGGCCGGACAGCTTGTACGCCGCGTTGTGCATCGCGGGGGAGAGACTGTAGGTCGTGTTGGCCCCGAAGACGTAGAAGCGCATCGGGTCGAGAGTGAAGGAGGCGTATAGAGCCTCGCGAGCCTGTTGCACGTCGAGACAGGGCGAGAGCTCGCTTGATATAGTCCCTCCTCCGCCATTAATATTATTGCCACCACTACCACCACCACCACCACCACCACCGGCGGCAAGACTGCGGTGCGTGACCGGGGTCAGGATTGGGTTGTAGACCCCTGAGAGGCGGCCGAGTAGACCTGTGTTGTATGCAATGATGGGCGGATGGGGCCCCGGCAGCGAGTCGATACGATGGCGGAACCGTTGGACGGCAAAATTGTCATCGATCGAGGTGGCCGGCTGTGACAGACGTACCAGGTCGCAGCCAAGTCGCCTGGCGCGGTCGTACCGTTGCATGTGCTCGGCCTCGTCCCAACCGTGCGGCGGCCCAGCATAATGGCCAATGATGCGTGTGGAGCCTTTGATTGCAATGACCTGCGAGAGCAGACTGTCACTGTAGCTAAGATCTACTGTGAGAAACTCCGGGGCTAGCCGTAGGCCGTGCCGAATCAGTTCCATATAGGCTTCCTCGGGGCGCCGTGCATGCCCAGGGGTACAGCCGCCGTGACTGGTAGGCGACGGGCTTCTCGGGGGCATCTCACTCTCGACATGGTAGATCAGGGGTACGATGATATGCCGACGGATCGTGGAGACGGTCTGGCTGATACGGTCTGCAAAGGCCGAGTCCAAACCAAGCTGCATCGACGGTGGGTTGGCCATATCAATAGTCAGCTCGAAGGCATCCGAACTTGATTCCAGGTCCTCAATGTCCAACTCTCGTTCGAGCAGGGCCGACAGGGGCACCGAAACGGCATAGGTATAGGTGCGGGACTCGATGGGTAGCAGCGAGAGTGGAAAGGATGCCTGTTGCTTGCGCAGATGGGAGAAGTTGCCTGTCGCAAAGGCGATGAAGCGCAGAAAGTCGCGCTGCAACCGTTTCAGTGTGAGAAACGGGGTTGAGGACTGTAGCCGATGGTCTAAACTTTGACATTCTTTGCTACTGCTGTTGTTGTTATGGTGGTGGTTATTGTTGCTGTTGTTGCTATTGCTGCTGCTAATGCTGTGGTCTTCCCCGGCTGTCTCGGGCAGATTGAAGAACTCCAGATTGGAGCAGGCACGGTACAAGGGGCCCGACAGCTCGAGAAAGCGGCGCACCCGCGCCGTGTCCCAGGCCTGGAGGTATGCTTGGATGCTCTCCGGGTCTCGAACGACGTGAACGACGGGGTGTGTCTTTGCGTATTCCCTCAGCAGACGCTGCCCGGTACGCTCCATCGACCCGGGCCCGCAGGCGATGACGCAGCCGTCTCGGTGGTCGGCCAGCATCGAGTCGATAACCCTCGCCTCCTGCTGGCGATACTCGATGATGCTATATTCCTTCTTGAAGGCGGCGCGGGACCTCCCTGTCATCTGTTCGAAGTACTGGTCGGCATCGATCAGCCGGCGGCCAAACGTCGCGGCGAGGATGACCGCCAGACTCGACTTGCCCGTGCCCCGGATCCCGATCAGCACTATCGACGCACTCTGGTTGAAAACCCGCTGCGCCTCAAGCGGGCTGTCAAAGGGGATGGGCGACGCACGGTTCGACGTCAGGTCGCGGTCGGCCAGGGGCTGTTCGGCGAACGCATTCTGCTCGTTCGTATCCACCGACGCTGTCTGACTCCGACTCCGACCCGTAGTAGTCGCCGGCGATCGCATCAACCCGTGACTCCGACTCCCTTGACGATCATAATTGTTGTTGTTGTTGTTGTTGTTGTTGTTGTGGTGGTGGTGGTGGTGGTGGTGGTTAATGTGATTGTCGAATCTCTGTGCGACGCGTCGCTCCTGCCCCTCCACCTCATCGAGCTTGCGCTTCGCCGGTCGCACCAGAAGAGACATGTCCACGACTCTATCACACGAGATCCCATCCAGTCTGTAGTCTGTAGGGTCCAGGCAGTCTCTGTCCGACTTCCAACGGATGGCCTGATCTCTTGAATCACATCTGCCGGCGAGGCGCCAAACCCAGGTATAAATACCCCAGAGAACAGTGCAGCCAGCTTCGGCGGGCAAGAAAACAGCCTGTACAGCGCGCCAAACCCCTGCAACGCCAGCAAATCGTCCTTGGGGCCTCCAGCAGCGGCGGTGTGCAGCCTGGCGGACGTCGGACGAGGCCAACTTCGAGCGGCCTCGTCTCGATCCTGCCGAATTGGCGGGGAGGCGGCGGCGGAACAAAGCTCAGCCGGCGGCAGCCTCAGGCAGCCCGCGCCTGCTGAGTCAGCCCGCGCCATGCCGTTTGCGGCAGCCGCCAGGAGCAGATACGGATACCCCGCGGGGGCAAACGAATGGCCGGCTGGGAGTAATAAGCAGGCGTTGGCTGGGGCCGAGAAGGCGGAAAAGCGCAGTCAGGTTGGAAATAGGAATAGAAATAGACATAGAAATAGAAATAGACATAGGAAATAGGAAATAGATAATACAGAATAAAATAAAATAAATATATGGAATACTGTCGTGGTTAATGTGTCGTGTTGTCTGTGCTCCTGGAGCCTGGAGAAAGATTTAGTCACGGGATTACGCTCGCTAACCGAAGCAGCGGCGAAGGCATCCAAACTCTCCTCTCCGCCTGCAGCAAGCACCAGCCATCCTGGAGGAACAGCCATCCGACGCCCCGCCGGGAAGAAGCGCCCAGAGAGTCTAGAAGACGGTCGAGGTGAGGCTGCCAGTTCAAGTCTACGGCTACATGCGTTGTTGAAAGCCGGTGGGCCCTTCCTCCTCCCCAGTGAGCAAGGCCTCGGTCGGCAAAGGGTTCTCACGTACGATTCGAGAGGAGCGACGATCGATCATGCCTGCAGGGCTGTCGAGGGGACCGCCGAAGAGATTATTATGAGCACCGAGACCTCACGCCAGGCCCCTGGCGGAGCCAACAACAACAACAGCAACAACAGCAACAAGGCGAAGAGGCGATGGACCGACGCCGACGAGGAAACCACGACGCCGACCGCGACGACGACGGCCGCTGCCCGCTTTGCACAGAACCATGAAGACCACGCCACGCCGCCGAAACGGCATCGGGTCTCGCGAGCCTGCGACAGCTGCCGCTCCAAGAAGGACAAGTGCGATGGGGTGCAGCCGGTGTGCTCGACCTGCGCCGCGCTGTGCCGCCCCTGCACCTACAAGACCAATCCCAAGAAGCGAGGCCTGCCCACGGGCTACATCCGCACCCTCGAGCTGCTGTGGGGGTTGATTTTCTGCAAGATCCAGGGCAGTGAGGATGTCGTGCGGGCGCTGCTGCGGGCTGCCAACATGCCCAGCCATCTGGCAACGATGGGGAAGGAGGCCGAAGGTTCCGATACCCTGATGTCCTCGTGGAAGAACAGTAGCGTGCTGAGGGAGATCGAGCGGCTCTTAACCCTGTTGGATCAACCGGATGAGGAGGCAGATAAGGCAGATTCGCCGCGGGAGGCCGACGCTCGCATCCTGCTGGCCCCCGAGGCCCTCGAGTGGCAGATGCCAGAGGGGCTGGTCGTCATGGCTGACCCTTCGGACCCTGCCATGGTGATGCCCGGGTACTCCCCGGGTAAAGCGTCGGTGAGAGCGATGGCCACCCCGCGGGTGACGGCGGCGGCGGCGGCGGCGACGACGACGACAACGACGACGACAATGATGATGATGATGACTCGCGACTCGAGCACACAGACCGACCCCTTGTTGGACCAGACCCCCAGCGGTGGGATACGAGACCGACGCAGCACCCTATCACAATTACCATCTGGTTCAACGTCATCGGCGCCATTGTTCACTGGCATCCCAGAACCCCCCCCTTTACAACTACCACCAAACGCGTGGTCGCTCTTCGATATCTATTTCTCATACACGCAGTGTTGGTTTCCTATTTTGGAGAAACATGACATTCTACGCACCGCATACCGATACGCTGAGGCTGACGTCCGCCTGCCCGCCGCCTCAGCCGGCTCTGGCGATCACGCCGCCCTGTGGGCCGTTCTGACGCTGGCGTCTATTCAGGAAACCTCCATCCCATCCATCCGGCGGAGTACTACCACCACTACCGATCATCAACAACAACAGCAGCAGCAGCAGCAGAACGACCGGCCGGACCCGGCCCGTCTATACACCATCGCTCGGACGTTGGTGCCGCTGGAGACGGGCCCCTTTGAGATCGGACATGTGCAGGCGCTACTAGTTCTGTCTCTTGTAAAATTTGGCCAGCAAGAATGGACCACGGCGTGGATCCTAGTTGGCCATGCGGTGCGGATCGCGCGCGCGCTGGAACTGGACCGCCCGGGGACAAAGATGGCGCCCAAACCGGGCTCGGCCGGCGAGAGTCAGTCCGCGGGGCGAGCAAAGCATGTGTTCTTCGGCTGCTTTATACTGGAGACGCTGGTTGCAATGCAGACGTCGCGGTTGCCGTCTCTCTCCAAGGAGGATCTCGTGACGGTTGGTCCGCTCAATGAAGACGGGCTGGACGAATGGCACCCATGGGAAGACCCGACAGGTCTGCGACCCGTGCAACCGGGGGCACGAGAACCGTCCTTCCATCGGGGCCCTTTGCACGGCCTGAGCACTTTTAACCGGCTCGCGAAGCTGGTGGCGATTTTCAACGAGCTGTGTTTTGTAAAACGGGACCCGACCCGAGTGCCCGCGCAGTTGGAAGGCCTGGAGCACCAGCTGCAGCTGTGGGCAGCGGCGCTGCCACGGAGTTATCGGGTCGACTTGCAGAAACCCTCGGGGGGGTTGCCGGCACCGCACATCTTCGGGCTGGAGATGATGTTTGAGAGCGTGATGAGTGCCTTGAGCCTGGAGATGGCCATGTTACCGGAGCAGCCGCCACAGCATCTGGAGACGGTGCACGCGCGTCGAGCGGTCGAGAGTTCACAACGCATCCTGCAGCTACTACAGACATACATGGAGACGTACAGTCTGTCGGCCACATCGCCCCTGTTTGGAACCATTCTGAGCTTCTGCACGCGGCACGATGCCGGGGGCCAGGCAACGTTATTGGACTTTGCGCCGGGACTGAGCAGCAAGATCCAATCGTTCTCATCCCATCTATCGATTGTCTGGAGTTTTCCAGAGATTACTATCATGCAGCACGCTTCATACAGTCTCGGTGTATCTTCCGCTACTGCTGCTGCTGCTGCTGCTGCTGCTGCTGCTGCTGCTGCTGCTGCCACCGCCGCGCCTGTTCCTCCGCAGAACTTTGATATCGACCAGATCATGGGTGTGCCTTCGCAGGCATCGGAACCACTGATACCCGGGTCAATCCGGCAACCCGTGACGCCAAGCTCGTTCCTAAACCCATGGGGGCGAGAGGAGTCGATCCGGATGACGCCGATGGCTACCGGCTCGACTGGTGGGATGCGGCCTTCGCTCTCGTCGCCCAAACCAACGCCCACGGCCAGCAATGCGGGCACTAATACCAGCACCACCAACAACCTGCTTGAAATGACGCCCTTTCCGAACCAGTACGCCTACGACATGAACCTGGGTCTGGTCGAGATGGACGGCTACGGTCCGCGGCGGAAGATCGCGCCGGACCTGGACGCACTTTTTGACGAGCTTGCCTCGCTCGATGGACAAGACCGGTAAGCCATAAGCCACCGCAGGTTATTCTATTCCGCATTACTTCTAACCTTTAAATTAGAACCGACAGTCACCCCGAGTTCATGCAGAATCTCGGGTTCGTGGCCGACGCCGGGATGGATCTGTACCCGTATTCGCAGACCGAGCCATTTCTTTTAGCCCAGACCCAATTACGGCAGAGCATCTCGCCGAAATAAATGTATTATACTATTTCAATCTGTCACTGTACACTGTATCTTGTAGTGTGTTATGACTTAATTCTTGAAATTCAGAACAACATGGTCGACCGCAACTTTATACCCGTAAACCCCCAGGCCGACAATGATGCCCGCCGCCTTGTCACTGAAATAAGAGCGATGTCTCCATTCCTCGCGGGCATGGACGTTGGTGACGTGCAGTTCGATGAAAGGGATGTCCACGCCCAAGAGGGCATCCCGGATGGCGACCGAGGTATGCGTGTACGCTCCCGGGTTGATGATGATGGCGTCGACGCCCTGGGAGCGGGCTTCTTGGATACGATCCACGAGGGCGCCCTCGTGGTTGGATTGGAAACAGGCCAGGTGGGCGCCTAGCGAGCTGGCTTGGGTTTTCGCTTGGGATTCCACCTCGGCGAGCGTCGTGCTCCCGTAGAGGTGCGGTTCGCGGGTGCCCAGCAGGTTGAGGTTGGGGCCGTTGATGAGCAGGATGTTCATTTTTCTGGTTGTTTGAATAGATGTTTGAATAGATGTTTGAATAGATGGGTGATGGTGTTGACTCTTGAGTGACTCTTGAGTGACTATTGAGTGCTCGGGTGAGCGCTTTCCCGGGCCGAGGTTGTTAGCATAACTGATAGTTATTATTGTTTAGTATGGAGTACTACACTTGAGTCTGTCTATTAATAAGACAGTAATAACTAGTTAACTACCTAGTAATAACTATGTAATTACTATAACTATGTAACTTGTAAGTATTATGGCTTACATAATAGGCTACCAGGCTACCATCGGCTACCAGCTGCTTAGTCAGCCGCTTACTTGCGGGGTCAGGACTCGTCTTATCAAGTAACTGGAGTAACTGACTCACGGTCCTGTTCATTCTCTCTCAAGGACATCATCTGAATCACATTGAACACATTGAACACAATGACACACGCTCTCGACCTCGACCAGATCTACGCCTTTGCCGTTGGTCTCGGCCGGCGCGCCGGCGAGCTGCTGCTCGCCCGCGCCGAACAGCGCATCAGCGGCACGGCCGAGGCGGTTCTCGAGAAGGACAGCGCGGTGGACATTGTGACACAGACAGACGAGGGTAGGTTCGCCTACGTTGATCTATATTCTATTGTATTCTATTGTATTCTAACCAGCAGATGTGGAATCCTTTATCCGCAACGCCATCCAAGCCCAATATCCCACCCACAAGTGCGCAATATCCTGACCCTTTCAACGGACGGTCTTTTTTTTTTCTTTCTTTTTTTTTGCTGATTGTTAGATTCCTCGGAGAAGAAACATATGCCAAAGGCCAGTCGCGCGATTACCTGATTGATGACCAGCCGACGTGGGTGGTAGACCCGTTAGACGGTAAGACGCAAGACGCAAGACGCAAGACGCAAGACGCAGCATATACATGTGTGTGTGTGCTAAGTGTATAGGGACCGTCAACTATACCCATCTATTCCCCATGTTCTGTGTGTCGATTGGGTTTGTGGTAGAGCAGAAACCGGTGATCGGGGTGATCTACTCGCCCTTTCAAGACCAACTGTTCTCCTCGTGCACGGGGCGAGGGGCCTGGCTGAACGAACGCCGCCGTCTGCCTCTGCTGCAGAAACCGAGCATCCCGCCCATGCCGGCCCATGCGCCGAGTCAATGCGTTTTCGCCTGTGAGTGGGGGAAAGACCGTCGCGACCACCCGGACGGAAACCTGTACCGCAAGATCGACAGCTTCCTCAACATGGCTGTCGAGCGGGGCGGGAGAGAGGGAAAGGGAGGCATGGTGCATGGGGTGCGCAGTCTGGGCAGTGCAACCTTGGACCTGGCATATACTGCTATGGGATCGTTTGATATCTGGTGGGAGGGGGGGTGTTGGGAGTGGTAGGGCATTAAAGAACATTACATTATTTCTAATCAGGGGAACTTCTGTTACTGAGAACATTTTCTAATTAGGGACGTCTGCGCTGGAATCGCCATCCTTCTCGAAGCAGGCGGTCTTGTTACAACCGCCAATCCGCCAGAGGATATCAATGCGCCCATTGAAGACTTTAAACTGGGCAGTCGGCTCTACCTGGCCATCAGGTATGTTTCTTGTCTATCCACCTAGGATATATTCTGACAACCAGACCCGCCGGCCCGTCCTCGACAGAGACAGCAAGGGAAAGCCAGGAGAGAACGGTGCGTGAAGTGTGGCGGCGTGTTCGGAATTTGACATATGAGCGGCCAGGCTGTTAGCATACACATACACACATATATACAGAGCTGAAGATAGTGCAGACAAAGATGCAAATATACTGTAGTCTATCGCTGTATCTATTATAAATTCTTGGTCCTCTCCGCAATGGTCTCCTTGATCATCTCCTTGACTTTATCAACCAAACCCGGGATCTCGACGATATCCTTGCCCGTCCAGAGCCGCGACTGGTCCAGACCCTGCCAGAGCAGGGCCTCCCAGCCGAGAATCACCTCCCACCCGGCATCAGCAGCCAGCTGGCCGATCTCCGTCCAGGGTTTCGGGTGGTAGCACATTTCAAGGATGACGCGCTTCTCGGCCGTCGTTGTCGACGAGCCGGCCTGGTTGGTGCGGAGGAAGGTGGTCACGGTTTCCCGCGCGGTGATCTCCTCGGGACTCTTGGGCGGATAGTTGGGGATCCCCGAGACGATGGCCGTCGGCGGATCGAGCGCGGCAGCCTCCTCGGGAGTCTTGACGTGGATCAGGGGCGCTCTAGCCGTGAGGGCCGGGTCACGCTGAGCGTCCTCGGCGAGGATGGTGGCCACCTCCGCCTCGTCCCGATTGACAATGTAGATCTTGGAGGCTCCCAGCCATTTCCGAAGCACATACGCTGCTGTCCGCGCGGTACCGCCGCCGCCGACAATCAGAGCCGGACGTCCCTGGGTGACGGCGTTGTGGTGAAGCAACGACTCGCGGATCCCCGAGCAGTCGGTGTTGGTGCCCACCAGCAGCTTCTTGCCGCCCTCCTCCTCTCCCTCCTTGAGATAGATGGTGTTGCAGGCTCCCGCCTGCCGGACGTCCTCGGTCAGCTCGTCCAGGTGCGGCATGATGGCCACCTTCCAGGGCATGGTGACCGAGGCGCCCTTGAACTTCGGGTTCGCGCGGATGCTCGCCAGGAAGGTCTCCACGGGCGGGCTCTTGGTGTAGGGTGGCGGGTACGTCGCCGACTCGCCCGTCACGCTCGACAGCGGGATCTGCCTCCAGTTCAGGCCCAGGTGGTCGAAGACGGTCTGGTGGAGGGGGGGGGAGAGCGAGTTGAGCAGCGGGTGGCCGTAGAGATAGGCCACTCCGTCGAGGTGCTCGGGGGAGGTGATTGGTTCTTCGGACATTATGATGATTACTGTACAGAAATGAAATCAGAGAGAAGAACAGAGGGTTGGTAACAGGAAGGATAATGAGAAGATAGAAGAAGAGAATAACTAACGAGCGATAGTTGTAGGAACGAGTCGAAGAGTGGGGGCTGACTCAGCCGGAGAAACGCTCACGCCTACGGAGTTTTATTACTATCTACTAGTAGTAGTCTATCAATACTATCAATACTATTACTACTATTACTACTACTAATATTAATATTCCTATTACTACAATAATACTAGTACTACTACTACTACTACTACTACTACTACTACTACTACCACCACTAGTTACTACCATCGTATCTTACCCAGAGGGTGAACGCTCTCCCGCTGGTCATAGCGCATCCGGGGAATCTCTCCCCCCGGGTGAGTAGGATATTAGTAATCAGACAGGGGTAGTTGATCTTTGGTCAGGGTTAGGGTTAAGGGTTATTAATAAACTAGCCACACACTAGCAGAGTTACTAAGATTGCCACTCTCTGCTAGTTATCCAACCATACCCCGTATTTCCTCCACACCTTAAGTCTTGAGTTTATTCCAGGCTCAACCTTTTTGTTCCTAGAGGATGTGCCAGATTCACAGGATCAGCCTTATCAATTACTACTTACTACTTAGTACTTACTTAGTACTTATTATTAATGCCTGTACGTAGTCTACAGAGTATTTGTACTCGTACTTCTGACTGTCTAGACTCTAGACCCTAGACTTTAGACTCCAGGAATGGCGAGTACTCCGTAATCCCAGCCTGCGTTCCCACAATAACAATCACACGGCCATTGACTGGATAGGCCAAGCCAGACCAAGAGGCCAAATCCATGAGTCCCCCTTGGCACGCCTCGGAAAACTCTAACAGAAGAAAAACGCACATGGCGATTTTGACTTTTCCTCTTCGTTTTGCCGCACATTGTCTTTCTCCGCGATCTGCGATGGGTCCGGGGGGTCTGGGGTCCGGGGTATAAATCCCTTCCTACTCTCCCTTTTCACACTTATCATCACTGCTTCTCTTCTCTCTTCACTCTTCTCTCTCTTCTCTTCTCTTCTCTTCTCTTCTCTCTTCTCTTCTCTTCTCTTCTCTTCTCTCTTCTCTCTTCTCTTCAATATGGGCATCCTCGCGCTGGTCGAGGACCGCCCCACCCCGAAAGAGGTGTACAACTGGCGCGTCTATCTCCTTGCCGCCGTTGCCTCCTGCACCTCATGCATGATCGGCTATGACAGCGCCTTCATCGGGACAACCCTCGCCCTCGCCTCGTTCAAGGATGAGTTCCACTTCAACGAGATGAGCACGAGCGCCGTCAATCTGTTGAACGCAAACATCGTCAGCTGTTACCAGGCCGGCGCCTTCTTTGGCTCCTTCATGGCCTACCCCATCGGTCACTTCTGGGGTCGTAAGATCGGCCTCATCTGTGCTTCCTTGATCTTCATCCTTGGTGCGGGACTCATGCTCGGCGCAAATGGCGATCGCGGTCTGGGGATCCTCTATGCCGGTCGGGTCCTTGCTGGCTTGGGTGTCGGGGCCGGTTCGAATATCACCCCCATTTATATCTCTGAATTGTCGCCGCCGGCGATCAGAGGCCGTCTCGTCGGTGTTTACGAACTGGGATGGCAGATTGGTGGTCTGGTTGGATTCTGGATTAACGTATGTTATACTATATATATATATATATATATATATACTTACTAACTGATTGATAGTTTGGCGTCAATGAAACCCTCCCCTCAAACCATAAACAATGGCTGATTCCCTTTGCCGTGCAACTGATCCCGTCTGGTCTGCTGATTATCGGGGCGGTGTTCATCAAAGAATCCCCGCGCTGGCTGTTCTCGCGTGGCCGTCGCGAAGAGGCAATCAGTAACCTGAGCTGGATGCGCCAGCTGCCCGTCGACGATTTATACATGATCGAGGAGATTGGAGCGATTGATCTCGCGCTGGAGCAGCAGCGGGCCACTATCGGCATGGGATTCTGGAAACCGTTCCAAGCCGCCGCCACCAACCGCAAAGTCATGTACCGGCTGTTCCTGGGTAGCATGCTCTTCTTCTGGCAGAACGGGTCCGGCATCAACGCCATCAACTACTACAGCCCGACGGTGTTCAAGAGCATCGGCGTGACGGGCACAAACACCAGCCTGTTCACGACGGGAATCTTCGGCGTGGTCAAGACGGTGGTCACCATCGTCTGGCTGCTGTGGTTGATCGACCGGGTCGGCCGTCGCTTGCTCCTGCTGATCGGCGCCTTGGGGGGTTCGGTGTGTCTGTGGATTGTGGGCGCGTACATCAAGATCGCCCAGCCGACCAAACACCCGCGCACAGACGGCACCCTGAGCGGTGGCGGCATCGCCGCCATGTTCTTCTTCTACCTGTGGACGGTGTTCTATACACCGACCTGGAACGGAACCCCCTGGGTGATGAACTCGGAGATGTTCGAGCCCAACATGCGGTCCTTGGCGCAGGCCTGTGCCGCCGCCAGCAACTGGCTGTGGAACTTCCTCGTCTCCCGCTTCACCCCGCAGATGTTCGCCAAGATGGAGTACGGCGTCTACTTCTTCTTTGCCTCCTTGATGCTCCTCTCCATCGTCTTTGTCTTCTTCCTCATCCCGGAGACAAAGGGTATCCCCCTCGAGAGCATGGACCAGCTGTTCGAGATCAACCCGGTCTGGAAGTCGCATGGCGTCCTGCTTGAGCGGCTGAGAGAGAACGAGGCCGAGTTCAGACGCGAGATCAAGAACGCCGGCCTTCCGGAGAAGGAGACCGTCGAGTGTGTCGAAGGGGTTTAGCGACAATTGCCATTATCTTGATATACCTTCCATTAGTTATAGCTTTATACAATATACCTTACATTAGTATCATTATCTTGAATATCTTCATACTAAATATTCATCCGCATCAACGTCCCCAGCCAAGGCGCTTTATCTGCTCTCGGCAGACTAAAGTCGTCGATGGCCTGAAATCCTTGCTGTTCATAGTATCGGACCAGTTTCTTCTGGTTCCCCGCCCAGCCGTCCAGGTAGATCACCCTTTTCTGCCTGGCATGCCCATACTTCTGGATCTCACGGAGAAGAGCCGCCCCGGCGCCGTGGCGGAGACTGCTGTCCACCCGGCTATCGGTGATGATCACCTCCAGGTAGATGGTATCCGTCCGCTCGACGCATAGGTGAGGCTGCGATGCGATGTATCTGGGCACCCAGTCTTCCCGAACGAACGCAAAGCCGACCGAGAGGAGTCGTCGTCCGTCGGCTGCAACATGGACGCGAAGGGGTGTAGGACTACTAGTCTCATCGAGAGGGTCGTCTGTCAGCTCCCTTTCCACGATAAAGATGCGCAGGCCATCATTTTCGTCGTTCTTCTTATCTGTAAGGCTAAGCTGCTCTGACTGGCGAACCTGCTGCAGTGTCTCCTCGGTGAAGCCGTCTCGATGGGAAAACAGTGTCGTCCCCCATTGCTCGTTGCTGCCTATCGACTCTAGGAAGGGAATCACGGCGTCAAAGACGGAGACGATGAAAGAGCCGTCGCCTTCAACTGTTCCAACCTCTCGGACTTGGAAAGACATTAAAGACAGGGAGAAGATCTTTCTTTGTTCCAAGGTTGATTCTTTCTCAGAGCCAGGAGGTGAACGTCTGCTTATCTGAAGGATTTAGTACCATCACATGACATAAAAGCCTCACTGAGTCACTGTTATTCTCTTGACTGCCTAATATTTATCGACATATCCCTCTAGAATAAGCTGGGCTCCTTCAACACTGCTGATACTGTTCAATGGATGAGTGAAGGTTAATTAGTATACTCCATCCACGTCTACGATTTCCCCCTCCAACGCCTTCTTGACGGCCTGCACAACCGTCAACGCCCTCAGCCCGTCTTCTACCGAACAACTCGGCTGGTGTCCATTCATGACATCGACGAAATGCTTCAGCTGCGCGTCAAAGGGGACGCTCTCCTCCACGGCGATGTTCTCCGCGAGTAAGGGTTCATTCCAGCTCTTCTCGCCGGTATAGCTCCAGCGAGTCATATCCGGGACACTCAGGGACGCGTCGGAGCCGAAAATGCGGTAAAAGTCCACCCGCTGCTTCCCCTGTGTACCTGGCTGACTGTTGGCGGGGATGGTAGGATTCTCCCCGGTCCCGGATTCAAAGTTATAAGGCGACGGGGTTGCATCGCAGACGAGGAACGAAGCGACGACGCCGGACTCGAAGCGGAAGAGAACCAACGCCCCTTCGTCGGCGGAATGATCCGCTCCTCGTTGGGAGGGGATCCCCTCTGCGTGGACGCGAGAGATCTTGCCGAAAAGGAACTGCAAGACGTCGACGTCATGGATGAGGTTGATGCCCAGCACCCCGCCGGCCGGGCCCTTCCTCCAGACGCCCGAGTCAAAGTACGAGGCTGGCTTGTAGAGGGTCCACAGGCCGTTGACGGCAATGACGGAGCCTAGACTCTTTGCGTCGAGGAGTTGCTTCGTCTTCACCACGTAGGGATTGAAGCGGCGGTGGTGACCGACCAACACCCTTGCCGCCGTGGGGTCATTCTGCCTCAAAGTCACCATCTCGAGCAACCGCTTCGCACTCTCCACCGTATCGCTGATGGGTTTCTCCAGCAGGACGTGGATGTTAGCTTCGAGCAGTTCTTGCGCGAGGGGGACGTGGGTATGGTTCGGCGTGCAGACGATGGCTCCGTCGGGACGAACGCCAGCGAGAAGCATCGCTTGAACCGATTCGAAGTAGGGGGTGTCTTCCAGGTCCTTTGCCGTGGATCGCGCCGCGGGCGATGGATCGACCAGAGCCACCAGGCTGGTTGATGGGTTGGAGAGCACCGAGTGGGCGTGGCGGGGGCCGATGAGGCCTGCGCCGACAATAGCTATTGTGTACATGACTCGTCTCACAAGATCATCAATGTAATAAAAACAGTAATCTAATTATATCAACTCAGCCATGTATATTTATATTCTATGAGTCAGACAATTACCCCAGAGTATCGACCCTGATTGTCCGGGGTATTCGCTCGGCAAATGCCTTTGCCAGACTGCATACATATTGATGGCTGTGGCATTGAACAGACTCTCTATTAAGCTACGAAATATCTCAAAGAGATTGGATGGAATTATTCTAATAGTAGATCCGCTTATTCTATAGTGTACAGTATGTTATATGGTGTACTGCTTATTACCATGTGGTGTGTAGCTGGTATAACTATAAAATAACTACCTAAGTGACTACTAGATTACATAAACCAGATTAGATTAAAGGATAATTATGAAAGGAATATTAATAATACAGAAAAGGAGGGAGAAGAAAGACTCCGGATAAACGCTTGGAAATGTTCTGCCGCGTCATCCAGGCTGGCTCAAGACTTTGACGCTTCACTGCCACGCCTCAATTCTACGATTGTCATGTCTTGATACTGCACTGTATATTCTCCTGTATATTTACATCTTTATCTCTCATATATTCTACGATTATATATATACTGTTTTTCGATTTCGATTTCTATTTCTATTTAAAATGAACAGACCAGGCATTGCGTCCATGTCGCTCAGCCGACCAGGCCTGCACTCGCTGCTCGACAAGCTGCGGATTGCATCCCAAGCCGGGTTCCAGGGCATCGAGCTGTTCATCGACGACCTCGACCATCTGGCCGAGACGGAATGCAAGTCCGACCTGGAGGCTGCGGCGCAGAAGGTGCGCTCGTTGTGCGACAGCCTGGGGCTGACCATCATCTGCCTGCAGCCGTTTGGCTTCTACGAGGGCCTGGTGGACCGCGCCGAACACGACCGGCTCGTGAACGAGAAGCTGCCTCTGTGGTTCCGACTGGCACACATCCTCCAGACAGACATGATCCAGGTGCCTGCCAACTTCCTGGGCCCGGATCCCGAGACCGGCCTGCCACGCACGTCGGGCGACCTGGACCTGATCGTCTCGGACCTGCAGGAGCTGGCGGACCGCGGGCGGGCGCAGAATCCCCCCTTTCGCTTCGTGTACGAGGCTCTCTGCTGGTCGAACCACATCAACACCTGGGAGGCCTCGTGGGAGGTTGTCCGGCGTGTCGACCGCCCCAATTTCGGGCTCTGTCTGGATACCTTCAACATCGCGGGCCGCGTGTACGCCGACCCGGCCCGCGCGGACGGCAAAACCCCCAACGCAGAGGAGGACATCAAAGCCTCCATCGCGAGACTCACCGCGCAGAACGTCGATCTCGCCAAAGTGTTTTACATCCAGATCGTCGATGGCGAACGTCTCGCCGCCCCGCTGGACGAATCCCATCCCTTCCATGTCGCCGGCCAGCCCGTGCGCATGAACTGGTCGCGCAACGCCCGGCTCTTCGCCTTCGAGCAGGATCGTGGCGGTTACCTGCCCGTCCTCGACATCGCCCAGGCCATCTTCGAATCCCTCGGCTTCCGTGGCTGGGTCTCCCTCGAGCTGTTCTCGCGCACCCTCGCGGACCCTTCGCCGCAGACGCCGGTCGTCCATGCCCAGCGGGGGTTCGAGTCGTGGAAGAAGCTGGTCAAGGCTTTGCAACTCGAGGAGCCTCAGCATCGTTTGTAAACATGATACATATACATATACATATACATATACGTATACATATACGTATATACTCATATATATATATATGATAAGAGAGGGGGTTATTATTATAGAAATAGACGTATACCACACTACAATACCATCAATTATTAATATTATCTTGTTGAATAGTATATACCTCCAGGGTTGAGCCTTATATACAACGCCTTAAAAATCCAATTCATCTAGTAGCATGTTCTCTCAGGATTCACTCGCCCACCGTCGCTCCCGTAGAGGCATCTCCTCGCCTGCGACTCGACTGCCGTCGCACTCGCGTCGCCAGGCATAGTACTCGCCCAATCGCACCTCGGCGTACGACGCGTAGTCGAAATCGATCTGTGAGATTTGGGCTTGGATGAGTGCCCAGACGCCCCTAGACAGTTAGCAATATATACATATATATATATAAGTATATGTAGATGTAGGTAAAGTACCAGTAAAATCCGGGAATGCCTCGGAACCGATCCACATCGTCAAATAGCCGCCGCACAAGATCCGGCTGCGATGAGCCGTCCGTCCGTCCGTTGTGCTGGCAATAGCTGCGCACGTATTCCGTCAGGAACTCCCGCCGCACCGCCCGCGTCGGCAGCATGTTGTAGTCGCAGTCGTACCCGCCCCATTCGGCGAAGTGGTTCGCAATGTCGAACGCGGCGGGCGACGGCGTCGCATACTCGTAGTCGATAAAGTTGACTTCGACTTTGTTCGTGTCTTTCTCGTTCGCTGTCGACCGGGGGAGGACTATCACGTTGGCGCTGAGGAGGTCGCAATGGGCAAAGACAAGCTGGAAGTTTAGCAAACATAAGAAGAAAAAAAAAAGAGAGAGAGAGAGAGAGACGCACTCCCTGATCACCTAGGCTGGTGCGATCAGCTAATTCGCCGACCACCCGCTCCAGCTCCTTCTGTAGACTGAGGCGTCGGGTCTGTTGCTCCTCGGTGGCTACCGGCAGCGCAAGAATCCATTTCTGCAGCACCGTCCACATGTTCGGCACCGGCTGCTGCGTGCTGATCGGCGTCAGCAGGGTAGCCGGCTTGCCCTGGACATCCGTGTTGAATTCCCGCGCGGAGACGGCATCCTGGGCGTCAGGCGCAGAAGACGCCGCCTGATTGATAGGCAGCACTGCATGCCACTGGCCCAGTCGCTCGGCCACTCCGCGCCAAATGGGCGGGCGCAGCAGGTCCGGCGGCGTGGTCACTTGTCCGCGGATGAATCTATACAGCAGGCCGTTCTGGAAGCGGGCCAGCAACGCGGGCGCGAGGTTTCGACTGGCGAGGAGCGCATGGGTCTTGGTTTCCCCTATCGATCATTCTACTTAGTAAGGAAATTCGAGAACGGAGGGACGCAAAAGCAGAAAAAAAAAGGGTAGTCGCTGTGGGCAGATCGATTCCGGCTTACTTTCTCGGTCTATGAGAATCTCCGTGTGATTACCGTACGCTCGCATGAGCACTGCGTCATTGTCTATTTGTTCCTCGGTCAGGCCAGGCTTGCGATTAATGATTTTGAGCAGCTACACCGCCAGTCAGTCAATACGGGTCTGCTTTTCGGTCCTGGGAGAATTTATTCCGCGTTCAGGGGGGAGGAGGAGGAGGAGGAGGAGAAGGGGGCAGTTGAGAACACACAGTATTGGTGATTCCATCGGTGAAGCGCACAAGCTCGACCTTGTTGTCTGGGCCCTCCCAGTCAGGGTTCAACGTGAGAACCAGTCGCAGGGCAGACGACTGAGAGTCGGAAGGATTATACGACAGAGGGATATAGCGCAAGGGGGGCATCGCACCGCTGTGCGATTGATCCAGCGAGCCCATGATGATTCTCTCTAATAAATTTAAATCAGTTAGACACTCTTCAAGAGGCAAATGTGTAGATAGATTTGGTGAGATAAATTCGCTGTGGCAAAGGGGGGGACCAACCCTTTTTTTGTAAGGGCTGTTAGGCCACACAGACCACAAAAGATTCTTTGCTGGTGGCGTGAATCAGATTGTAGATAAATAGCAGACAGAATGTCAGACAAAGGAACTGAAGAAGAAATCCAAATAGCCAGAGAATCGTCCTGAAGACTGAGACGTGGACCAGCTCCTCCAATCCTCAGGCCCTTCAGGATCGCCCTGGTCTCGTGCCCCTGGACCACTTTCAGGCCAACTTTGTCTGCCCCTCACCGGTTCCGAGCAGACCAAGAATGCTCGCTCAGGCCACAGCCGCGTGGCAGGACTGTATCCGGTGGAATATGTTGAATATCCTACGCGGAGGACTTGGGATATTCTGGCTGATCGTGGGTAGATGCAGAATCAAGGGAGAGAAAACGTATCCCGGCAGTTCCATGCAAGACGGTGTTTTGGTGCCTGAGTTACCTGTGCCTGCACCACGTGCATGTGATTATTGCCTCAGTGCCTTAGACTGCGGTCATGTGGCTGGCTATACCCTAGCTTTGCATGCCCTACCCTAGCCCTATTAGCCCAAATTCAGCTAGTCTTTAGCTAGTTCCAACACTAGTGCTTTTGCTAGTGCGCCCCACTCTGGACTCATACAAAAGCCTCCCGCCTGCAGTTTTCTTTGGACTTTTTTTTCTTTCTTTCTCCATCATCAGTAGAGGTTTACTTTCTATGTAAACAAAACTGGAGCTCAGTCAAAGACTGCTTGCTGAGGGTTATTCGCGGTTTTATATCCCGATGGGTTTCCTTCCGTTCCCGGCTCTGGAGAACAAATGCGTCTCCCTTTTTCCCTTTACATATCATGGCTGGGCTAGGGTTCCTTTTTGGAGCTCCATGCGCTTTAGCTGTGGAGGGGGCGTGATATATCATTTTATTATATGCTAGATTTTATTTGTAGACTGCCAGTGTTTTTTTCATTCTCTCTTGATTATCGCTGGTTGCGTGCGGTCCGATCATGGAGAGTCGTACGGAACTAGCTACATGCTTGGGTACCTTACTACCTACCATGTACTCTGTACGAGGCATCTGATGTATGCAATTCAACCAACCAAAAGCTGTACGGTCCAGTTGACATGGCCAACATATGCATTGTGGATTGCTGGGTGTCATGCCTCACGCCCGCCCTGCATTCCCAATTTGAATCCTCTGCCCAGTCCACTTGTCATCGCTGCGCAGGACCGGCCAGGCGGTACCGTCCGTCTTGGCCAACACCAACTCCAGCTTGGTGCCCATGATGCGGAACTGCGACTTTTCCGGATCGATGGCCGCAAACAAAGTGTATGTGTCCTGGTAGCGCTTGTTGTCGGTTGTGGGCAGGTCCAGCTCGATAGTGGAGGAGGTGAAGTTCACCGTGGCGCGTTCCTTGTCAATCTTCTTCAGGTACAACGAGACCGTGACCGTGTGTACCGTCTGGTAGAAGTCATTCCTAAACAGAATTAGTTAGGCGTACTCGAGTCATGTTTTAAGGGGGGGGGGGTTAATCAAAAGTACTTACCGCACTGTTTTGACCTTCTCCTCGCCAGGAGGCTTGCCCTTGCCCACAAACAGATGTTGCGTCTTTTCCGTGCAGCCTTCAATCTTGAGGAACTGGTCAAACTCTAGCACCCGACGCTTGCAGCACGACCATCCTTTGCTGCCCTCGTGGAAAATCGGATGACCCGGATGGTGTACACACTTCTCCTCCTCGCGGGGTGTGGCGGGGTTGTATGTCGCGTTGCAGCCCCGGCGGCGACATGTTGCGTTGGGGGAGATTTCCAGCGAAGGATCGTCGTCCTCGGTCTCTGGCTCTTCGGGGACAGGCGTCGAGGTCGTCGAGGGAGGAGCCAGCGCAGGCGATGCAGGAGCGCCAGGAGCAAGGGTCACGTCGAGAGCTGGTCGCCCCGGAACAACGTCTGGGATTTCTGGTGCCGGTTTCTTGGGCTCAATGGGGGTGTCGTCGACGGTGGAATGCTTGCCGGTGGTACATGGTGGGATGGCCAGAAACTCGTCAAACGTAAGGACACGCGTTTTGCAGCACTTCCAGCCTGTAATGCGATAAAAAGAAAATCGATCCCAAATCAGCGCTAGCCTTTAGGCTCTATCATAACCCTCAAGGTCCCTCTTACCTTTCTGCCCCTCGTGGAAGACTGGGGGTCCCGGGTGGTAAACGCACGCCTCCTCTGGATCGGTGAACTCCTTGCCACACCCTTTATGAACACACTTGGAAGTCATCGTGGAAATCGAGAGCCCTGTGAAACAGCTTTCAGATCGGCCGGACAGCAATATACTCACAGAGCGTAGGCGAATGTCGAGAAACCTGAGAATCTGCTCGAAGGTGAGAGAGGGCCGGTTGTCATCGCTTCCTAAACAGGGTTAGCGCTGGAAGCTCGAATCTTCCACGAACGCCAAAGCAAGAGGAGGGGCTATTCAGTGTTTACAACTACGGAGTATTCACTGGATTGCCTCTGTTTCTGGCTGCCTTGTCTTTTTCTTCTACGATGATTCCCACCCGAGCTCTCTTCTCTCAGCCCGCTCGTGTAATTCTCTTCACACGCGCTGGTTGTGGGCTGTGCGACACCGCCAAACGGGCAGTCCTCCAGCTGCATCAACGCCGACCGTTTGATTACTCCGAACTGGATATCATGACTCCTGCGAACAAGGCCTGGAAGGATGTCTACGAATTCGATGTCCCCGTTTTACATGTGGAATCTGGAAATGCCGCTTCTGGGGCATTGGAGCCGAAGAAGTTGTTTCATCGATTCACTGAGCAGGAGGTCGAGAGTTTAGTTGACGAAGCAGAAAAGATCTAAACAGTGATTATGGCATCTATTCATTCTGAAAATCATATATACAAGAGAAGAATGATCAGTCTCGCCATGAAATAGACCGCTCAATACGTGGGGACGGCGGCATCCGCCTTGGCCCCCTGGGCGGTCTCCAACGCATTCGAAAGGAATGTCGGAAGAGCAACAACGTCGGCGACGACGGAAATCTGTATATTGACTTAATATGGGAACGCATGCAGGCAGATATAAGGAAGACATACCATGTGGAATCCCTGGTCTTTGTACCTCTTGGCAGCTTCCCCACCCACGCAGTAGATACCGGCCCTCTTGCCGTTGTCCACGGCTGCTTTGCGAATGCGCTCGATCGCAGCATTGAGATCGTCGTGGAAAGCACCCATCACAGGACGGCCGATGTTGTTTCCGAGATCCCATGGTCCGATGAAGAGAACATCGATCCCGGGGACCTTGGCGATCTCCTCAACCTATGTCATTGCGTCAGTTGTCTTATAGCAAAACAATCAAGAGTTTTTTTGTTTGGAAAGACTTTACGTTTTCAAGAGCCTCCTTGGTTTCAATCTGCACAATCGTCAGAAGGGCGTCGTTTGCCTGCTGGAGATACTCGAGCGAAGAGACACCGCCAGTCGAACCCATCGAAAATGGGCTGCCAAACCCTCTGCGGCCCACGGGTGGGAACTTGGCCGATTCGACCAGCCGTCTGGCATCATCTGCGGTGTAGAGCAACGGCACAACAATCCCGTGCGCCCCCGAGTCCAGGGCTCCTGCAATTGTGGTCAGCCTGTTTCCAATATCTCCATCAAGCTCCAAAGGACGCGGCCAGTCTTACTCTTGACCATCCATGCTTCGTTGGCTGCGATCCGCACAATGGGGCTGACTCCTGTCGCCGCAATCGCTGCAACCGCCTCGTGCATCTGCCAGTCTATACGCCTCATTAGCGCGGATTTCTTTAGTGTTCGTTGAAGTAGAGCCTATACCAGCAATGTTCCCATGCTCTGTATCCACGCAAATCCAGTCATAGCCTGACCGAGCCATTATCCGGGCATGGTTGGCCCCCGGCAGCATCTGCCAGGCACCAAAGGACAACCCTCGCTCGGTGTTGAGGGCGTTGCGAATACGGTTGGCAGCTTGCATCGTGGATTGTTGCAACAATACTCAATAACCAGAGGAGAGAGAATCAATGAAGAAGATTAGACCAGACCCAAGTCACAGAATTCGGTCGAAAAATATACCCCTCTCAAAGGCTGAGGAACCAAATCCTCCTCTCCCTCGTCGCCCCGCCCATCTCGTGGCAATGATGACCCGAGGGCCGACCAGTCGGACTTCTTGCGGGGTTCAGGACAAGCAGTGGAGTAGACTGCCTGGATAACTGTTTGATAAGCCATCGGAATCGCTGGGACGTCGCTTTGATAGCCGATAAATACCACACCAGACAATAAGGATGCTGTCCTCCGTTCACATCCTGTAAGGCTCCTGCCACTCGCCGGATGCGAAGGCTGAGGCGGAAGGACAGGTCACGTGACCGGTAGAAACGCGTCCAGGACGCGTTTCGTCATCGTTATCGTGAGCCAAGTTAGCAACACCACTACCGGCATCCACGACGGGGCTGGAATCTGATATTTGCTGTTGGAATTGCTGCTGTATATGCTTTGAAGTCTTCTGGGCGGTCCAAGTTTGTTAAACCACTGCCGGAGAGGCGCTGTCCGCCTCAGTGTGTCGTGTCGGTGAAGCTGCAAATAATGGGTTAAGGAAGGTGAGGGAGATAAGCCTGGAGACATTGCGAATACCATGGCTGATGGACATGAGCTCATGGCAGCAATGGCCTCGCACTCTTGCAATATTTGCCGGTTGCGACATCGCTTTTGTGATCGGTTACAGCCAGGTACGAGACGTGCTTGAGAGAGTTTGGGTATAAGACCCCCCTCGCTGATCACTGGTTAGTTTGCACTACTTGCAAGCAGAAAGGCATCGAAGATGAATGCTCCTACAGGGCTGAGGATATGCCCCCACCAAGGTAGCAATTGCTCGATTGGCACGTTACTCGGGTTCACCAGTCATCTAATACCATGCCAGAGGTTCGAAACTCGGCACATCCGATCGAGCGCTCTCCCTATCCCAGTCATCCGCCTGGGAAAGTCCCCGGCTTCGTCCGAAACGTCCTCTAGCGACGGTTGATCTCACGAATGACCGTCCCAGCTTCAAGGGTCTCTTCCCTAGCCTCAAACGCAAAAGGCATTCCGACATACTGCCGCAGACGGGGAAGAGGAGTGCTAGCCGGTTCCATGCTATAGTGAACGTTGAGATTCCATTGAAAAGCTCACGGAGCAAATCTACACCCAATGACTGTCATGAAGGACATAGCGACTCGAGTGCTGTCGCAAGAACGACAGACGACGGGTCAGCACATTCTATCACCCAGCCCCAAAATACCGAGTCACATCTATCCCGACCAAGCTCGCTTGATGCGTCGTCGAATGAGCTTTCGTATCCATTCCAAAACGCCAGATCAAGAGCGGGAAGCCACCTCTCCCATGTGGCAAGCCTGCAAAGAGCCGTCTCGCAAAGACTGGGCTTTATTAAGGAAGAAGAGCCTCGGCCGGACCACCAGCCAACTCGTGAGCGACCAGGGCTCACGAGTCGGAATTTTTCCACTCATGCTTCAAGCACAGGCCCTACAGAGCTCTCTGCCGCGGCTAATGGCAAGGAATCAATGGATCATCTCATCGCAACGTACCTGACTCGGGAATATGTCAACATGCCGATTTTCCAGCTCTCCGAGTTTCGAACTAGTTGTGAGGATGTCGCGGAAACTGAATCTTTTCGGACTGGATCGACGGCGTTCCATGGAGTCTTAAATTTGGTCATCAGCCTGGCCTGTATGAACACAAACCGCGCAAGCGCAGTCTTAGGGTCCGACTTTTATGCCCGTGGACAAGCGACTGTGAGTTCCGTCAGTAGCCTCGAGGAGCCGCTGGTGCTTATCCAGTCTTTTCTTCTACAAAGCCAATACCTCAATGCAGTGGGGAATCCCAGACTTGCATGGGCGACCGTTGGCGTTGCCATCCGTACGGCCCAGTCATTAGGCCTGAACTTGAAATCAAACGGTCACGACCAGGGGAGTCGACAACGCAGGGAGCTTGCTCGGAGACTCTGGCACAGCGCCGCCATGATGGAGAGCATTCTCGCGCTTCAGGTTGGAATCCCTCCTCAAACACCACACGTCTTTCAGGTACCCCTGCCATCTCATTCCGATTCGGATTACTTAGACGCCGTCCTGCCAGAGACATCGCTGAGCTCTGATGAACCTGCAGAGAGACCTTCCATGGTAGAGTTCCTTGCCGCCTGCGCCCGACTATACAGCCACGTCGGGGACATCATGTCAATTGAGGACGAATTCCGGGTCAGCGATGGCGGCTGCTCGATGAAGAAGCTACTCTCTTCAGACATGAAGCTCTTCCTCAAGGTTGACGCTCTGTCACATGATTGGAAGTCCTCCTTGCCCTCATTCTTGCAGGAACAAGATCCTGGACCGTATGGTCCCATCGCGCTCCGTCAGCGGACCTTACTGCAGGTTCGGTTTTACTACCTCCGAATCCGCCTATACCGGCCGCTGCTGACCCTGGCTCTGGCCATCACGGTCCGATGCAACTGCAGCAGGGCTGGACACCGACCGCACCTGGATCAAGCGGAGTTCGCCTCGCCGGAGCTACCGATGGTGTATGGGATTTCACGCGACGCCTCGATCAAATGCATTTCGGCGGCCGTGAAACTGGTGAATCTTCTACATTGGCACGATTTGCCCCCGCAGGAGGAGGATTCCTCGAACCCCGGGTACTGGGAAAGCGTGAATTACCTGCATGCATGCGGGGTTGTACTGATCGGCGCGCGCATGTCCCCTTTTATCGGACAGGCGCAGGGCAGGGGATGCGTATCGCCCACCGATCTAGAAGCCAGCTGGCACAAGGTGCTCGAGCTACTCGAATACTACGCCGGAGTGTGTAGAGCCAAGGGCGAGCGCCTGCCGAACACTGCGCAGCTGTGTTTGCGAAGTCTGAACATCTTCTCGGATGCGGTCGGACAGGGCCGAGCGGAGGGCATCGGGCTCGGGATCAGGCCCGATCAAGTAGAAGATTGCGATGATGAGTCGGGCCGGTCCTCGGATGTACAGTCTGTCCCGGAGCGGAGCAGGAGACCTAATAGCTGGAGTTGGATGGAGAGTCTTCCCATTGACCTAGTGGATTGATGTACATGTACATACCCTGTATACCATACATAGACCAATAGTTTTAATAAGGTCTACTTCTTTGGACAGTGATAATGTAATGTAAAGTTGATTAAAAGGACACCAGGTCCCGACTATCAGTATTCTAGTCATATACATACATGATTAATCGTGTATAGCGTAGCAAGTATAGCATGGGGGATGAAGCAGCCAGTCCAGAGAGAAAGGCATACCACCAACCAGGCTTAAAACCAGATGATCCCGACAACCAGCCCGACGACAATGGCCAAACAGCTCCCGCGTCGTTGCGGCGCATACCCGGATTCATCGGTGGAGATGGACGTCACGGTCTCCTCTTGGGTTGACTCTTGGGGCTGATGTATTGGCGGGTCTAGTTCAGGCTCTAGTTCTGGTTCAGGGTGATTAAAGGGTGTTTGTTTCGAGAGGGAGGCTGGGTGAGGGTCCCGCGGCGTGAGGCGCGACAGGGCGAGCACGGTGGATTTGAAATATTCGGACAGATAATGAAGTTGGCAGGCCTGCTGCCATGAGTATAGTCGTGGTATCGTAAATTGATTTTTTTGTTGTACTTCTTCTTGTTGTTGATGTTGATGTACTTCTTCTTGTTGATGTTGATGTACTTCTTGTTGTGCCTGTTGTACTTGAATCGACAGATTTGCATGCACCTGCACCTCCGTCGCGACATCCCCAGCCCGCGAAACAAACAGGGTTCGAAACGAGCGGACCCGTTTAATCAACGTCGGGGGTTTCGTGGTAGCGTACGACTTGTACTGTTGCACGTCGGCATTGGCATTCGCATTCGTCCAGTTGTATGTAGTCGTCGCGGTGTGTCTTCTAGGAATAGACGGATCGAGAACTAAACAAAATATTAACAAAATATTAACAAAATATTAATCAAAAATATTAGGTTGAAAAGAAAGAGAAAGAGAGAGAGTACTGTTCATGTCCACATCCCCCGGCTTCCAAAGCAAATACGCATCCCACTGCTGCGACAAGGAGGGCACAAGCCTCAACAGAGAAAATAAGACGAGGACCAGCAGCGGGAGCGCACCGGGCTTGTGCAGTCCCGACCACATCGTTCTGAGGTTTTTTTATCGTTTGTCAGAGGTCGTCCCTGGGAGGCTGGTGAGAGCTGCCTAGCGTTGCGTCGCGGGAGGGAACAAAGCGACGCGAACACAAGACGGGAGCAGCAGGGGTGTATCTGAATCGGTGGAGGGCATGGCAGGGCGAGTAGAAAATAGTTAGACCGCGTGGAGAGGAGCGATAGTCAAGTAATAGACAGGCACGAGGGTTGGCAGGTTAAGTATGAGTAGGAGAAGTGAAGATCAGTTGGCAGAAAGTGGGAATAATCAGGGTCGGTTCAGGGTCAGGGAAAAGGTTAAAAAGTTCAAGCTTTCCCTATTGGAGGCGGCTTTCCCGCCCGACTTTGCCTGGGCAACATGACGTCGTTGAATTAATACTTGAACACAATAATAATAATAATAATAATAATAATAATAATAATAATAATAATAGTACCAGGTAGAAATATGGTGATTTCTATGAAAATACATATTAGACGTAAATACAGCTAAATCATACATCCAACCCAAGTCAACATCTAGGTATCAACAAAACCAAACAGATACATGAACCAGAAACAAGGAAAAAGGAAAAGGAAAGGATAAAAGAAAGTCATTAGATCGGATTCATCATGGTCGGGTCCGGAACTGCCGGCGCCAGATCCCCACTGCCCGCCGTGCTGCCCGTCGGCTTCAGCTCGCGAGTCGGTGTCGTCAGGCGGGTGTCGTGCTTGGTTGAGACGCTGCGGCTATCATCCCCGGCCGTGGTGCTACTGCTGCCACCGCCTGCGCTGCTGGTCTTGCCCCCACGCTTGACCATCTTGCCTAGGATGCCGACGATCTCGGCCGCGTCCTCGAAGCTCTCATCGTCCATGCCTTCCTGCGCGTTGTACACGTCTGCGATCGCCTGCTTGGCCAGGCGCCGGCACGCGTCCGAGTCGTGCAGGCAGTCGTACAGGTACGCCGCGTACTCGAGTTTCACGGACAGCCGGAGCGGGTGCGAGCCGGGTAGCATTTTGTCGGCCAGCACTGCGGCGTGATTGAAACACGCCGTCGCCGTCGGCGTGTAGTCTAGCCCGGGCAGCAGGAATGACGAGGCCGATCTCGGCGGTTGCACGGGACCCAGACCGGGAGGATGATGATGACGAGGTTGAGGGAGAGGGTTTGTCGTAGATAGAAGTGGCGGGGTTATTGAGATCGACTCTGCCCCCAGTTTCAAAGAAGCCATGGAGTCCTTATGGGACAACCGTCGGCCCTCGGAAGTGAAGCTTGCCCCGACAAGACTCGGGGCCGGTAGGCTGAAGATCCCCGGCGGGTGAATCGCCGGCTGGTTGTGGAAGAGGACGAAAATGTGATAGAATGAGGCACGCAGTTTGTACGTCAACACCTTGAGCTCGACGTAGGTCTCTACCATGGGCAGGATGTATTCCTCCAGTAAGAGGAGGCCCTCGCGCGACAACCAGATGATGTGATGGTACAGCTGTAGTGATTTGGTTTCACGCGTCGGATCCAGTTTCCGTAATCGACGGGCACGCAGCAGCTTCCGGGATAGCATGACGGACAGCCCTAGGATCTTGTACAGCATCGCCGACAAGAACGGGTTCTCATGGCTCGTGACGGCGGCAAAGTTGCCCAGAGCCTTCTGGTCCACTGCCGAGGATGCCATCCACACTGAGAGGAAGAAAGCGCAGTCAGCATCATCCATTTTCTTTACAGCGGTTTTGTAAACTCCTCGATCATTCAGAACATTCAATGGCAAGAAACCAACGCTTTTAAAAGCATCCGCTTACCTTAGCGCGCGCGCAAACGGGCTGAATCACTGAATCACCGCGGTCAATCCCTCAAGAAGCCAGTTGAATCAGGCACTGCAGCTTCCCATGCTCAAATTGTAAGCGCCTTAGTCCTGAAGTTTCGGGGGTTCCAAAAGCTTCGATGCCGGCGCTTAGTGACCGGTGAGGGTGGTCGAACCGGTTTCGAATCAAATGGACGTAATTGAAATATACAGGGACAATTATATATATGAAAAAAGGGAAGCAGTCAAATAAAAGAAAACAATAGATTAAGACGGTGCCTCCAAAGAATTCGAGATCGTTTGCTGGTCTTCAACTCGGCAAACTCGGTCGATGATGTTACAGTCGGTTCGGAGATGGCGAGAGCCTCATCGAACAACGCCACTCACTCACCTCACTTTCTCGACTTGATCTTCAGTCAACCGGTCAAAGAACACCGTTTCGTTCAATGGGGTTGAATGTAGCTCGTTTTTTTAGCAGCCGTCAATGGCAGCGGCAGGAGGTGAGGTTTCCACAAAGCAAGGCGCGATCAGGCGAAGAGAAGCTGGCAACGAAGAGGTCAAGGGCAGAGAGCTCGTGGCTGTACACCAGTCGATAGTCTCGATGCATCGTGTGTGCAACAAGTTGGGCGCGGTAAGGCGTTGCGAGTCTGTGCTTTTTTTTTGGCCCTCTCGGCCTACACACACCGTGAGTTAGTGGACTGAGCCGGTGTGAGTAGTGAGCCGAAACAGTTGGCTAGAATTGGAGGTCCATTGAGCTGGCCGAGGGCAATTGTATCGAATAATAAGTAGAAGAATAGCAGACGCGAGTGGTGTAATAATGAAAAGAGAAGAAAAAAGAAACAAGAAACCAGGCGTAATGCAAGGGAAATTAGTATTGCTACGTACTGCACGGTTTCTCCCCTTGGGGTCGCAGCCTAACAACAGGCGCGATAGAGGCAAGCTGAAACCCAGAGACCGAAGACCCGATTGTGGCTGCAGAAAGAAAACGGGCAAAATGAAGAGAAAAAAAAAGAGAATAAAAGAGATAAAATTCCTTCTATTTTTGTCCTGATCTCCGTTGATAACGTAGGTAGTCCTCTGTACTCCGTATACTCCACAACCTGGAGCAACGAAGCAACCAGAGGTCAGAGAGATGACCGACTGCTCTTCTGATCGTGCAGTGTATATATGTAGTATGTAGTATGTACTCCGTGCTGTAGTGTTCAGATCTTGAGATGCCGGGCCACAATTGATGGCAATTATTCGTCCCCAGGATTCAGAGAGAGAGGGGAGGGCCCTCGGAAGGGGAGGTTTGCATGAGTTACGTGGCCGCGGCCCAGTTGACTTGCATTGCCTTGCCGGTGTTTTATTTTATTTTTCTTTTTTTTCCCCCCTCCTCTCCTAGGGAAATAATCCAGTCGGGATAACAGCCTAACAGGTCGGTGACTGGGTGGATCGCCAGCAAGTGAGCAAGCAACCCACCACACGACTCCACGGAGCGAAGGGTTCGCAGGGCTCGGGGGCTCCATGAGGCTTAACAGAAGACAGTTAAGGCAGAAACTAAGGATAGAGGCATTTTTAGCCTGGCGTCTCCTCCGTCGCTGATTTGGTGGACATGGGTTGGATTAACGCGGGACCCAAACGCGAGCTTGACAGCTGGCAATTCCCGCTTTTGCCAGCGTGGCAAGGCATGAACTGGCCCGCTGGGTGACAGCGTGTCGCACAGACAGAGACCATGAGTTGTCTCTCTTGATGTACGGAGTATATTCTGTCGAGACGAGACGTTATGGAATAATAAACAGAGAACTTGAGGCTGGAGCTGAGTCACCCAAGATCAACGGAGCGGGGATTGGATAATGTTTCTCCGGGACGCTAGCCATATCAGGCAGACCCGTGACTGAATCACCTGACTCGACTATTCCACTGCTCAGTACTGTGATAACTATCATCTGCAGTACTACATATATTGTCTCGAGTATGCTGAGATACTCTGTAGAGTCAGCAATATAATACTTACAAGTGCGTACAATAGTCTATACTAGGTTTGACTACACTACTGGGGATTGCCAAGTGTCAGCCCTCACCGCCAGAATGACCTCAAGCGTCTAACTAGTTAGTACATAACTACTATACTCTACATAGTACACAGTACGGAATACTCCGTACTATTTCAGAATAGGTCTAACTTGTAAAAATCATGATATACACATTTCTATCCACAAGGCATGCAGATCCCTAGTCTACCAGGCCGTCCAGATCGTCATCATGCAGGAAGCCGACAAATGCTCGCCGCACAAAGGTATTCCATACCTTGTTCTTATCCTTCTTCTGCGTGGCTGCACGGTCGTCACTGGTCTCGGCGTCCAGGTTCGTCTCGGCAAGACGACTCGCCAGGTGGAAGATACTCCGCACTGTCAGGTCCTTCAGTTTATATAATTTATCGCTCTTGGTATCGTACTCGACCTCGTAGGTGAACACGTCCTCTTTGGAGTTGGTGTCAGCTTCAGCTTCAAATCGAGTGGTTTCTTGCTCGTTGATTCTCGTTAGATTCGCAAAATATTGCGTATAGCCCAGCCACGTCAAGGGCTGGTTGGAGTATGCCGGCCCTGGCGGAGCCGACGACGAGGGCGGCTCCGGCATCTCGAAATCAGGCTTCTTCTTCTTCTTCTTTTTTTTCTTCTTGTTTACCTCCACGTCGTCGGGATTTTCCTCGGAAATGAGGTCTAGAGGTTGTGCTTCTTCCCAAGTTGTTGCGTCCTCCAGGCCACTGATATTATACTCGAACACCCGCAGCGTAGGGAAGTAGTTTGGCACCACGCTGGGCGAGACAAACGAAACGCTGTACCGTTCCGCCCATGGCCCGCCGATCTTCTTGAGAAACTTCTTTTCCTTCTTCTTCTTCTGCTTCTTCTTCTTCTTGGACCCTGCCGTGTCAACCTCGTGGGCCTCGTCTTCATTATCATCATCATCATCACCCGCAGCATCCTCAGCATCCTCAGCATAGAAATGATCGCCCGCCAGACCGTCAGGCGGCGAGGGCATTTTCGACCACTGGTCTCGTAGACTGACCAGATAGTCCGTCCGCTTGTTCACGGAGACGGAGCCTCCTGTTTCGCCGACACTTTCGTCCAGGATCTTCAGCTTGTGTGTGTCCTGGAGCATGAAGTGGTCGACGTTCATATGGCCGTAGAGACTGCCCACGATGACGTCCCGGTACTGGTGCGTCCACAGGGTGTACTTCTGCCAGCAGGTCTCGTCCCAGTTGCGCTTGGCCCCGGACCTCGCGGGGGGTACGTGACCGATCAGGATGGCCTTCATGCCGCGTTCGCGCAGGATCTTGAGCTGCACGCGCAGCCACTCCATGTGTTCGTATCCCGGCTCGGACGAGTCATAACAGCCATCGACCGCATTGTTGGAATCGTAGAGGTACATGGTGTTCAGGCTGATGACCGCCAGGCGGTTGGGGATCACCTCCGAGGTAAACCAGCCGCCCTCGACAAAGGTATGGCGCTGCGCCTCGGGGACAAACTTGTTCCAGATCTCGAGGAAGTGCTTGGTCCACCGGTTGGGCCCGATTTTCATGATGTTGTGCGGCATGATGTCGTTGTTTCCGATGGTCGGCACAATGGGGATCGAAGGGTTCGCGCCGTTGTGGAAGACATCGACAAACTTGTTGGCGACCATCCGGTTGAGTTCGGCCACCTCATCCTCCGTTCTCGGGATCTTCTCGTCGTTGTCGTGGCGGGCGGAATCGCCCGTCCACACGACAAAATCAATCTCATCCTTCAGATGGGTTTCAATCCAGCGAAAGGTCTCGTTGATCAGCGACAGCGGCGAGTCGCAGTCGGTGCCTTCGGATCCATAGTACTTGGCCTGCCCCTCGCCTCGGTGGCAACTCCCCTTCCCGACGGCCGTTCCAGCTTTGTAGTGAGAATCGGGGTGTAGATCTAGAAAGCACGAGAGTTAGTAGTTACTCTAGCAGTTGCTCTAGCAGTTGCTCTAATTTTGCTTCAGCAAACAAGGATAAAGGGGCTCACCTGTTATATGGAGGAAACGGCCTGTTAACCCCCTTGACCCAGACTCCAAGCCACTATTGCCAACCGGACCAGACACGTCGTTGAGCGGCCACTGCTCGGCCAAAGGTACGGCCGAAGTCGCACACGCGAGGCTCAAGACAAACAAGGAGAGCATGGTTTTTTTTTTTCTTCTTTCGCGTCCCACCCCGACCGAGCGGGAGAGATCAGAGCTCTATCACAAGTCGGATCAGACCCATTGACAGAAGAAAATGGATTTTCGTTGTCTCGGAGAGAGAGAGAAGAAGAAAAATAGAAGAAAGGTATACAGAAAAATCAGTTGTACGCAGTAACTTAGTTTAGATAGTCTCTTCGCACCCACGTCACAGACCCCCGATCGCCGGCCAGGCTCCTCCACCCAATCAGGAATGGGGGGCTTCGATCGACACGTCAATTGCTAAAATCAATTCTTGGGTATCCCTTTAGGTGTTTAGGTATGTATGGCTGTTCTCAGGTAAGGTATGGATGGCTTTCTCCCAACAGTAGATTAGTATCTACCTTAGGTTACCGGTAGGTTAGGTAATTAGGTAGGTAGGTACCTAGATACAGGTAGATACTATGCAATACCTCCTGGAGATAGCTGAATATATACAATCTCCTCTATACATACTACCTTCCTCAGGTATTTAACTAATCTTAATCCCCCGGATCAGCAGCGCTAACCTTGTGATTCTGTCCTTGCCGCCAGCGACCACAAAATAACAGCAAGATCACCACGTGGGTCGACGGGCTGTGCTGGTTTGTCGAGATGCTATTCTCCTTTTATCCATAGCCGCGATATCCAGGCTTAGCTAGCAGGTAACTATTAGGTAGGTACCTAAAGGTTAGTAGGTACCTAAGGTAGGTAGGTATCTGTTTAGGTAGATATGTAGTACAGAGTAATGATATTCCACATCACTTTAGGCCATGTACCACAGACTATTACTATTACTACGTACTACATGCTCTATAGTCTGATCAGATGATAGGCTGTCACTTGCATTTATTGTCATTTGATCAGGTTGAGTACCTGCTGAGCATACCTAGGTAGTATGCCATCAAGGTACTTCAAGCCTCCAGGGTAGGTATCTCAGGTAGGTGACTGGTAGGTATATTGCCTACTCCGAACCTGAGGTACCTATGTCTCAGGACACTGCTACTCCTATATATTTTTTCTATTATCAATGCTTTATGCATAAGTAGGGAATTATAAACACAGCTGTTTGATATTATCTTTACTCCACTACCTTATACTAACTATATAGTTGATAGACGCATATAAAACTAGCAGACTCCAGCCACATGATAAAACTGATGATGCGTTCTTTTGATTTAACAACCATGGTTAGTACCACTTGTCGACCATCAGATAACAATTAAAGAATGATTGCAAGCGATAAGCTGGACTGAAGATAGATCGTTGAGCTGAGTCACTCCTGGTGGGCTGTTGGATACACCGAGGCACGTTGAGCCCCGCAGCTTAGAGTGGGCTGGCTCACCAGCTTCAAACCTGATCAACTTCATTTCTCATCAGACCGAGCATTCTAATACTTGCCAAACTCATCGTGCTACCATCATGTCCGGGTTTCCTTCCATCCAGCCTGCTTTCACTGTCCGGGTAAGTAATCAAAGGCCCTCTTCCGATCCTCTACCCCTCCTGGGTCACCGAAGTGTCTAATGATTCCTAGGTCATAATCGACCCTCCACACGCTGTCGGTATGGCTCAGACGACAAATACCATCCATCTCAGTTGTTGCTTGACTTTTGAAACCTTGAATCGCTGATGCTTTGACAGGCAGTGCGTCTCGCACCACTAGCCTACAGGTTGTTGTATGCCATACCTTCCTTCTAAATCGAGAATAGCATCGGGATGCTGACGTGAAAGCCTATGACGGGTGGCACAGTCCAAAGCGCGCCCGGTTTCTCTCCCAGCATCGACGCCCAGTTTGTAGGAACAGGAAACGACTACATCCACGCTGATCCGGATGGAAAGCATCTCCGGCTAAACGCCCACGGCGTTCTCAAGTAGGATCGGATAAATACCTGGTTATCACTGTCTAATACTAATCGCTCTCCTAGGACACACGACGATGCGGTACGAAGCTATACACGGAAAAGGTCTGTATCTAGATAGCTAACCATATACAGCTGATTTATCTCAATTATACCGGTGTCGTGGCTCTCGGACCGGCAGAAGCGGCCGTCTTTGCCGGCACTGCCTCGGACGGTGCCACGCCGTTTGGAAATTCTTGTACGTCGTGACAACAGAATATGATATCCGTTGAGGCCTCGCAGTACTAACACTGAAACAGTTACCCATTTCACATTCGAGGTGAGCTCTAGAATACATGACCAGCTATATCGGTGTAACTGTACTGACGAGATAGACCGGTGACGAACGGTACAAGGAGCTCGAGACCCGAGTGTTTGTCGGCCAGGGCCATTTCATCATTGAAACGGGGAAGCCTACCATTGTCGAGTACACCGTTGGCCAGGTTGTCAAGGGTTAGAAGTCCTAACCTTGCCTAGTATACTACATAGCAGTGAGATATAGATGAGAACATGGAACTCCTGCATCAAGATATATCATTGCCAATCATCCTCATTACTATTATCCCAACAATGGCCTTGTTTCAACCCGATCATCGAGTCCGTCACTGCTCCCAATGTCCCCCTGTCTGAAAGTAACCAGGGCAACAGCCCATACTCTCGTCTTGTCCAGCAAGAAACCAAAATCCCCTCGCTCTTTCAACAGCCTCCATCGCGCCACGAGTCTTTTCCCCGCCCACACAGATAGAACAGCTAACCCCAGACTCGCCAGTATGAAACAAACAGTCCCCAAGACGGTCATCACTGTGATTGTGCTGACATGGCATCCTAGCGGGAGGGCACGCAGCTCCCACCGTTCCTGAGAACCGAGAGGGCAGACCTGCGACGAGCTCAACGGCGCGAAGATGGCAAGACGTGCTCGGTTCGGCACACAGGTTGATGACTAGAAGATTAGCAGATCTGCAGTAGTACTGTACAAAAATACCTAGCACCAAGATACTCACAAAAGGACACCAGCTGCAGGCAAAATCGCCAGCCAGACAACTCCCACAGGACTGTCGACTCCAGCATACCGAAAAGAGCGGGTCATCGCTCCCCGCCATAGACTAGGCTGCACCACGCAGTCGGCGTATCACAGGTAGCAGTCAAATGATCTGCATGAATCAAGATCATACCTTTTAGCCACTGCTAATACCCAAGCTTGTATCTTACTTAGGTACCTATCTATTGTAGATAGTGAACTTCCCCACTGGATGCCTAGCAGGAACACCGCTAATCCACTTCGGGACAGCTGCCTGGAGGAAAGGCGGTGACAAACTGCCGCCTGCCTCTTTTTCCAGCAGGCACAAGCGAGTTTGGGGAATACGAGATGAGCCTCAGGGGGGGGAAAGGAAAGGATTTAAGATCCTTGGATTGCTCTGTCGGAGCTTGCTGGATTTCTATCTTCTGGTAAAACTCTTGTTTTGATGCTTTGATTCTTGATCAATTGTGTTGAAACCTTTGTTTACTTTACGATCGTGTCTACGTCATACCTAGTACTTAGTACTAACTAGTTACTGACTACTACTATGGCTACAGAGTTCAGTCTCCCTCGAGTGCCTGCGAAACACTCTGATTTTGTGGAATACGTGCAGTCACATCCGGAGCAGTCGGTGGCGGATCTGGTCAGACCGTACAATGCCTTCGATGCGACGGTGCGGAGGATTTTCGCCCAGCAGCCCTCCCATCCTGCGGTGGCGGACAACCTGCTGAACATCGTCCCGTTGTACGACGCCAATGGTGCGGCTGACGTGCGTGTCCGGGCTCGCAATCTCGCAGCTGAGCCGGAGGAGGTCAGGGCAAAGTACCTGATGCCCCTGTCGGATGAGGCTCGCAGGCCCGATGGCTCCCCCGCGGTGGTCTCCAGCTTCAAGGAGTTCCAGACGAACTTCAATCTCTTCTCTGAAAGCTCTCTGAGCGACCTGGACTGGAGTAACGTCGTGGCGGCCGGCAGTGCCGTCACCACCTCGCTGCTCCCCGTGCCAGAGGAGTACCGTGACACGAAGCGCAGTCTGCGCCAATTCTACCACACAAAGTTCGCTCCTGCGTCGGATGTCGATCTATTCCTCTACGGGCTGACCGAGGAGCAAGCCGTCGAGAAGATCAAACAGATTGAGCGCTGCATCAAGGACTCCATCCTGTACGAGACGACCACAATCCGCACCAAGAACGCCATCACGATTGCGTCTCAGTATCCGACGCGGCATGTGCAGATCGTTCTGCGGATCTACAAGTCAGTCGCGGAGATCCTGACCGGCTTCGATGTCGACTGTGCTTGTGCGGCATACGACGGTCATCAGGTATTCCTGGCCCCGCGTGCCCTTGGTGCCTGCATCACCCAGGCCAACCATGTGGACCTGACTAGACGGTCACCGTCGTACGAAAACCGTCTCTCCAAGTACTCGCACAGAGGGTTCGAAGTGTTCTGGCCCGAGTTGGACCGCTCGCGCATTGACCCGGTAAACAGCCTTGAATATGCTGAATTGGTCTAATGTCAGACTGACGGGTGTGTTAATAGACCATCTTTGAGCGGAGCTTCACTAGGACAGTTGGCCTTGCCCGTCTGCTGGTCCTTGAGAAACTTCCTAAATCCTCTGATCGAGACGCCTATTTGGATCAGAGGCGAAAAGAGCGTGGCCGGCCTCCTGTCAACCGTTATGCGAGAGATGCAAATAAGCTGTGGGGAAACATCAAGAATGACTGGGACGACGAGGTCCCAGAATGGGCAGAGGAAGAGGAGGTCTCCGACTACCATACCTTTGTAAGCAATTTCCTCTGGAAAGAAGAAAGCAATTGTTACACGGTCTTATTTCATCTCTTACCTAACCATTTTCTTTACTTTAGACTATCCCATACGGCGAAAGGTTCCATGCTAAAAGGATCGAGAAATTGCTGTATACCAAGGATCTACTCCTCAATGCCGAGTGGAACAAGCCTAAAGATAGAGAGGTCAATTTGCATCGTCACCCTGCATTCTTTGGCAATATGGAGGATGTCATCCATGATTGCTGCGGCTATTGTCCCAGCCCGACCACCCCAGAAGAGGAGAAAGTGGCCGAGGAAGAAGCAAAACTGTATATTTCCGGGGAAATGACGTTTCTGCAAGATAACCCTGGGCGGCAGGAGATTGGTAGCTTCAATCCAATAACGGAGACCGACTGGACTGGTAAGTCTTTTTTGTCTTTCCCCTGAACCTCCTAAATGTCGTCTGCTTTTGTTTTGTATCCTAACAGCATGGAAGAAATGGCATATGTCGGAAACACTGCTGGCCTTTGCCAGGCTATCGTGGATCAGGATCTTGACGCAGTGAAGGAGTGGCTTGCCCAAGATGGTTCTGATCCCAATCGTCGTGACTACACTGGTCGAGCCCCATTGCATTTGGCTGCCATGACTTCAACCCCGGACATCGTCCAGTGCCTGGTGGATCACGGCGCTCGGCTCATTGCTCGTGTGGCTGATGGCCGCACCGCTTTGCACCTGGCTGCAGCCCGAGGGGATGTTCAGATCATCAGGGTTCTACTCACCAAAAGTGCACAGAATGAGGAGGAGGAAGACCGCAAAGAGCAGGCTCGCAAGGAAGCAAAAGCAGGCCAAGAAGCCGAGGGCCGTCGGGATAACGATGATGATGACGACGACAACGACGACGACGATGATATTGAGATGGTCAGCAATCCTTCGGATGTTTCTGACTCAGATGGCCGTTCGGACGCTACTGGGTCATTTGTGCATGTGAAGGAGGGTGACAAGGGTACCCGGGAGGACACTATCCCCGACGATGCGAACGACCAGGAGCCGGACATCTATGATATCAACGTCTTGGCTTGGGACAGCCATGCCTCCCCACTTCATCTGGCGATTGTGAACGGTCATGTCGAAGCTGTTGAAGAATTGGTTTCTTCTTTTGGTGCCGATGTGCTTCTCCCTGTCAAGCTCTTGAACGAGTACAACAATTCTCCGAAAGCCGCCATCCTCACCTTGGTTCTAGCACAGAATTTGCCCCTGGAGAAGGCAAAGGTGATGACGACGAAGCTTCTACAGCTTGGCGCTTCCGCCGCACAAGCAGACATGCACGAGAAGACCGCGCTGCATGAGTTGGCCACAATTGGTTATTCAGACCTTATCGATGTCTACCTTGACCACGACCGGCCTGCAGTCGAGAGAGCAGCCAACCATCTCTCTGCTTCTGGCTATTATTCCAACCCGGTGATCAATTCTGCCTTGCTAACCGCTATCAAGTCGGAGAACACGATTGGCGCAATCAAACTACTCGAAGCGAACGCGAAGCCAGATATCCCTTTCGAAGACTATGCTGAAGCCGCCAAGAACATCATCAATGTATACGGCGACTCACTCGTGCAGCAAAAAGAGGTCTTCCATGACCAAATTATCCAGCCTATCGTTCTCGCTGTGCGATCGGAACAGCCGCTGGTGGCTTTGGAATTGCTTGCTCATGGTGCAGATCCAAACACTCTGGACCCGAAGGGAGCTAAGATCCGGCTTTCTGGGACCTCGCCCTTGTTAGTTGAGGGAACTATTTTAGATTGTGTTCGAGCAAAGATTGAAGATCTTCGTGAGTATCAAGGTGAAGCCGTTCAATCGACCCCTCCACAGCCTCTGGAAGATGACAGTGTGTATCTGGAGGGGCTGAAGGATGATACATACCAGATGTGGACAGCCAAGGCGGCTCTGGAGAAGGAAAAAATGGAGTACGAAACGGAAAAAAAGCGGTATGCCGACAATTTGGAGCGAACCAAGACTGCCAAAGGTTTAGACGAGAAGAAAGCTGCAGTCCAAGCCCTTATCTGTGACTTTGAGAAGCTTGAAACCGAGCTGCTCGCCCGAGGAGCGAAGACAATCAAAGAGCTCCGACCTGATATGCCGGATCGCCCCGTATATGAGGACATTCCTTACAATACCGAGACTCAGTCCCCAAGGTTCAAGATCAATTTTACCTTTAGAGGGCCGGCCGTGACTGAGGCTCAGACAGCAGCTTATATTAAACTGTACGTCCCCTCGCCTCCCCCTCGCTTCTGATAACTGACCTTGTCGCAGATTTGAAGCTGCCTGGTGTGGAGATCTTGACACTATCAAGACACTCACTTTGGGGCCAAACGTGCACCACACGAAGGATAAGAGGCAGCTGCTTGAAATTGGTATTACTGACAGCCGCTACTTTTCGCCCTTCAGCATCGCCGTCGTACGAGGGCACCTCGACGTGGCGAAGGCCATCCTTGTCATCGCAAACGCGCAGTATAAGCCGCCGGAGAATAAAAAGATCTCGAAATATGACGCATACGTCTCGGACTATGAAGACGAAAGTGAAGACGATGAGCTTAATATCAATCAGCAAACGATCAGTGACAAGTTCACCATCGACAATATTGGTGAAATCAAGGCCCACGTCGAGAGCAATATCTCACCGCTGGCTGTGCTTGCCGAGTCGTGCCAGTCTTATGTCTTGTTTGACAAGGAAACACTGGCCGATCAACAGCCTACAGGCGTGTTTCTATATGCGATTTGGAAGGATGATGTCAATCTGTTGACTTTCCTCCTGGGACTCTATCGTGAGCTGTTTGATAAGGCATCCGAGGCGGACCGAGAAAGCGACCGTTTCAACGACACTTCGGGCGTTGCCTTCTGCTCGGCTGTCAGGCTGGGCCGTCTCCGATGCCTGGAGGAGCTCATCAAATCTACAGGAGCTGGTCTTCCCTTGGATCAGCTCGCGGAGAAGAGCGGCGTCGAGGCCCAAGAGAAACCAGTTTACTACCAGGGTCTTTCGATCCATGGCAAGAAACGCGAAGACTGGGCGGCCACCAATCGTGGGATGTCTTTCTTGAAACCTCGAGATATGCACCCCCCGCTTTTGTTGGCTGCATTCGAGGGCAGTCTCGAAGCGGTGGAATGTTTCCTAGGCACAGCGCCCAGTCGTTACTACATCGAGTTCACGAAAAAGCACAAACACGACAAGCGATTGAAGAGGCTTGCGCAAAGTGAGCAGGGTATTGAGAAAACAATCGAGAACTGGCTTAGTCTTCGACGTAAGTTTTCTTCTTCTTCTTCTTCTTTCTTTATTAAAAGTGATAATTGCTTATTCTCTTAGATGAGCTTGTCCTCCACTGTGCTGTTATGGCCAAAACAACCGAAGAAACGGAACGACTGGTCGAGTACCTGGTCAAGAGCGCCCCCTACTGCCTGGAAGTGAAGTCGGCAGACGGCTATACGCCCCTGGCAATTGCATTCTCTTTGCATCGGTTGAAATTCGCCAAGATATTGGTTGCAGCCGGTGCCAACCAGACAGCCCGAGACAAACTCGGGAACAATATCCTGCACCTGCTTCTCGGTGGGTTCGTCGATCCGGACGAGGATGACCTGGATACGCTTCGCAGCATGCTTGACCTGATCGACCCGTTACTGGTGTCCTCGTTGCTCACCGAGCGCTCCTACTCTGTCGAACCCGGCTCTCTGACTCCTCTGGCCCAGTGGATGGCTCGTTCACTGTGGGGGTCTGGCATTTCGGACGAGACGGAAAACAAGATTGCCGTCCTGCAGGCTGTGCTCGATTTTGCCGAGCCAACGGGACAGAAACACCTGGAGCTTCTTGATGGAGCGGGCAACACCGTGCTCCACGATGCAGCCCGGTGCCAACTGTCCAAAGCCCTGCCGCTGATGCTTGAGCGTCGTCCGGATCTTCTCCTCCGTGAAAATGCCACGGGTAGTACCCCTGCAGACCTTGCAGATGATGCCTGGGTCGGCGACACCATCTCGACCCCGGCGGCGACATCATGGCCCAACACCATGTTGAATTATTCGGGAGTGGCGAAGCGCACCCCAGAGTCATTCGTCGAGCCGCCGCGCAAGGAAGGTCATCGACCGTGGTCGAAGAAAAGGAAAATCCACGAGATCTGTCATGGCCAGGTCCAAGGAGATGAGTCGAAGAAGAGGCGGCTGGTCACCCTGTTCGAGGCCAACGAGGTGGCAAAGAGGCTGGCTGCCAAACAGACAAACAACGATCGATCGTCCAGGCGGTCGGTAGGAGGGGGTTCTAACGAGGATGACGAGGGAGATGAAGTGAGCGTATGGATCCACCAAGCGAGATAAAAAACATTGGATAGTGGATAGCATAGAGCATAAGAGTAACAGAGCCAGGATGAATATTATAAGATAGGGTAGTTTTACAGTACTCCATAACTCAGACGAATGTCCCTCATTGTACATATCATATCACTAACTACCATATTTCAAACCGTACGCCAATTCGCTATAGGAGATGCACCAGTTCTCCATTGACATGAAATATTTTTTTTTTTTGGAGTAAAAAAGTAGAAGTATTTTAAATCAGACAACACGCTTGACCTACCACCGGTCAGTACGTAGAAGCTAGATAGATATATACATATAGGAAACAAAGTGGTTCAAACCTCGAAGAACCGTTTCAGCCACCAGACCTGGAAGATGCCCTCGCCGATGAGGACGGCCAGCTGGAAGATACTCCACCATTTGACGCGGGCGTTGGTGCTTTCGGCGGTGTTGCGGTGTGTGCGTTCGCGGACGACGATGTACGACTGTTCGTCTTTGACTTGGGCGAGGGCTTCGGAGAGACGGCGGACTAGAGAAAAACATATCAGCAAAGATTAATTGAATAGTAAATGCTTTTTCTTTAAAGCTTCGGATATGTACCCTCCGCATCCAGCGGATCCTGCGCCCATTCCGACTCAGGGATATAGACGATGCCGTGGACGTTGAAGGAGACCTCCTTGGAGTTGGAGGTCCAGCCTTCGTTGCTGAAGCAGTAGACGTATTTGCCGTCCGAGTGTGCGGTGAAGGAGTAATCTTCCGATGAGATGGCTTGTTTGTAGTATTGGCGGTTTCTATTGGGATCCTCGACCTTGTACACTTTAGCAGGGATGTACTTTGAGAGAGAGAGAGAGAGAGAGAGAGAGAGGAAGAATACCCAAAAGTCGATTTCGAGGTTGCCGCTTCCTCCAAACTCGCGATCGCCCACCTGGAAGCTGACGGTCATCTTGTCGTCCTTGTGCAGCGATTCGTGGAAGCATTCGCGCGAGTGTGCCTTGAGCTGGATGGTGTGGGCGGCGGCGGCGGAGACCCAGCCCAGCGCGGTGACCAGGAGGGCGGTTGTTGAAAAGCGCATTGTAAGAGAATCACGGATTGGTTTTTTTTTTTCTTTTCTTTTCTTCTTTCACTCGTAAGTCGTGGTGCGGCGTGGGCTGCGTGGGATTCGGTGCGGTGGTCGAGAAGTTGGCGACGTGAACGTTGACATTGGCAAAGGTGTCGAGTTGACGCTCGGACCATCAACAATATGTCTCGGGGTCGACAGTACATAATAGAAGACACTGTATACTACAGATTACTATATATTTAATTGTAGACGAATCTAATCAATAGAGTAGAAGTAGGTCTTTATTGTAGTAGATCATACTAATTACCTAGTATAACTGGATTTTAATTCAAACTCGACAGATGGTCGATTCGGTAATTTATAGACTGTTGGATGTTGCGTTGTTCAGGCAGAAATGCACTGTTGGTCCCATAGAATGGCTGATACCTTTGAGTAGAGGATCTTCCTAGTACTGATTCATCTTAATTTCGTATGGAAACAGTCTATTCTTGAATGTCTTCACTAGAGTATAAAATAGTCATAAGATAGTACTACTAGTACAACTATAGTTATAGTAACTACTGCTCTACAAGGTATGTGTTAATATGACAGTACATGATACTATAATACCATACCGTAACTGTATTGTAAATACCCAAATACCCCCGTACCCGACCCGTGGTTCTGTCTTTACCCCTGAATCTATCCAAATGCGCGTGTTTACTTCTATGGAGTCTTCTACTCTATACAGAATACTACAGATTCCTATGTGAATATCCCCCAGCCAGTCAACAATGTATACAGAATAGAGTACTCCGTCCCTAAAATCTCCCGTAAATGCTCCAGAAGTAACGCCCTGCAGACTCGCCCCAACGGCCTGCTGGGGTCTCTCCGCCTATGGGGAGGAGCGAGCGTGGCTGCTAATCCAATCCGTGACGTGCCAAAAAATTGTCGGCGCTGCAACTCTCCTTAGCCTCGATCGTCTCCTTTGCCCATCCTCATCTCTCTCCCTCCTCCCTCTCTCTCTCTCTCTCTCTCTCTCTCTCTCTCTCTCTCTCTCTCT